TTCTACAATAATCACATGCTAGCTTAAAAAGATTTATAACAACAAATAAATAGTTGTTAAGGGAATGTTGATTCAATAATTTTTTAAACTTTTAACATCTATTTATATAATATAATACAAAATATTATATATGCTTAATAATATAAAAAAGAAAAAATCTAAGAGATACTAATTAGATGAAGGACGCAAGTATGAAAAAATAAAAAATCATCTAAAGTAACTACAAAAAACAAAGAAAAATCAAAAGTTGCATACTTTACATATACAATCGGCTCATCTAATTATTTTCACCACTTCCTTTTCTTTTTTTTTTTTTTTCAATTTAAGTTGTAGCATGGTAAAGAAAACAAAGAAAGAAAGAAAAAAAAAAATCTCGTTTTTTGCAAGTTTGGCTTCTTAAAATGCTAAGAGTTAAAGTGGCTTAAGTTTATCCGTGTAAATATGAAACTATGTATTTATTTATTTATTTATTTGGAAATATAGAGGGACATAATGGTAAAAAATAGAAGGTCAAAAGTTGATAGACCACAGAAGTTATGTAAGTAACTGTAAATGGGAATCTGAAAAATAAAAGTATAAATGTAACTGCAAATAGACATAAATAAGCAAATAAAAAAAAAAAAACAAACATAATTCTTTGGGGAAATAATTTATTAAATAGGGTAGAAATATAAACAGACATAATGGTAGAAAGAAAAGATAAGAAATTGGTAAATCAAAAAATTAAGTCATGCAAATAACTCTAAATGAGAGAATCTAAAAGGAAAAGTACAAATATAACTGCAAACAGATATAAATAATTAAATAAAAGTAAGTACATATAATTCTTTAAAATGGAAAAAAATTAAAGAGTTTTATTATTAATGTAAAAAGATAATTGTTTGAATTATTAATTATTGAAAAAAACAAAATTTTCATTAATATAATAAATTTATCAGATGGTTATTAATTATTGAAATAAAATTTAGTAATTATTGGGTGAAATAAAAAGTAATTTAGTATACTAATAAATATTTATTTATAATTAAAATTATTTAATTATTTATTTAATCCCATAAAAATCTAAAATGATAAATAAAAGCTGACAAAGAGGGAATAAAATCTCAAAATCTATGTGATTAATAACTGGGAAAATTTCAAAATTAAACATATTGAAAATGTGGTTGGGAGATAGTCTGATAGATTGGACATATGGAAAGAGCTATTGGATTCAATCCCTAATAAATACAACTGCAGAAAAAAATGAGAAATTTTAACTGTAACTAAATCCCGTGCCAAATTAATAACAGGATGAGATTGGAATACCGGTGAATTAAAAAATATATATATATATTTTCTGTCCGATTATCCTCTTTATAAGCCTGTGCGGTGTGAGTCTAGATCAAACAAGACCGCGGTGGGTGTGGGTCACTGCCCACTTGGTTGGCAATCGGCATATGATGGATGATATGAACGGGTAAACGGAAAACAAGAGAAAGAGAGAGGTGGAGTGGTCCTTCTCCTTCAACTTTTGTCTTTCAACTTCTTCCACCGTTCCACACCCAGACATCCTAAAATGCGCTACTTTCAGGTGGCGCATTATATCAAGTACCACTAAACGACATATCCGTAATTGAAGGCCACATTAGTCAATGCAGTTTCTGTTATTTCACACCTGCTTTGGATTCACTACTCAAAAAATCTATTATTTATTGACATATGAGTATATACTAATTTTTATTAATAATATACTCCTCCCATCTCATGAAAATAAATTTATCTCAATTTTTTATTTACCTTAAATTACAATAGAATACATATTAGACAATAGTAGAATAAAAAATTTTAGAATTTATTTTTTCTGAAAAATAAGAATAATTATTTTAAAATTAAATGAAAAATAAATGAAAAGTACAAAAATTATAAGACGGAAGATATAATAATATAGAAATTATATGTAAAATTATTTGATTCACTGATTGGAATATTTCAATATAATGATTTTTTTTTGGATAAAATATTAAAAAAATATTAACACATGAGAGAATACTTTTTTTTATAGTTTCAATTTTTTCAATTTAATAGTTTTTCGGAATTATTTATTTTAATTTTTATTGAACTTTTAAATCTGTTACAAATAAATGAATCCAATTTGGATGAAATTTGAGTTTCAAATTATTGTTTTTGAATTTTGAGGAATATTATTATAGATATTATGTAACAACTCAATTTGAATTTGATTTTAAAAGGATAATACTGAGTTTACACTTGATCTATGAGACACCAAATTAATTAAAAATAATTTTAAAAATTATCACTATCATTTTATTTTATTTTTTTAATAATTAGAAATACTCTCCTTTAAAATAAAAAAATTTATTTTTAATTGATTTTGGTAAATCCTTTATTTAATTGCCGATTAAAGTCAATTTTGAAATTCCAAAAATAGGCTTGTTTGCCCACGGAATTGTGCATCACATGCAAGGGCATGTGCAGAGCAGCGCAGTTTAGTGAAGTGTGGACCAAATGATTTTAGAGGAAGGAAGGAGTCAGAAATGTGTGAGCTGGCAAAATTAATAATAAACTCGAAAATTCCTTTTGCGTTTATTCGTTGGAATGGGGTAATTAAAATTTGGGGGAGAAGGGAATGTTAGGATGTGGTGCCCTTACTGTGTGTCACTTAGCTTTGTTCTTATTTAGCTTTGTTTATTACTTGCAATTGTGGGCTTGGACTTGGGCTTTGACTCAAGTAACTACAATTGCTCACCTAGAACCAAAAAGTTGACATTGTTTATTTATTTACTACAATTCAAATATCAAAGGGTCTCATTTTTTCTTAAATCTTCCTCTAAACAAATGGAAATGAAATAAATTATTTCAGTTTAAAATTATTTGAAAGGAAACAAATCATTAAATTATCTCTAATAAAATATTTTAATATAAGAAATTTATTGTCTACCTCATTTAAATGGAAAAAAAAAACAAACAAATGATACGAAATAATATTTTCTAAAAATAAATAGTCAAATTAACTATTTAAATTCGATTCATCAAAGAAATCTTCAAATTTGCAGTTTTAAAAAAATTATTATTTTATAAAAATAGGTTCAAACTTGTGTCAAATTTATTAAATGAGTTCGAAGGATTTTTTAAAAATCAAAATTCATTCAATTTACAAACTGTTTGACTCATTTATATCTTTATATTCATTCAGTAAAACACCTATGGGTTGTGGCTCAGTAACAATACATGCTATACATATAGGAAAAGCTCTCAAGTTTAATCTCCACTGAACACACCTACAGATAGAAAGGAAGGAGTGAAAAAACTTTAACTGTGGCTACATCCCGTACCAGATTAGGTAAATTAGGCGGTCTCTGATAATGATAACATCAATCTAAATTATTTTTACATAATGAAGCATTTGAATTTATGTAATTGTGATTAAATTAGCTTATTCATTTGGGAGAAGTTACATGCATCTATTCAAATTTAGAAATGTCATTTTCAATAACAAAAAATTAAATCACTCAACAACTTCCTCTTTTAGCTTTTGGTGTCCTTGTTCACACCTTTACACCGATGCTTACGTAATATACCATTGGTCAATCATTTGTGTCTTCCTTCACCCACTATCTTACAGTTAGAGATCTCAAATTTATAATAATTCAAAAGGGAAATGCTAAAGTTCAAATGTTAAATATGAATATTTTATATAAATAAATTCTTAAAACAAATACGTAGTGACAAATATTTGCATTTGAATGTTTTATTCAATTTCCGATATAGACTATTTAAATATAGTAAATAAAAATTCCCATATACTACGCAAGTTTTTTTATAGTTAGAAAGTCTAATAGGTTGGATTAACATTGTGCTTTACACAATACGTAGTTCTCTCTTTTGAATAACATTCACCAAATCAGTAATAAATTTTATGGTGTAGAGAACTCGAATTTTCTCACATATTCTATAAAGCATGAGAATACTAACCAAATCACATCTCACTGAAATAAAATCTTTTAACTTCCTGAATTATCTTATTGAAATATTAATTTAATAATTAAGTCGATGAATTTGTTATTGAAACACTAACTTAATGATCTTTTTACTGTTGGAAAATGAGGATTTGAAATTAGAATTATTCTTAAGTTTGTTGAATTAGTAGTAATTTAACAGTTCTTTTATATAGAAAAATTTTTATTTTGAGTTTTCTTTTTATATAAAAAATTTGTCTAATTTGATAACTTTGGAAACTATAATAATGTAAAAAATCTATTTTATCTTCGTCTTAGTTCTTGTGCGAAGCTTTTAGTATAGGAGATTTTTAAGGTAGTGGCAGACAAAAAGTATGGATGAACATTTAATGTGAAGAAATTTTGGAGAATGAGGTTTTTACATTAATTTTCAATGAAAAAAAAAAAGCTTGTATAGATGATATGAACGTTTATTAAAATGAAATTTGAATAGAAAAAACACACAAGATTTTCAGGTTGGCTAATGAGTGCAAGTTTTCATATTTTTACACAATCTTCCTAAATAAGGATAAAAAAAGAATTTTCTTCTATAAGTCGAATGTCAACTTCATTTTTTATAACTGTTTATATTTTTTTATTCTAATAAAATTTAAAGCGTTATTGAAGGAAACGTAATTTAAGATATATATTGATATTAAAGAAAAAAATAAATGAGATATTAAGAGTAAGTTAGAAAAAAAATAGTTAAATTATTTTCTTTAACTTTCGTGAAAAATTTGTTATTCGGGTATAAAAATAATGAATTCAGTAATTTAATCTTAAATTACACTCGAATACAAATTAAATACTAACTAATTGACCCTAGCAGGTCATAAGCCCAGAAATGTTATTTCCATCCGTACTAAACTTGTTCCATCAATGGGTACAGGACACGTGGGTATATCAAACCAGAAAACACGGGTAAATTAGTAAATACGCAAATCAAAACCATGTAGGGGTTTTAGGCTAAAAGAACAACACAGTTTCCCTTTTTACACTTCTGTAAATAAAAAATATAAATAATAATATTTTTTATTTTCTATGATAACAATCACAATATGGAAATCAGCTAAAAATATATATTAGTTGATTTTTTTGATCTCTCTCTCTCCTTTCTCTTTCTTTTGTTTGTTGTTGTTGTTGCTGCTGCGTTTGTTCACTCTCTCCAGTTTATCTCCACTGTCCATGATCTATTCTTATAAAAGAAAAAGCTTATCTCCTCGCGCTATTGGATTCTTTTAGATTTCTTTTGCCAATTCCGTTTATTAAGCTAGTACTGGTGTTTCTCACTCTCAATCTTTACTCTTTTAGTCTTTGGAGAGGATCCCAAAAACCCATCAATTGTCATCAACGCAAGAACGGCTCAGTGGAGGTGGAGAAAGTGTTGCCCTTTTAATTCAATCAAAATGCAGCCCTGTTTCTTGGACTATTAAGGCATTGCCTTTCTTGATCTTGCCACAGTAATCATGATTTATCTCAAGATTCTTGGGTTTTTGGGCTCTGAATCATTGCCCAGTTAGTGCATGGTTTTCAAGAAGATAAATCGTCGCCACTCGTGGTGGGTTTGGGATTCCAAGTGAAAAATCTCATCTGGGTTAATTTCAGGTACTAATTTAATTGTGTTTTATTTAGTAATAATATCCGGGGCAACGAATCTACGGTTACTTTTTGGAGTTTGATTTGGGAAGAGAATTAATCGCTCAATTGACTGGTCCAAGCTCAAGATTCAGATGTTATTACTTTGCTCTTAATTCCACAATTATATATTTTTGTTCAGTTTTGGTTTTTTATGGAGAAATGCTGGGAAGATTCCCAAAGTGTTGAGTTTCATTGCAGTCTATAAGAGCTTCTTTTACAAGAAACTACAAAAGAGAACCATAGAAAAGAAAGATTGCAACGGTTGGAACCTTCAAAGCTGCTTTATACTCTATCCTTGGCGAATCTATTTTCTTTAATACAGTACCCGTTGTTTTTCTTTATTTATTGTGGATGCATAGAGAGATAATATTGTAGACGTGGCTCCCACGAACTATGGATTTCAAGTAGTCTAAGAGAAGATTTTGTTGCAGTTTCGTTGGGGGAATTTACTGCATTTTCTCTTTGAATTTCCGTTTTTTATAATTCTTGGATCTGAGACACTAAACAAGTAGAAGATTTCTGGTGTTGACTTGGTCGGTGTTTTGCTGTGGGGTTTCATAAGATTAAACTGGTGGCATTGTACTGAAGCTTTTTTCAAAGCATCCATGGGGCTTCTTGGAAGTCTCGTGCTGATGCTTCTTCATATATGGTTCCTCTGGTTGCCTGGTCTTAAGGCTCAATCGCCTAACTCTGCTCGAGACCTTGATGCTCTCCTCCAAGACTATGCCTATAGGGCATTCCCTAATGTTCGTCCCAGGACTGGCATTCCCTATGACGGGGATGTTCCCTCGGATTTGAGTGGAATTAACATTGCAGCAATGAGGCTGCGGAGTGGTAGCTTGAGGAGGAAAGGTGTTAATATGTACAAAGATTTTGGGATTCCTTCTGGAGTTATTGAGCAACCTTATGTAGAGAGGCTTGTTTTTGTATATCAAAATTTGGGTAATTGGTCTTCAAGGTATTATCCACTGTCTGGTTATACTTATCTTGCTCCGGTTCTAGGTCTTCTTGCTTATAACGGTGCAAACTTGTCTGCTATGAATTTACCAGAATTGAACATTAGGGCAACTGGCAATCCCATAAAAATCAAATTCCCAGATGTGAAATCAGCTCCAGATGGGTATGTTGCTAAATGTGTGTGGTTTGATTTACAAGGCTCACCAAATTTTAGCAATGTAGCATCTGGAAATGAATGTTCAACAATTGACCAAGGGCATTTTTCTATAGTTGTTGAATATAATGCCCCTTCTCCAGCACCAGTTTTTCCTACTCCATCTGGTGAAGCTCCAAATGTTCCAGGACGAGAAGGACATAAAAAGAATAATTCTAAAGTGTGGATAATTGTTGGTTCTGTGCTGGGTGGCCTATTGTTGTTGGTGCTATTGTCATTTCTAGTGCTGTGGGTGCATAAGTTGAAGGAAAGGAAGAAACTGCAAGAGATGGAGAGGGCTGCAGATGTGGGAGAAGCCCTGCAAATGACATCAGTTGGGGAAACAAAAGCACCTGCAGCAATGGTTACTCGAACGCCACCAACCCTTGAGAATGAATATGTGCCATAACTCTCACCATTTGTACAAGCTTCCTTTACCTTGCCACAACAATTCTTATTCAAGTTCAATTCCTGTATTCAGAAATTCTTCAAATCGCACCTATTTTTGGTGGTGTCTGTTCCTCGTGCGCTGTTTGCTCCTGGTAGGCTCTTCCATTGCAGTGTGGGTAATATAGGATTTTCGTGTAAATCTGTTATCACTCACATACCGTTCATAGGTTATGATTCATGGTGGTGTGCATTTAGGCAAAAGTGATTCTATATGTGATGAATTTAGTTTATCCATTGACAAAGAATAAAACTTTCCGTGGTGCCCTTCGCTTCTATATTGTTTTTGTCTAGTTTTCTGGAATGAAAGATTTAGGTTACTTTGTCAATCTCAGATTTAGGAGCTTCGATGTGTGAATTTATTCTGAGATTAAGCTAGCTCAAGCAGGCTATAGCTTCTGCTTCTCTCATTCCTGTTCATTTATTGAGTCATTTTTTTGAGCAAATGTTAGATTTGAGTTGTTCTTTCCTTGTGACTATGCCGAAAGATGATTCATTCTTTTTTGTTCTGTGTAAAATTTAGCATTGTTTTATTGATCTATTAAGAAAAAATTATGTATTTGGCATCATTTTGTTGAATCTCTCTATGTACAGAAATTGTCACGTACATTAGTATAGCCAAAAAGCATGTAGAGATGAAAATAAAAATGAGAGATGCATATGCAGTGGATAGTGGCATTGGTGCCCTTGTCATACACTAAAGTCCAGGTCATTACAGCTGGAATTGTTGCCAAGCACAAAATTGGTCATAGACCAAGCTGGCTGGCAGGGGCATAGTTGGAAATCAGAAAATGTGATTGAAGGCTTGAATTCCTATGGTTACTGCTTCTCTGTGATTGCGGTGGATAGGATACCCATATCAATGAAAGGGACATGCTTAGACTGTATCTTCACTTACGTGAGATATAAAAATTACAATACATGTCCTATGTTATATACATATATATGTATATATGTTTCTTTTCTAACTGTTGGTATTATAAGAATGAATCCTGAGACTCCTCAGTCAAACCTTAAGGGCAGAGAGGCAGAGAGAGGAAGTAAAGTTAGTCCTTTTCTTTCAGATGTATTATATGACTTTCTTGAAGTTTTTTTCAGCTTTAATTTAGTCTTTCCTTTTAGACAGCAAATTAACAAGGAATCGTTTCTTCTCCAAAGACAGACTAAAATGAGTTGCTATTTGGGCAGGGGCCGTCTTAGTTTTATCATTATCGTTGTTTTATTTTGTTGAAGTGCTGTGCCTGTCTTTATTCACCAACTAAAAGAGAATAACAATAATTTTGAAAAGACCCTGTTACCCATTAGTTTATTCACTAATATCTGACCTAAGCTGACAAAAGCAAATGTCTTTATTACAATGATTTTGTACTAAACATGTGTGTGTGTGTGTGTGTGATTATATTATAGTTGTGGTGTAGGTAACAAACAAAACAAGTGAGAGGAATAATAATAATAATAATACTAATGCCCACCAAAAACCACACGAGCAAGGTGGTTAATAAATTGGAGATTGGAGAGAGAGAGAGAGAGAGAGAGAGAGAGGGTGTCAGGAATCAGTGTCCACTCTAAAAGAAATTTAGTGAGTACAGCTGTCTTCTTCAACTTCTATTTCAACTTGTTAATATTACAATTTTGAATATTGAAGATGCTTTATCAGTATAAAATGGAAACCACCTGCTTGAATTGGCTGCAAATGGCTTTAACTCACCATTTACCTTAAAAAAGTACTGCATTTCTATCATCACGTATGAAGAATTCATGTCAACACAAGTTCACCACACCCAAGTGTTAAATTTATTGCCACTTTAACTAAAGGGCTTCACCCATACCACTAACACATTTTTTCCCCATCACCATCCTCTTTTATTGATTTTAGTTGTCAACCAAAATATTCAATCTCATGTCAGCATCATCTCTCAAGTTCCCACAAAAAAAAAATAAAATAAAATAAGTTCACAGAACAAATATTGCAAGCCCATTAAATGGTGATCTTTCGGCCGAAACCAAGTTTCAGAGTTGTCGGACGACTCGAGTAGCCTGGAATAATACAGCTGCAACGGCCAAGCTGAGCTGGGTGTAATGAATCCTGCATTGGTTACAAGGGGATGGGTCCTATGCTCGTGGGTGTTACACACCTCAACACAAAAAACTCATAACCTTTTGGGAAGAAGGTAATGATCTTGTGAGACATGGCTCTGATAGCATAAGGTCAAAGTAAAATGCAACTAAAGGAAGATGTAAAAAGAGGTGATATACATGGGCCATCTCTTACTGCTGAAATCCTGTAAACCAAAAGTTAACCATAAGACCATTTTCTTTGTTAATCATGCACTATTACGCTATCATTACCTTGTGGTGACATCGGCCGGTGGGTATTGGGTAACATCCTCACAAAGATCTGAATTTTGAAAACTAAGACTTCCACTTCCCTTTTTTTTTTTTTTTTTTTTTTTTTGCTGAAATGCCTGTAAAGCCGAAAAAGGTTACATAAAGACCATTTTCCTTTGTTAATGCATGCACTATGTCGCTTCATTACCTTGATGGTGACATCGGCCGGTGGGTATTGGGTAACTCCTCACAAAAGATTGAGACATTTTGAAAACTAAGGACTTACCACGCTTACGCTTTTTTTTTTTTTTTTTTTTTTTTTGTCGGTTTGTGACGTGTTTATGCTAGCATTGGAGTTTTAAACAGCTGGAACTTGGGATCGCAGAAAGACCTAGTAATGAAATTGCTGCAACACTTCAGCTAGTTGCATCAAGGAGAGTGGATAAGCTGAGCTATACTCGATATGAACCCACAACAAGTTTCCAGAGAGCGTAATGGACAACGGTAACGATTCAAAAAATCCAAGCAAGGCTCATAGCAAAACAAATTTTCAAGCAGTAATAGCTAAGTCACCAAGACACAAGTCTACAATTATGTTTTGTAAGTAAGTTCATGGCTAAATTTACATTACAAAGTATTATTGCTCATGAGACTTTTTATAGCGCATGAATGCGTAGATCAGAGGAGGCACTTTATTCCTATCTGTCAGGGAGTTCTGTTTCAGAAAAGCTTCCTGCCCATGAGATACATAATATTGGTTAAGTTTTCCATACAATTATACAAATAATATGTAGGCATACACATCGTGATTATGTAAAATGGGAGAAATGAGAGTGATGGCGACGGCAAGATCAGGAAATAATATGGGGAAGAGCGACGGTGAGGGTGCAGACGGAAACCCTGAGAATGCGGAATGGGAAAATAGGTACCTAGACCAGCACCACCATGCGTAGTAGTATGATTAGTAGAGACATGGTTTTTTTTTTTTTTTTTTTTTTTTTGTCCTTTGACTCGTTTATCTATTGGCAGTTTCAAAACATGGAACTTGAGAAATCCAGAAAACCTAGTAATGAATTGCTCAACACTTTCAGCTAGTCTCAGGATTAGAAACTACTCCAATGAACCCACAACAGTTCCAGGAAACTAACAACATAAGCAAGCAGTAACATTCAAAAATCCAACAAGGCTCTAGCAAAACAAATTCACAGTAATAGCTAATTCACCAAGCACAAGTCTACAATTTGTCTTTCAAAAGTTCATGCAAATTCACATACAAAGTAATTTTGCTCATCAGACTTCTTTAACATGAATGCAGTATCAGAGGAGCACTTTATTCCTTCTTCAGGAGTTGTTCAGAAAGCTTCCTGCATGAGATCCCATAATATTGTTAAGTTCCACAATCAAAATATTAGGCATACATCGTGATTTGTAAAGGGAAAAAGTGATGCAGCAAGATACAAATAATTGGGGAAGCACATCTCTTGGACCTGAGATTGTTCGGCCCCAACTATAATCTGTACTCTGTACAGAGAAGGGTACTGCAGGAAATAAGGGCGCAAATAATCAAAGGAAATAAAGGAAGACAATGAGTCTTCAATAATTGAGTGAGAGAGACGTTAAAAATTTAGTTTTTTAGTGATGATCTTTCCATACGGATTGAACTCTACTGCTCATAAGTCATACTCAAGCTAGCTAAGTTTTAAAAAACAATTTTAAATTCTAGTTAAAATCTAACAGCCTGCCTAATTGGCTTCCATGTTATAACTAACTAACCTGCGTTGTTGAATCACCAGCTTATTAAATGAGACCATTAAGTATCCTAAGTTCCAATATCTTTGCCCTTATAACTTTAAGAATAAAGCAGCCTTCAGTTCCCTTCATAAGCCAAAGTAAATTTAACAGCATATCATTCAAGTTCCTAATGACATGTCCCAAAATATCTAATAAATGTTCCTGCACAATTGCAAAGTACCAATGTCTTATTTTTCTTTTTTCCAATTGTCACTGCCAAATGCCAAGTTTATCCCAATCAATCAATTGACCTGGTGCAAAATTATATTGCAAATCTTTTATATTAACTCTGGCATGACTCATATTTATTTCTACTCCTTTACAATATCATCTTGTTTTTCTTTGGGGGGAATCACAGCATCTTCATCTTAAGAAGCACTATCTTTTATAGTCAAAACTTCAAAAATAATCTAAACCTTCTTTTTAATAGATGTTTTCACTTCAATCAGTTTGTTTCTTTGTCAAATGTATCCTCCAAAGGAATCATCAACGAGAACATATGTATTTCAAGTTCGAACATGCCAATCCATCCCCATGACAGCAGAGCCACATTCGGTCCAAGAAAAAAAATTTACACCAATGGCCAACTTACATCCATCTCTTGATATGCTTTCTTTCTCATGAACTTCTATCTCCACAACTCCTGATACCCTATAATGAATTTTCTTCCGCTGATAAGGGGGTAGACACATCTTTAAATTCTAGATAAAATTCATAATTGTTTTACTTTCTCCACAGCGCAGTTGAAAAATCACAATTGGTCAGAATGAAGCCAACAAATTCTAAAATCCAATCGATCAATCCCAAATTTTTCCACTCACCATACATAATCAATCATTCAATATTGGCACAAATATACACTTAAGATACTTGCGGACATTAAATTAATTTGACACTTCTACTACTCATTGCTTTGCAATTTTCAAAGCTCAAACTGTATGATGGTGAATTTGGGCATCATTAATCAATGTGGACAATCCAAAATCAATTTGTTTATCTACGTCATCGGTTTGAAATGAAGTCAACCAAACAATAGCAATTAAGATAAAACCCTAAAACAGTAATACAACTAATAAATAGCAATGAAATGGCGAATAAGAAAATACCAGAAAGAGAAAAAAAAAAACCCTAATTAGTAGAAGGGGCAGAGAGATTCTCCACGAGCTTCTTGTCCCTTCTTTCCATGGCCACATCCCACATATCATTTCCGATGTGCTTTGGCTGTTAAAAAATCAAACAATTTGTGAGTTACTGAACAATTAACAAAGAAAAAAATTGAATGATTAGATCCATCTACGGATAAAAAGGAATATACCCGGCCATGAGCGGCTTTGTGGATGTAATATTGAGCATTACCCATAACACAAAGCATTCCTGCTATGATTCCAAGTGGTAGAGCTGCCTCTAACCATATCCACGCCATTTTTCGCTTCTTCTCTGTTACGAATTTGATAGATCTCCCTTTTCTTTCTTTCTTTCTTTCTTCTTCCTCCACAAAAGTTCCTGCTGATATAATTTTTATTTATCTTTGTTTTTCACATCAGTGTAAAAACTGGATTATCCCCTCTACCGAAGCCCATAACAAGGCCAAGACCCAAATCTGTGATCCATTATTTCCGGCCCACGATCCTTTATCCACGTTAATCAATAATCAAGATAAAGATTCGGGGACAGTAATATTCTGTTAAACCCGAATAACCAAACCGATGCTTGGTTCATTTGGATTGTCCGACAAAATCAGTTTGGTTCGGTCTTTACTTTTTGAAATTTGGTTAATTATTTTTTTTTTAAGAAAACCGAATATACTGAAATAACCGATTTTGTAAAGAATTTTCAACTAAATTAGTCAATTTGAAAGATAAAATTTTGGTTTCAATTATTCGATTCCATTTGATTTTTTATTAATAAAATTAAAATGATTTGATTTCATTCTTGAGATTTATTCCATCCAATTGAACTGAATGTTGACCCCCTAATTACAACTGTTAAAGAGTAGATATGAATTTGAATAAAAGAGGTTTTAATGGTAACTTGAATACTTTATACTTGGATTTTTCTATATACGTATTGTTTGGTATAAATAGAGAAATAAATAAAAGGTTAATCCTTAATTAATTTTACTAAAATTGTTTACATAAGCATCTTAAATATTGAAATGATGACAATTTTAGTCGGTAAAGAGAGAATAAAAACAACTAATTTTATCGAACATGATTTCAATCTCTACAATCCTGTAAAATTCATAAATTAACTTTATTTTCAAAAATCAATAAATAATCTCTTTATTTTCTTACTATGCAACAAAATGATTATTCTATTAATTTTGTTATAAAATAACAATTTTGCCTTTAACAAATTTTCCCTTTATAAAACCCTATATATACACACAAAAATATGGGGATTAGAATCCAATGACATACACCAGCATGTCAAAAAAAAAAAAAAAAAATTGAAATTATGTTATAAATATAAATTTTGCTTTAACAAATTTTTTCCCTTTATACAAACCCTATAATATACAGCACAAATATGGGGATTACGAATCCAATGACATACATCCCAGCAATGTCAAAAAAACCAGCATGTCAAAAAAAAAAAAAAAAAAATTGAAATTATCAATAATTGAATCATCAAATTTCCCAAAAGGATAGAAGTCCAGCTTTTGTGGTAAGCAATTATTGAAGAGCCTAATCTTAGCCGAAGATAGGTTTGTTCCAATGTTGACTTGGACTTGATTAACATTTGGGTATCGCAGACCCAATGCAATTATTGAAGACCTAATGTTGGTTGAGAGTCTTTTTGGCTGATTATAAGATATGGTTCCTGTAGGCATTACAAGGCAAAATTTAAAAATAAAAAAAAAAAATTGCAAAATCAAACAATTTCTCACTTTAACTAACAAATTACATCATGGTTCATCATCCATGAGTCACCTTTAAAAATACCATGCAATTCCATGTACATTTTATTACTTAATTAATTTAATTCATCAAAATAAACTAATTTTTGAAATAATTTAGTTAAAAATTGTGTAGATGTATAATGGACGAAATATTTTTTATAAAAGAAACGAAGTAACTTATTTATCTCGTATTTGAAATTACTAAAATAATAATTTATTTTGTGTAAAATTGACTTAATTCATCTTCACAACTCTTTTGAATTTTATCGTGTGAGAAACAAGATCACAGACAATGAAGTATTTGAATTGATATTTTATTAATAATTTTCTCATTTTATGGCACGACATTTAGGTAGTACCTTGCTAAAATATAAGTTAAATTTCATAATTATTGCATTTAAAATATTATTGTTTTTTATTTTGTTTATTTGCTTTTCATCCTTAACTGCAATTGAAACTGTTATTTCTATAAAATAAAATTGATAAAAAGATTAAAATAAAGTTAAATTCTAAAATCCTATAGATTTCGGAATATTCACATATATTCCGCCAATTGCAACTATAAATGGAAATGCAAATGCAAATGACACTTGAATTGATCGGTGAATTTGTTGGATGCACATCAACATTGGTTAGGAATTACTTGCCTATAACCTCTAAACTAATAATTAACTGTCACTTTATAAATTTATTACCGTTACTTTGTTAATTTGTTTTCTTAGTGAAAATATATCTAAATCTTTACAGTTTCATGTGTTTTTATTAGATTTAACTTGAATGAACTTATCTTTATTATTTCATCATGTGTTTTCATTAGTTAGATTAATGCGGGTGAGCAGGTGGAGGTCTTTCTTGAACAGTGCCCTTTCTATCATTGTATGCTTTTAAACATATCTGAAGAGTGCATTATTCCTTGTTTCAGTTTCGACAAAGGTGCGCTCGGCTTAACTGTTCTAGTAACTGTTTTACTAACTATTAGTTGTTTTATCAATGGCTAGCTATTAGTGGTGAGCGATTATATAGCGATTTAGAATAAAAGTGTTCGATATAAATAACTGTTTGATTAGCTGTTTAATATAAAATGATAAAAAAATGTATGAGAGCGAGAAATAAGGTAAAAATAAGTGATGGGTATAGGTGTTGTAAAAAAATTATAAAACGTTAAACGTTAATAAAGATAACGTTTCATAAAATACGGTCTCAAACTCTAAATACTATAGTAAATATTATATTATCGAATGCTATAATTAATTAAGATAGTGTTTCAATCCTATTAAAACACTAAATATTACTTCAAACGCTTCTTCCGAAGATGACTACATATCTATTAGCCATAACTCCACCACTTCAAAAAAAAAAAAAAATGCAAATGCAGGGTAAATAATTGTTTTGACAAATAATTCAAATGGTAAACTTTAAATAAAACACTTATGAAATCACGATTACATGGTATATTTCTATTAAAATAGTAGTTATTGACAAATAATAAAAAAAAAAAGATAAAACTAGTTGAGTCCATAGACAAAGATATGATTTTTTTTTTTTTTCTTTCTTTTATCAATCAGAGGATCCGTTCATTTTCGAAAAATAATTTGTCATGAAACTGCATTTTTCGATTTTTGAAATGCTCAGGAGAATCAGTCAACGAATAATATTTTTTCAGTAAAAAAAAAAAAATTTTAAAAAAAATTACTTATTATCTTCAAAAGAGTAAAATATTATATTGATAAGTTTATTATAAACCTTGTAAATACACATTTTTTAATTTACTAATTACCAACAGCCACCACCACTAATCGTTAATCGTTACCGGCCACCAACATTAGTCACAGTGGATCACAATTTATCATTTCTTATACATTTTTTTCTGGTATTTGATAATAAAATTTTAAAATATAAATTAATTCATAATTATAAATATTTTTATAATAGAACACTTGAGGAAAATACATATTTTTGTTTAATTTATACTAATTACCTGAACGAGCCACGAACCACTAAATGTAATCGTTAGCCCGGAAACGAAACATTCGTGAAGTGGTGGAATCAGCAATATTATCATTTCGTTATACATGATTGTTTTTTCTGGTAATTTGTTGTGGTTGATAATAAATATTTTAGAAATTAATTAAATATTCATAAATTATTGAGAATATTTTTTATAAATTTACTAATTAAAGCATTTTATATTGATTTTAAATTTAAGAGTTTCATTTTCTAAAGAATAATTAAAATTTTAATATTTTTAAATTAAATTTCAATATTATAACTAAAAAACAATAGAAAATGATTTATTTAAAAATATTTACTTAAAAAAAAGAGCTCTTATAATGTACACTTCCCTAAAAAGGAGTTAAATAAGTAATTGCTGTTAGTCGAAGAGGGAGGCGCAGCCATACATGAGTGATATGGATTGGCTAACAAACCATCGTTGTTGGTGAGAGTCAGAGGTGAGTTGAATTCCAAGTTTGGGAAAAAAAAATGAAAAATGTAATCTCATCTTTCTATGTTTCCCATTATTAATAAAAAAAATATTTTTTTTTTGTTTCGTCATTTTGTTATTTAAATTACACTTTGTCCACAATGAAATACCTTACAATTAATATTTGTTATTTTGAAAGAAGACAACCATAAAAATATTATAATTTAAATTTATCTATTTTATACAAAAAAAAAAAAAACCACTTTATAATTAATTGTAGCTGTTAGTGCAAACCGCTATTCATTGACAACTATCCTCTAAACTAAATAAAAATTGCAATTTAATTAATAATTTAAATTATTGACATTTTAAGTTGAGTCTATAGTCTTGTCACAGTAAAATAGAATTTAATAGTAAATGCATATATGAACTGATAATAAATTCAAGTTTGATTATCTACTTTCTCAATACTAAAAAAAAAAAAAAGAGTCTATAGTATTGTGATCGAAGTGCTAATTTAACTATATCGATGAAAAATGTGAGTTTTGACTTTATATTTTTTTATCAAAAACTATGTTTAGTTATAGAAACAGATTAACATATGTACATAGTTGAATATATGTTTTTTGTGAAAATGGTATGGTATTTATATTTATTGGCTCGATTAATTCAAATTCATCGTAGATAGACTCACAAAGGAGTAAAACGCTCCTTACTAAAATTTAAAAGTGCTTTATACCAAGGGCTTGAATAAAAAATTTAAATTTATTAACGTCTCTCATATTTAATATTTAATATTTTATGTATTAAATAGTAATTTTCATAAAATAAATACTTTAAATAGAGAGTCCTTGATGGGGAAATTCAGTATGAGCTGTGTAAACTAAACAAACTGAGATGCTCTAGCATTGCTTACTAACAACGGCTTACTTGAAATCATAGCAATGATTGTTCTTTAATTGCAGATAGTTAACTAATTCAGATATTTTTTAGAAAATACTAAAATTAATGAAAAAAGTTAATTTAATAAAAAAATATATATTATTTTAATCGATTAGAGGCTCAATAAGTTAGAATAACATTACACAGTAGAACATATTTCATTTTTGAATTAACACTCATTAAATTATTGAAAATTTTCGCGAATCAACAAAAACTGAAACTCGGGGCCTCAAAATTTTTCAATGGTATAGATTATTCGTGTTTTTAGTTTATTTTAATAAAAATGATGATAGAAAAAATATAATAAAATAATAATTAAATAAAAAAAAACGCTGATTACATTTTTCTGAATAGATACTAAAAACGACGTAGTCTAGTAGAAAAGCGTAAGGGCAGTCGTTAGGCAGCAAGAGTCCAGCTAAGCCTGCGTTGGCGACATCATTATCAGTTTTTGTATATACGATTGGCCTCTTGTTTTACGTGGGACCGCCCCCACCTTCCCACCCTCATACATCCACTGATTTTCTGCATGCCTAACACGTGTCCTCATCTGCACCAAGGACCTTCATGTACAGTACACAACCAGAAAATTCCATCTCTCCAGATATCAAACCGAAGCCAACCGCAGACACTAAAGTAAAAAAAAAATTGTAAATTTGTTTTGGGGTGAATTATTTATTTTTAGCCCCTCTAATTTGATAAATTAACTATTTACTTTATATATTTTTAAAATGATATAAATACATCATTTTGGTTTAAACTGGTCAATAATTTAATCATGTTGCTGTTCGGTAAAAGACGAAAATACCTCAAATATTTGTGTAAATTAATAAGAATAACTTTATTAAGGGCTACTTTGATCTTTTTACTAAAAATTAAAAATAAGAAAATATATATTTTAAAAGAAAAATCTTATTAGTCCAATAATAATTAACTACAAGTATATATTTGTATTATTTTCAGAAAGATAAGTACTAAATAATTATTTTCATTAAACTGGAAGGATTAAATAGCAATTTATAGATTTACTTGCCATCTTTACTGTTATCCTACCATGCCTTAATTTTAGCTTCCTAAAAGATACTGCACTCTTGTTTATTTTTTATTTTTATTATTATTAAGGAAAAAAAATGAAAAGTAAATAAAAGGAAGATAAATAAATAATTAAAGATTTTGGCTTACTTTCTGCAAATTCACAGAGAGCTTGTCGAGAAAGAGTAGACCCTTAACCCTTTAGACCTTTTCTTTTCTTTTCTTTCTTTTTTTTTAATTAATAATTTTTTTGCTCTTATTACAAACCCTCCTTTATTGATGGTGCTGTGTTTCTCCTTTTTCTTCTGCAACAACCACAACTAAAACCCTTTCTTTTCTTTTCTTTTCTTTTCCATCTCATTCTTTTGTTTGTTCAAGAAAGAAAATAAAAAAAGGAGAAAAAATCTGGAAGAAAAAAGAGTCATGTCAGGTTTGTATGATCCCAACTTCTCACCTGCAAGAGCTGCTTCTCCTCAGATTAGAAGCACTCCAGATGTTGACAGGTACGCTCTGCCCCAACCCCATAAACCCCAACCTCATAGAAATAACGAGAGAGGGGCAAAAGATGTTCACTTCCCCTTGCGATTTTATTGAAATTTTGATTTTCATGTATATTAGTGTACTGAATTATGTTGTATGTGATCTGTTTGGATTGTCTGTTTCTCTTTGTAGTCAGTACTTGTCAGAGTTGTTAGCTGAGCATCAAAAGCTTGGACCTTTCATGCAGGTTCTGCCCATATGTAGCCGACTGCTAAATCAAGGTCTACTTCTCTGTCTCTGATTTTTCTATTGGATCTAGGTTTTTCTAGATTTTCATAGGTTTATTTGCGTTTTCTGCCTCTTGCTTTTGGCTTTGTGAATGGTATTCTGTGCGTGGATTGATGGTTTTCTAGTGTCATGATTCCTTACTAACTGATTTATACTAAATTCACTTCGACTCCTTTCGAACTGATGGATTTCATTTTTGGTCTTGGCTTGATCATGGAGAAGCACTTACTTTTGAGTTCATTGGAGACTAACATTCTGCAATTGGGTTTGATGAGCTGGGGGAGGACCATTGGGATCTTAACACTGTGTTTAAGATAGTTTTTGAGTACTCAAGTGGCTTCCGTGCAATGAAATTATCTGAAACATTGTTGTAATTGCAGTGAAATGGGGTCAATTATACCTTTACATTCAGTTAAGTAGTGGCTTATGAATGCTAACATAACTGAGACGGTCTCACTGGTTTTTGAATATGTTACTCTAGAACAAACTTAGTGGAACAAACTGCTATACTGTTGAAGTCCTTATAGATAGTGGAGTGGTTGTATTCAACTAAACTCATCCAGCATCAATTTCAAACTAGTCAATTGGCCACGTTAAAATAATATTCTTGAGAATTAAGCCTGAGTGCAAGAAAGATCTTGAAAAACAATCATAAAAGGGTTGGGTAGTACTAGTTATAGGTAGTTCCTTTTTCTCACAACTGATACAATGTTATTCTAATAAAAATAAATAAAGACGCCAAAATTTTTGTATTTTCAGATTTGACGCAGTTTTCCATTTTGGGTTCAAATTTAGTGGCAGAAGAGTTGGCAATAGGAGACCTATGGTGGGTTGGAAGTAGCTCTTGACTAAAAATTCAGTCTCCTCGGTGACACTGCATAGGTCCAATTCAAGTGTTTTTCAATAGCAGATAGTCAAAAATTGTAATGCCTTAGTAGTTTGTTCCAAGAGAAAATATATGGTTCTCATGTGCAACATATGAGTAGTTGTCTTCACTAGGCCACCAGATGCCTAAGAATTTTAGCTGTTCCACTAACCAATCTTCCCAGATTAGTATTGTGTTCAAGGTAATGCATCATCATGTATTATAGGAAACAGTTGACTACTTAACTCTAGCCTTTTTGTGACACAAATGGCCTATAGGTTTGTCTTCCATCATCTATTTCAGGGTTCCATTCTTTCGCTTTTGTGGGGTCTGCAATTCTTCTTTCTATTGCTGTGCTGTCTATTTATCATATTCCCGCATCTGTTTCTTAATTAAAATGCGTTTTATTTTTTTGCTTGTAGAAATTTTTCGGGTTTCAGGAATGATGTCCAACCAAGGATTTGGCGATTTTGACAGACTGCGGCATAGAAGCCCCAGTCCCATGGCTTCATCAAACCTCATGTCTAATGTTGGCGGAACAGGTTTAGGTAGCTGGAATGGTCTTCCTCAGGAGGTAATTATTTCTTCTGGCTTTTAGTTGAGCATTTTAGTATTGTATGACTGAAGATCTGAAATCCCCCCCTTCTCTCTTCTCTCTTTTTGGCTACTACCTGTTAACTTGGGATAATCCCTGCAATTGGCAGTTTGGGTAGATGATGTGAAAAATTAAAATTGATTTTAATTTTCATTAATTAATTGGAATTGGCTAGAAAATCCTTTTGCTGATTTAGTTTGATATTAAGATTTTTATTATTCACGCATTGAGATTGGGAACACTTGCAACTCGCTAGTTGTTACATTGACTTTCTTCTTTCATATAAACTTAAGAAATCATTTCTTCAACTTATGGAAAATCTTTTTGTTTGATTTTGGAACCTGAAACAAACTTTATTCTGCTTCAATCAGCTTGTGTCCTTTACTTTACCTACACAGCTACATTCTTGTTTGTGCTTTATCAACACAACCAAATTATCTTGTAGTTTTAAGATTTGAGTTTTGTTTGTATTATGCTAGAATTAACTGCAGGGATATCCACATGTCAAATATGTTATATGTCTATCTTGTTTGCTTGAATTGGACATAAACTTACTACAGAATAAAAGAGATCCAGTTGATAGTTTATCTTCTGTTACTATGTACTATACTAGGTTACATCAAGTATTGATTGCTTTGGCACATGGAATGAAATGGGGAATGCGAAATGTCTTTAAGGAGTAAGGTTGGGGTGGTCTTCTTTCAGATTATGTTATGGGGACAAAATATGATTATCCAGATTGCATATATGATGAAATATATGCAAAAAATCATATACTAGATTCATAAGAATTACCACAAAGATTATCTAATAACCTCCAAGTATAATAAATTATTTTCAATAACAAAAATGCTATTTTAAATACTTATGTGCTATATCCAGATCCTAAAATTCACAGCACAATAATAATAGTGATAACAACAAAATTATTTGAGATTTGCGTTTGACTGTTTGCATTTAGGAACAGTCATTTCAGTGTCGTAAATTGCTAATATTCATAGTAGCAAAAAAAAAAAAAAAACAAAAAAAGTTAAGTTGCTTTAAAACACTATGATGACACAATCCCTCTTAGTGAAAAGACTAGGGCCCATTATATAATTAATTCAGAAGCAGTTGTCTTTAAAGAGAAAAGGGTGATCCTGAGACAAAAGTTGTGGGATCCTAACTGTTGAAGCTCGAATCTTTCCCTGGCACACCTTGGCTATACTGGAGAAAATGGGGACCAAGGAGATCAGAATTTAGAACTTTAGATAGGGTGTCTGGCAAGAACGTTTATTGGCTAAGTTGGCTTAAGGTTTTTGTAAGAGTTATGAATTCTGATAGAACTACCTGTAGCACCTGTTCTCTGGGTTCATGTAGGAGTCAGAGCTGGCACAACTGGCCCCTGCATTGTTAGAGGCGCACACATGTGCATCAAATCTATATCCCTTAATTTTCTTCTTGCAACAAAGTACACTTGAATCATTAAATATGAACGTGACTGTTACTGGAGCTTTCTACCAACTCCTCCAGGGATGATCTACATGCCCTAATATAAAGCTGGTATCCTCTAACCAGCTTAACTCAGTTTGGCTGGCTTGCCAAGTGATTGGATCTTGTACTAAAGGGGCATTTGCATTTTGGTCTCACGGGAGGCCAATTTTTATCATCCGCCAGCAAATCATTTTTTTACTTATTAGAAATGTATACGGTGATTGGTTTCATCAGCAAAAGTGATACCCTCTAATTCCAGTTCAGATAAATTCCATTGCTTTGTGAAAATTTTTCTCAGATTCAATTGTATGGGGTCTTTGAAATGGCATCTGATCCTACCTGTGATAATATTGAATTGGAAAGAGTATGCTCAACGCATAGGGCTTGAAGTTTGAAAAGTTCCATTGCATAATTCCTTGTGTTGCAATTATGACGTGTTTGTTCTTATTATTTGTTTATATGTGTTAATGTGCCAGAACATGTAGCAGTTTAATTTTATGCTTGCTCTGTTGCTGCTAAGTTAAACATTCAGCTATTTTATTTTTCTTTCTCCTATTCTGTTATTAGAGGCGGGATAAGTATTGTTTTAGGATCATGCATGATATGATGGCTTCCAGTGTCTCTTTATGTCTCTAGTTCCATGTCGTTTGATCCATAAGCTATTTGATCCTCTATTCTTCCATTTCTATGTTATAATAATAAAGTTAAATGTTTCATTCAGAGATTAAGTGGGCCCCCTGGAATGACAATGGACTGGCAAGGTGCACCGGCGAGCCCTAGTTCATACACTGTGAAGAGAATTTTGCGTTTGGAAATTCCAGTAGATACTTATCCAAATGTGAGCTTTCTTTTTTCTTCATGTTCTGGTGTTATCGTGTTAAATTTACCCAGAATTCAGTTTATTAAAATAGGATCTTGTAACAAGCGTTACAACTTTGCTGTCTGCTTCATGTTTGGTAGTTTAATTTTGTTGGGCGACTTTTGGGCCCCAGAGGCAATTCATTGAAACGGGTGGAAGCTACCACAGGCTGCCGTGTATACATTAGAGGGAAAGGATCAATAAAGGACCCAGACAAGGTAGTGGATTGATGCCCATGCACATTCTTTTGACTGTTAAAATTTGCTCTTTTCAGTGAGGAATGCAGCTGAAGAACATTTATGAATGAATTCCCATGAATAAATCTGCTTTTCTGTTCCTAATATTTTTATCTGATTCCATCTTGAAGGAAGAGAAGCTTAGGGGAAGACCAGGTTATGAGCACCTGAATGACCCACTTCACATCCTAATTGAAGCTGATTTACCCGCTAATATTGTTGATATGAGGCTGAGACAGGCACAGGAAATTATAGAAGAACTGCTTAAACCTGTGGTATAAATTCTACTACTTTATTATGTTTGGAAATACTATGCAATATTAGGATTTTGTAATCATTAAGAGCATTGATAGTGTTTCATGCACTTTTTGGAAATTCTGGTCTTCCACATGATATGTATTTTTCTTGGATGAGTCGAGGAACAACTATTGAAGAACTTCTAGGATTTAATGTCCTCACAGTTTTGTGTTTTAATGCAGACTTTTAGCTAGTATATATTTTACTTTTGTTTATCTGAATTAAGTGCTGACCTCTGCTGCTTAAGAGGAGTAGAAGAGAGCACGTCATAGATTGAAAAGAGAAGTGATTCAGGTTGGAATATGCCCATATTTGTCTGTTTGTAGAACACTGAAGTACCATGCACAATCTAGTTAAATTTCTGTAATTTCTGTCCAAGCACTCGCTTAAAAATTGAAGTCAAAATACCAGTGTTCTCATGACAAGCAGCTTTATAGTCTATGGCTCAGTTCTAATGGAGTGATGATTAATTTACCGTGTCTTGGTATCTCATTCTCCATGCCATTGTACCAGCATGCATGCTGGACTTTGATGAAGGAAAAAGTTTGAATTTTCAATACCATTTTTGCCCTTTTCAGGCTAAAGTATCTTTTGCATATGCAGGATGAGTCGCAAGATTTTATCAAGAGACAACAGTTGCGGGAACTAGCCATGCTTAATTCAAATTTCAGAGAAGAAAGTCCTGGGCCGAGTGGTAGTGTCTCTCCTTTCAATACAAGTGGGATGAAACGAGCAAAAACAGGCCGTTAAATTATCATGTTTAATCCCATATGTAATGGTTTTCATCCTGCAAATGAATTTCATCGCTGAGTCTAGCTTCCAATACATCTCAATTCAGCACAGCTATAAAAGAATAGGCTAACAGTTACTGTTGGTGAGCTTTCTTGTTGGGGGTTTCTTTTATTTTTGTTATTTTTCTCCCAAGATAAAAGACGAATGGAAAGCATTCAAAAAAAAGGAAAAAAAAAAAAAAAAAGACTTACATAGCTGGTTCTTGAGTTTAGGCTTGCTGAGGTCAGTTATTTTCCTTCTTTCTTTCTTTCTTTTTTTTTTTTTTTTTTTTTTTTAATTTTTTGTTTATTTTCTCCCAAATAAAAAGAACGAAATGGAAAGCATTCAAAAAAAAAAGGAAAAAATAAAGAAAAAAAAAAGATTTACAATAGACTGGTTTCTTGTGAGTTTAGGCTTGCGAGGTCAGTTATTTCCTCTTTTCCTTTCTGTTCTTTTTTTTTTTTTTTTTTTTTTCTTCCTTCCTTAAATGTATCAACTATATTCATTAGGATTTATTCTGTGTTAGCAACTTAAGGGAGTGGGAAATAATATTCAATGCTCAAGGGGTACAGTGGTATTAAAAAGACGATGAATCGAGGTTTGGGAGTGCTTTTTTTTTTTTTTTGTTTTTGGCATAGTGTGGTAGAAGTTTTTTTTTTTTTTTTTTTTTGGCATAGTGTGGTAGAAGTATTGACTGTTGAGTTGAATTGTCACTGTTGGGTCTTTTAAGTTATTCAATTCTTTTAAAATTTTATTTGGTAGCATGATGAGTGGTATTGCAATCTTTTTGAATCAAATAAATGTATCCACGGAAGGCTATTGTCTGGTAAGTTTTAATGAAAGCTATGAAATAGCTATATATGTTAAATCGAAATGAAATATGATTAAAGGCATGATAAATACCAAACATGCTGTTTTTATTATTATTGTCTGAGGTTAAGTGTTTCACAAACAATGACTTAACCATCTTATATGAAGCAAAATAAAGACTCTTGGTAGGTGATGAGAGTGACCAGATGCAAATCTGGAATTTTACTTGGTTGATTTGGTCCATAAAAGTCACGTAGACCACGCAATTAACATATTTTCTAGGCATATTATTTAGATAGATTTTCACTCATGCACTGAATCAATAAAAAAAATTAGTTACCAAACGATGATATTCTTTACCATTGACCTGAAAGAATAGAATAAAATGAAAATAATGTTGATAAAATCTCTATTTCATTGATTTGGTTCATTTTCAAACCTATAAACCGGGTTTATGAATAACTTTATTTGGCATAAAATGAACTTTACCCATTAATTTGATTCGTTGAAGGATTTAAAAATCAGAAATTATTTGCAAAAATACTCCGACCTGCCGGATACGAACCGGAATCCTAAGGATAGCAACCAACAACTAGTCCTCCGCTCTCCTCCGCTCTACCGACTGAGCTAAGGTAGCATGGTACCTTTGTTCACAACTAAAATATAAGGTATAAAAGGAACAACATACACGTGGCCTCGCAAACTAGAATGGCATATAGGGTTTTAATTTTTTAATTTTTGCTGCATCGCCCTCACTATATAACGTTTATATTCACCACTTTCGTCGGTGTTCACGGCTAGCGTTCATTCTCCGGCGATTCCATACTTTTGTCATTCGCCCCTTGGCAGCGTTTCTGATTAGTTATATTCGACATTAGATTTGATTGTTCAGCTAATTACAGTGATCGATCAAGGATCACCTTGATTTGTCACCTACTTTCGCTTCATTTTCATATATAAAAGGTATGCTCTTATTATCATTTTAGATCTTTCTTTGAATCCAGATCTGTGAATTCATTTTATTGATTTTTTTGATTTTTTTTCTTCTCGTTTTTTGTTTTAGGAGTTTAAGTTTTGATCGAGAAAAATGGCTACGGCGGCCCAGCTTCGTTGTTCTGCTTTTGCAAGTCAATATCCGAAGAATTCTCGTGTCTCCAATGCCGATTGTCCTTCTACTGTCTCTTTCCCATTTTCAAATCCCCAAAATCGTTCTCTTAACCTTCTTCCTCTTCCTCATTTGAAACTTGGCAAGCCTGAGCTTTCATATGGCGGAGGCAATGGCAACAGCGGTGTTGGTCGTGGGCATGGTGGAAACGGCGGTGGCGATAGTGGAGGTTGGAGTGGTGATTCCAATTTCGAGAATTCATCGTCGTCTTCAGGATTTGGTATTCTAGCTCTTTTCCTCAATGGATGGAGATCTAGAGTAGCTGCTGATCCACAGTTCCCTTTCAAGGTTTTGATGGAGGAATTAGTTGGTGTCTCCGCTTGTGTTCTTGGCGACATGGCTTCTCGCCCTAATTTTGGACTGAATGAGCTCGATTTCGTTTTCTCAACGCTAGTTGTTGGTTCTATATTGAATTTCACTCTCATGTACCTTTTAGCACCTACAGCTTCAGCTTCCAGTGCAAGTCTCCCTGCAATTTTCGCTAATTGTCCAACGAGTCACATGTTCGAACCCGGTGCATATACTCTAATGAATCGACTCGGCACTTTTGTGTATAAAGGCACTATATTTGCAGCGGTGGGGTTCGCGGCAGGACTAGTAGGAACTGCATTATCGAATGGATTGATTTCAATGAGGAAGAAGATGGATCCAACTTTTGAAACACCAAATAAGGCGCCACCAACAGTTTTAAACGCAGTTACCTGGGCGCTTCATATGGGGATTAGTAGTAATTTGAGATATCAAACTTTGAATGGAATTGAGTTTTTACTGGCTAAAGGACTCCCTCCTTTGGCTTTTAAGAGTTCAGTTGTGGTTCTTAGATGCTTGAATAATGTAATGGGTGGAATGTCTTTTGTTATATTGGCAAGGTTGACAGGGTCGCAGAGTGTGGGAGAAGCGAAGCCAGTTGCCGTGGAGGGCTCAGAGAAGGAGAAGTTGCTTGATGGAGGAGAGGAAATGCGGGGTAATCAGTCGACATTCAAGTGATGTGATCAGATTAGATATGCGTTGCGAGTTGTGTTTATATGTGTAATAGCGAACAATAAAGATCGAAACTTGATGAGTAGTCATGTCCAGGATTTGGCTTTTAGTTCTTCACAGGTGTTTCTGTTGTTCGGTTTTATCTAATGATTGAGCCTTGATTTAACAGTTAAACATGTCATTGATGTAGGCTTGTTCTTTGGTGAATCAGTCTTTTTACAATGTTTATATTAAGGTTGTGTTTGGTAAATGTTAATATTAATATTGTGGCATACCAAACATGCCCTTGTCCAGAACTATATCAAATTACAAACCCAGACGCTACACTCTTCCAAATTAACCTCCACATATTGAGAAAGCACAAATACAGTATACATTAGAATCACAAAACATCCTCAAGTTGAGGAGTCCTCTAAGCTAGTCTACAAAATAATGGCATGTAATATCTATACTTTGAACTTACAAAAAAAAAAAAAAGAAAAAAGGAAATTCTATCTAACTGCCTCTGGAGCAGAATTGCAGTATGGCGTGTGCAAGCAAACCAACTTAGTACACGTTAAACAGAGAGTAGCAAACCCGACTCCGACTGCAAGCCCGATGCCACCTTTCCTTGAATCCAACATTACTGCTCTCTTAATTATCCTTCCAAAGGACGGTATTAATCCTCCGCATGCAAAAACCATTATGTGGTCTAGACCGCTGTAGTCGATTCCTGCAAGTATGGCTCCAATAGCAGATATTGGACCCATAAAACCAATTAAAGCTGCTGCTGCTAGCGCATTGTGCCAGTTGTCAGTAGCACCAAAAATGCAGCTAGCAACAGCTGCACCACGGGGAAGCCCATGTAGAGAGACAGGAAGGACCATGTGCCGACCAAGTCCATAAGCTTTTGGTGCAGCCACCCCTAGTGCAAGCCCCTCAGCCAATGCATGAAAGGCAACTGCTCCGCATGAAAGGAATGATTGAAGGGTGTGAATACTCATTGGAAAGCCAGTTATCATTGGTAAATCAGTTGATGATGCCTTTTTGCGACCCGGAAAACTTAAAATGCTAGAGCTAGAAACATGGACAAATGCTGCTCCCAGCGCCAGCAAAAATAAAAGAGAGAGGACTCCCATCTTTGAAGACAAAAGAAGCTGCAGTGGTCGCCAGGCACCAAGGACAAAGGCAATTCCAGATGCTGCACCCATAAGAAGGGCATGCTGAAGATGGAATGCAAGTGCAAATGTAACAAGAATGATGCCACCAAGTAATGGCCCTAGGCCAAAAAGCAACGAAACAAAGAAGCCTGAAGCATCCTCTGCACTGAAATTTAATAAAAAATTGAAATTCAGTAGTAAATAATAAATCAAATACAAGAATAGCAAAAAAAAAAAAAAGCAGTTGCAAATAATAAAGTAAATACTAGAACAGAAAAAAAAAAGATTGAATATGATGACATTTGAATTAAAATGTATAAGACAAGTGGGAGGAAGAACTTGAGATTCAGAAGAAAACATCAACAACCAAGCAAGCGTTGCCTAAGTACTGAAGTAACAAAATGCAAAGTTACATTTTATATTACAGATGTTGAAAGCATATATGGTCCAAAGAATATGCATTCACTATAATACCATACAATCAAATGTTCATGGGAACCCAAAAGCTATTCATTCACTATAATACCATACAATCAAATGTTTATGGGAACCCAAAAGCAATGGTTTTAGGTCACCTTCAATTCACGTATATGACCAAGATTTTAAGGAAGATAAATTGTTCCTAATAACCATTTAGGAGTTGAAGCTGCATGTCATCTGTAACCAAGTATTAGAGAAAAAGATCGCAGCTGTTAAACTAATGGACCACTTCTGTACACTAGTATCAGCATAAGCATGTTAAGGACACGTGATGTTATAGTGAATCATCAAGCATAATGCATAGTGGCTACTTCCAGCTATTTATTTTTGGAAAGCTAAAGCTCCATCGCAACTTACTTATAGTCATGGTTGAAATTTTGGAACATGATGCTTAGTGCTTCCATAAATGCCACAGAAATTGTAGCCGCTGAGGCCACTTGAGAAGAAGAGGCTTCCTGTGATAAAGCCCAGACAAGATTAACACCATGTGCTATTAGGATTGTGAGGTCAAATTACTACCAAGGTTATTACCTTCATCCCAAACATTAAAAAAAAAAAAAAAAATCTGTAACCAAGTATTAGAGAAAAAGATCGCAGCTGTTAAACTAATGGACCACTTCTGTACACTAGTATCAGCATAAGCATGTTAAGGACACGTGATGTTATAGTGAATCATCAAGCATAATGCATAGTGGCTACTTCCAGCTATTTATTTTTGGAAAGCTAAAGCTCCATCGCAACTTACTTATAGTCATGGTTGAAATTTTGGAACATGATGCTTAGTGCTTCCATAAATGCCACAGAAATTGTAGCCGCTGAGGCCACTTGAGAAGAAGAGGCTTCCTGTGATAAAGCCCAGACAAGATTAACACCATGTGCTATTAGGATTGTGAGGTCAAATTACTACCAAGGTTATTACCTTCATCCCAAACATTAAAAAAAAAAAAAAAAACATTATGTTACCTTCCTCCCAAACATTACAAAAAAGAAACCATTACTTTACCTTACTTTACTTTAATAAACCTTCCCCCATCCCATCCAAACAAAGTGCAAACCCAGAGTGGATTCAACCAAACAGATACAAATTTAGCGAGAATTACCTTGAAAGCATCTGGAAGAACTTCTGCAATGACCATCCAAATCATACATCCAGCCGCAAAACCAGTACAGAAAGGCAGGAATTTGTTAAATGCATCAGCACATATAAATGAAGGAACTGCTACAATTGGCTGCAGTGAAATAAATTAATTTCTCAGCAGTTGAGAAGCTGAGGGAATCCACCCACTTGCCACACAATCATAATTGAAAAGAAATTTTAAGCCACAAAAACATATTTATTCATATCGTGCTGCTCACAAATTTTCTTCTTGGAAAATGTAAAAACCACCATTACGCTTGTTTGTATGGTTAATAATCACACACGCACTTGAAGATGCAAATTGGGTGATTTACTACATCTGACAAGTGCAAATAACCTAAAAGGTCCACTCATAGTCTGGGTTTGTGCCTAAAAAAAAGTGGGGCATAGATATGTATCTTGGTCTGGTAATGGTATGGGATTTTGGATTCATAAAAGTTGAGATATTTCTATTTCCAATTTGCAAGTATTAAGCTAACCGAAGAAACAAATCTGTTGAGTTTACCAGAGGAAGTACTGAGGCATGCAAGCAACTGATTTATCAAAATTGGCAGCACACCTCAAGACAGAGGTGGAAAAGGCAACTCTGTTGCAGACTGGTTAACTTCACATTTTAATGATTCAAACAGACTTCACTATCAATATCATCTTCAAGATCTTGCTTAGCTCCAAGCTGCTATCTTCTTAGTGATCCAATGAAAGAATAGGGGAAAAGAGTAGAAGAAGATTATGCAACTTGATTAACTAAATTTTGAGTTAGCAAAACCCATAAAATGCTCCAACTACTTGCTGGAGATACTTCCATACCCTTGACCCATCGACATCTAAGTTGCGCAAGATATCACATTCCTTAGATTGGGCGAGTTTCTTGCCCAACCATGCTTTGATTTCCATTTTCCCAACTGCAGGACAAAGGTTTCCTACATTAACTGAACAAAAAAATTTAATGCAGGGTTGGACTGGACCAAGCTCTACCCTATCTTGACACTGTATGAAATATGATCACAGAAGAAACCTTCAGATACCTTCAACCCACAGAAGTAATCTGAAGACTCACTGCAATATGAAAAATGATTTTACATGCCATGAGTTCAGGTTGATAGATCAATATCTATAGAGCAGCCAAAGAACATTATAAGAAACCAATAAAGGACATGACAGTTCACCCAAGCTTATCATATTGTCAGAAAAACCACTAAAAATGTATTGCTCATTGATTTACCTTATTTCATTTTCCTTTAATTTTAGTGATTTGTGTATCTAACAAAGTGATCATAACATCCAACTAGTTCTTGTAAAATGAATTATACCAGGAGTCATAAAAAAGCAGTTACCTGAGGCAGCGATGTAATTACACTCCATAACATTGCATTTTGTGGAGAAACACCTCTTGACGCAAGAACCATACTCACAGCTAATCCTTCTGGTATGTTGTGCACAGCGATTGCCAAAGTTACCAAAAGCCCTTGAGAAAAACCCTTTGGGCCAGCAAAGGAAACTCCAACACCAGAGCCCTCACCAAATGAATGGAGAGTCATAATTCCAATAACAAGAACAGCTTTAGTTGCATCAGTACCTTTTATGTCCAACATACTTACTTCCCCATATTGTTCAAGAAACTGAAACCCGGAAATGAATTACAACATGAGAGATAAATACAGAAGTGAATACAAGTAGCAAATGCACAGATATTAAATCGATTGATTTTCATGAAATTGATAAATACAAGGTTCATGTCACTATTAAAATTGGAAATGCACTCGTATTATTTCAACTTCTTAGTCCAGCAATGAAAACATCAAGAAAAGGGTGAATGTTACTTTAATCTGTGGAGCAATCAGAAGTCAAAGACCATAAGCATGAAATAAATTTCAGCTAGGAGGATAAGAAAATTAATAGTTGAACTTGAAAGTCTACCAATTACCTTCTTGCAAAGCAAAATGAAAACTCCACCAGATAAAATCCCAATAACAACCCAATTACCAGCACCATGGTCCTGCCCTTCCTGTATGAGGTCAAAGCTAGCAGCCAACATCACTCCAGCAGCCATTCCATTGCATAACCCAGCCCACTGAGGATCTAGCTCTACAAAAAAGAATGGAACTGCACCTAAACCAGTAGCAGCAGCCATGGCCAATGTAAATAACGCAACAGTAGATATTGAAACCCTGTTGTGACTGCCCTTCCTGTCACCCAGTCCACCACTTGTGCTCTCAAAATCAATGGAACTCTCAGTACCGGTGCCATCTATAACATTGTTCCCTACATTTTTATGTGGGGGAGACCTGAGCCTTCCTGGAATTTCACTTTCAGACTCTGCCAAAATGCAGCCAAAGAATGCAAAGGAGAACAGAAAATATAACAGTGCTTTCTTGAACACAAATTGCATCTTTGCATGAACCACCAAATAATTGCTTCTTCACAAAAGATCCCTCATGTAAATTTGCTACTTTCCCTAAAAATACTTAGCCGCAGATGAATTCATGAAACATTGTGATAAATACTTCACCACAGATGAATCCAAAACTTAAGAATCAAGAAATCAAAATTTTCTGGAATGTGCTAGGTTCAATATCTGCTGCAGTTTAAAGTTGAATGAAAAATATTAATTCAATCATTTCTAGGATAATAATACTCTTAGTTGAAATATAAAACGAAATGATCTCATCTACAAGTTTACAGAACAAAAGAGTTAGATTTGACCAGAGATAACAATTCTAAGAACAATTCCAAATGTATTACATAATCTAAAAGAATTCCAAAATCACATGTAAACAAATTTAACTCGAAATCAAATAGATAATAGACCAATTTAATTATACTTTATAACCTACTTAAAATAATTAAATAGCAACGTCATACTATCTCAAATGGGTTCCTCGTTTAACTTGAAAACTCGTAAATGAAATTGAAATTACAAATTACCAATGTGATTCTATTCGATCCTCCCTTCAAGCTATCTGGGTCGTTTAGGTTTCTGGGAAATTCATAGCATGGAAAATGATAATTAAAAGAAAAAATCACACAGATCGCAAACAATTAAATAGCATTAATACAATCCCAAATCCTGATTATAACCCAAAAAGAAAACTTACCGGAACAAAAGTCGCCGCACAGAAATCGAAATAGTGACAAAAAATTTTCAGATCAAATAAAACAAAAAGAAAAATTGGACAATAACAATATAAAAGGAGACAAAAGGAACTATAAACCCTGACTTGTGATTTTGAGGGATTTTAATAATGAAATTAGGAATACTTTGTTAGCACGTTGTTTTGTTTTCTTATCCCTCAAAACCACCAAAACAGAAACTGCGTGTGCGCCTTCTTTAATCGGAAAAAGAAATGTTTTTCTTGTTACTGTTAATTGTAAAAGAAGGAACATTTAATTTATAATTACACTATAATGACGTCGCGAAACACGAGTGGAATATCCGACTTTTGTTCGGGCGACAAGCTAGGAGTCAGGAACCGGATAAAACAGTATTTCGGATGGATGAGACGACTTGGCGTTGCTCTAGAGTGACTTTTTTTACGTGGAAAATCACGAGAAAGTCCATTACAATTGACTTGTGTGCCTTTGTGGATATCTTTATTCAACCTTTTTTTTTTTTTTTGAGAATGAATTCCACGTAATTAGTTCACATCACTATAATATGTGCTAAAATTTTATATTCCATTTTCTCAAAAAAAAAAAAAAAAAAAAAAAAAAAAAGTTTGAGAATGAATCCCACGTAATTAGTCTCACGATCACTATAATAGTGCTAAAAATTTTATATTTCCATTTTCTCAAAAAAAAAAAAAAAAAAAAAAAAATTCCATCTGTAACAATAGTGTTTTATTAATTGATAAAAATACAGTATTATACGAGGACTTGGGTTAATTTAATGTTTTATATAGATAATCCTTATGTATTTGTCGCAATCTTTATTAAATAATTTTCATTAAAAAATGAAAAGCAAACGTACAAGAATACATATTGTAATAAATTATAGTCGACAATTGAAACATTATTGGTTTTTGAACAGCTATTATTTGAAATGCATAACTTATTATTTAGTGACGAGAGTATGAATCTCTTTTATAAAGAAATTAATTAGGAATATAAATTAAAAAAAAAAAATAGCAAAAATGAATTCGAACAAAAAAAAAAAAAAAAAAAAAAAAAAAAATTCCATCTGTACATTAGTGTTTTATTAATTGATAAAATAAGTATTATAGATGGACTTTGGTTAATTTAATGTTTATATAGATAATCTTATTATTTGTCTCAATTTTTATTAAATATTTTCATTAAAAATGAAAACAAACGTACAAAATACATATTGTAATAAATTATAGTCGCAATTGAACATTATTGTTTTTGAAAGCTATTATTGAAATGATAACTTATTATTAGTAGACGAGAGTATGATATCTTTTATAAAGAAATAATTAGGAATATAAATTAAAAAAAAAAAAATACAAATATTCGAACCTATCTGAACTTTCATGTATTTATTATTTATGTTCTTCTTTCAGTGAACTTCCTATCAGGTCTTACAAAATAGCAACAATTTTTCTTTTCACTTTGCACAAATAATGTTTTTTCTCTGTTCACATGATAGAAAGGAAAAAATGGGGTATCAATCCACTTTACAGCAGCCTAAAATTCAACATAAATAAGAAACTGCACTCGTTTTGTGAGGATTTGGAAAAGATCAGGTACATAGAACGGCAACTCTGCATCAGCGAGGATTGATGGTGGGAGTTACACCACTGATAAGATCACTCCCTAAAACGCTGGATGATATATATGGACCAGTGGTTGAATTGAACAAAGATGATGACGCTGATGTCGAATTGCCAGAATATGTGGAAGTTAATTTCCCAGAATACTGGGATGTGGATTCTGAAAAGATGGAATCAGTTTCTGGCTCTGGCAGCATTTTAAATATGTTCTCTAGCTCCCTGACCACTTTTGACATCGACGGCCGATTCTCTGGCTTGTCATGGCAACAAGCAAGGGCCAATGCTATAAATCTCTCAACACATTCAGATGGATAAGACCCCATTCTGCTGTCTATGATAGAGAACACTATACCCGACTGATAAGCCATATTTACCTGAAAAAGGAAAGAAAATCCAGATATTCATCAAATGTTAATAAGAGAAGTAAGGCTTTCGAGATATCAATGGACATAATTAATTAAGTACCTCGCGGGCAATGTTTTTGCCATGTGATATTGGCTGCAATCCAGTCAAGAGCTCCAGAAATACAATCCCAAGGCTATAGACGTCGCTTTTGTCTGTCAACTTATGGGTCAAAAAATATTCTGGATCAAGGTATCCCTGAATGCAAATGACAACGAAATTCAAAATATAAAGTGATGGAGATAAAGAATTCTATATGGCATCTGGTAATGTTAAAAGATCACCTCCAAAACAATGAGAAATAGCATTACTTGGAAATTCATTTACTATTATCAGAACAACTCAGTTTCAAATCAAATTCCCTGCTACTAAATTTGCTACAAGGTTTGATATTTTTGAGACATCTATGTTTCATGGATGCTAGCTCATATTTATGATATATGGTTAACGTTCTGGATATCTGCTAGACATTATTCTGGTGTGAATAATGAAGAATGTCTATCCAGAAAAAGTTGAAAGTCTTTGTTAGTTGTTTGGGGGTGAAACGAATTCAATCATCTAAATAATAGAATAAAATAATATACTAGTCAATCATCAGGATTTGAAAACAATCATCCACAATTTTAACATGTTCACCAGCCACACTATCATGGCTATTTAGAAAAATTATTAGCACATTCACTAGGCCAATCAGGCATTCTTAACTTTAACACCTAAGCAAATGACTGAGTTAAACTTACTGGAGTTCCCTTCACTACTGTGGATATATGATTTGGCAAATTCCCTTCATCATCTAGGACTGGAGCAAGACGTGACAGCCCAAAGTCAGCAACTTTAGCAGTGAGCTTGGAGTCCAGAAGTATGTTGGTGGCCTTGACATCCCGGTGAAATACTGGAGGACTTGCCTCAGTATGGAGGTAAAGAATGCCCTTAGCTGAACCTAATGCTATATTTAACCTCGTAGAAAAGTTCAGTTTGTCTTTAGCTTTAGCTGCATATATACATCAATTGTCGGTCTCTGAGTTTTCATATTATATTATGTCCTAAAATATTTATGCTCTAGCAGCACAAATAATAGTACATATTTGAATTACTAGGAAATGTTTCGATGGCATCAAAAAATAAGGGTAGCAGATTGGCAACATAGGATTGTTTAATATAATGGCCATTTGTGACGTTGAGTTATCAATTATTCACTTTATTCTAGCAGATTAACCTCCTAATCTGTTTTTAAATCTGAATCCATTACATATCTTAGCATTTGAATATTGGTGATTCTAGAAACCAGATACTGAAAACATTTTTCTAAGAATATCATCAAGCCTTAGAGAAGATATAGAACCATAAATTTTACAGATTTTGGTACCTGAAAGCCAGTCCCTCAAGGTGCCATTGGGCATGAACTCATATACCAGAATCTGTCACAAACAAAGAACGTGAGGAAAACTTTTCGTCTACAATCAAGTAAATTCTCACATATATAAGAATTGGAAAATCACTACATGTGATTTAATAGGAAAGCATGTCTCAGCAAACAAGCATGTGAAAACTTCCCAGTCTCTTCATTATCTGTTTGAAATACAACATCCTTATTGAAATTATCCCTAGAAAAAAAGCTTTGGACTTTTTCCTGTATAAAAATTGTTACTCATTTTATAATTGAGCGAGAGAGATATATTCTCTATGTTGAAAACTTAAATGTGTGAAAGTATCACCAATGAATGAGATGGCAAGGACCTAGACTTTCATTGCAGCATCTATTCCAATAGAAGTGGCAAGCCTTTTTCTGGAACTTCTACTGCTTTTTACTTGAGGAGCAACGTTTCAGTCTCAAATGGCCGTTATGCATAATGCATCGCCAAATCATAAGAGACCTATCTTTGGAAGTGAAATCCAAAGAAGTCCCTGAGCCCATATCCCCGATATTTAAAAAATAAAATAAAATTACAATACAGAATGCCCTTCTCGTTTGATTTGAAAAAACACTCAAAGACAACACCTGCAAGCAAAGAAGATATAAAATGACATCTGAGAGTTCAAAAATTACCTGCTCTCCTTCTTCATCACAGTATCCGACCAATGAAACAAGATTTCTGTGATGTAACCTGGATAACAATCTAATCTCGGTTAAAAATTCTTTTTGGCCTTGCAAGGAACCTTCTTCTGCACGCTTTATAGCCACAATTGTGTTGTCACCTAAAATTCCTCTATAAACCTTTCCATAGCCTCCTTGACCAACTAGAGTTTTACTGTTAAAATTTTCAGCAGCCAGGGCCATTTCTCTAAAAGTGAAGAATTTCACACCATCAATTTTCATTGATACCTTAGAGGCTGCAAATGAAACAACAACCTTATACACTTTCTTCAGCAAGAGTCATAAATGATACTTTACCGTAACTAGTTCTCTTTAGTGGCAGTATAGAGCTTACATAACCGTTTTCTTGACAGATTCCGATGGTATCTAGCATGCCTTCTCACAATCAGAAGTGTGACTGTTATGGATGCTACAATGGTGCAAATGATTGCACCTATTATAATTGCTGCCCAAACTCCCTTGCTGATTCTTGTCCTTTGACCGCCGTAACTCACTGTTAGTGAAAAAGAAACACACACATATCATCATTAGAAATATGATCATTTAGAGATAAGTTTTGTTCAATCAATCTAATAAAAAGCATAAAAATTTCAAAGCAAAGAGAAGATTCCATAATTTCAATTCTGCCAATGCACAGCCTAGCCTGCTGTTTATGTTAGATTATGATAGATATGCTTACTCTATGTGCTGAATATTTTCTGAATTAGAGAAGGCTATGTAAGTAACTTTCATATAGGGGAATACCGTTAGAGATGCGCACAGTTACTAATTGTGAGCATGATATACGAGATCAGCATTTTGTCTCCTCACCCACTTTTAGTTTATCTGGGTGAACGCACATACATGTTGGTAGACACCTTTGATGGAAATTTAAGTATCAATGAGAGAAATTTCTAAGGGTAAAGATATGACAGTTAAAAATGCAACCAGACTCATTTTTTGGTCATAACTAAAAGGCGATGGCTACCTAGTTTTATTTATTTATTCGAAACAGGTGATTTCTACCTAGTTGAAACTTCAGGTTCAATGCTAACTGGAACTTGTCAGGGATTTGGTGCCAGGAAAACTATAGAAGCCATGAAACGCATGTACTAAAGCAATAATATATTCAGCTGTCTGATATGTTACTATGGTCCAAAATAGCAATGTTTAGAAGACATTACACAGCATATTATTCAATTCAGATTCAGTATCAGTTGGTGAATGATTCAGAAATTCACTCTGACTGGAAAAAGAAATACATACATTGTGAATAAGGTCCCAGAAGAGTGAAGTTGAGAAGCTCGTATGGTCCAAAAAAGTCAGTTCGAGGAAAATTCCACGATATGAACATGTGTCTAATTCGCTGAACCTCAGTTGAATTAAATGTGTTTGAATGTGCGTCCTTCCATATAGGAAAAAGCTTCAAAAACATACTTAAGCGAGGACCTTCTTCCCAAAAATATGAATCGATGTATATTTGGGAAAGGTCCAGTTTAAGAGCACTAGATAAGTACTTCTCAAATTGAAATATATATGGAGGAAAATAAGAAAAACTGGGGCTCTTAAGCTGGTATCCAATTCTAAGAGGTGATGCACAAAAGCATCGCACAGGGGATGCTGGGACATATTCAAAGAAATAATCTGTAGGACATCCTTGAATAGGACATGTCATTGTAGAATTTGTTGAGCTTTCAGTTCCATCATCTTCAGTTTCAGTTTCAGATCCACAGAACTGGCCAATGTTTGGTAAGTTGGAATTATTGCAGATAGGATTGCCACCCAATCTAAAAAAAAAAAGTGCTAAAGTAATGAGAATTGTATTGAAACAAACAAACCAAACTCACATTGCACAGATACGTTTCACTACTGGTGGACAAAATTATAAATCCAAATCCACAGGATTGCAGAATATGTAAGAAATAGATTAATTGAAACAAATTATAATGCATCTAGAAAAATAATGGGGTTGCATTGGCTATGAATTTGTGTAAAGAGATAATACCTTAGGGTAACATTATCTGGCATGTTTAGTTCCCCTAAAATGTTTGAGAGTAAATTGTTCCTGAGATCACTGCATTTTTGGTTGCACAGAAGAGAGAAGTTAGCAATATTCATTTGTTTACTACGTTTTGATATGTGAATAAAATTCATGCTGAAAATTTATAATGCTTAATTTCATTGCTATCTTCTCAATTCTTACACTATAAGTGTAGCATTTGTGCCGAAGGACACGTTCTGCCAGAGGTTAGCTGGAACGGAACCAGCAAACAAATTATTTTCAAGTGATCTGTAATTGAAAAACGTTTAGAATATAAATTTACAATTCCAGAACAGAAAATTTCAAAAAGAAAACTATAAAGTAGATAGTATCTCACAGTCTTTGAAGAACAGGAAGATTTGAGAAGCTTCCAGGTATAGATCCATTAAGACGGTTGTATGACAGATCACTGCATTCGGCAAGAATAAATTTCCAAAATAAGGACTATCTTCATCAAAATTGATTAAGCTACTGCTATATAGTGAGAATGGAGTAGTTTCTTCTCCTAATGTTCATTACTTACTCTAAAGCGAGGCAGTCAAGAACATCTAAGATTAGGAACAGTTAAATGTAATCAGAATTGACGACTTGTTTAACATTTTCAAAAGCATAATTACATTTGCAATTTACTTACATGGTTGTTGTATTAGCAGAAACTTTTGATGTTATAGGTCCAGTTAGGTAATTCTGGCTCAGATCCCTTTTTCAGAAACCAAATAACAAGTAAGACATGCATTTAAGCATGAACAGAATGAGAACACATTTGTTACAATATCAATAACACGCATAACTTACAGATAGGATAGGTTTTGTATGCTGCTTAGATCAGGAATAGGTCCATGCAAGCCACAATTTCTAAGACTTCTACCTTGTCAAACAGGAAAGGTGAAAAAACATCAGCAGTTGGGCGTCCAAGAATTGATTTATACAATCAGTATTACTGTCAATGGCTTGACCTATTGAGTCCTAATAGCATACAGATTTCTCCTCCAAGTGCAATGTAAAATAGCAACAGAAGCAGACATTGTTTAATAACTCTTACAATTTTGCTAATTTGGAAAGATTGCTATAAGTAGCTGGAATTTCAGACTCACTGAAATTGTTGTTGTCAAGTTGACTGCAAGGAGGGAAAGAAGGCGACGGTCAAAAAAAATTATTGTAATAAGAAAAATAAATATCATGTATCATTATGTTAAGCATGCTACCTGATATTTCACTGAGTTCTCACTCAGATTAGTCAATAATAAGCAACATCAATGAAGGAGGAATGCATAAAAAAGCAAGAGTGTATGATAGCAGAAATGAAGTTATATTACAGCATGAGCGATAGGAGGACATACAGTATGCGCAACTCTGGCAAGTCTGAGAGTTCTGGAGGAAGATGTCCAGATAAGTTATTATTGTCCAAAAGCCTGCATCAGATTCACATATTCTCTGTCACCAGTAAACAACATTCAGCATATATCAAAATCAAGAGAGCTAAAAAAAATTGCAGTACAAACTCACAAGTGAAGAAGAGTGGATAATTTGGACAGCTCGGATGGAATTTGACCACTCATGGAGTTGTTGTTAAAGTGGCTGCAAATTTCACATGTAAATAGAAAACACATGCAAAAAAGGTCAACTTTTTTGGCAATTTCAAGTATCAGTCAATTGAACATCCACTTACAGGTGCTTCACACTGCTCAAGTTGGCAAATGACTTTGGTATCGAACCTGAAATTTCATTCTGGTCCACTTGGAATCTCTTTAAATTTGATAAATAGCCAAGTTCATTGGGTAAAGGACCAGAAAATTTGTTTCCGTTCAAAAGCCTGCACAACAATGCGTAACATAAGCTTAAAGTAATAGAAAATGTAACATTGTTTAAATTTCTTTTCGTTGATATTAATTACTTGTAAAATATGCTAACGTCTATGTGATTTGACTTCATAAATCATAAACAATTTATCATCGAGTTTCATAAATACCATTGCAGTTCTTTCAGAATATTAATAATAGAATTGTGGGAAACACCCTCTTCATCAATTGCCAAAAAATCCTTACAATACAACTACAGCAATCAAGTGATCTCCATAACAAAAGACAGCTCACATAAACTTCAAGACAATTTCATGTTGCATTATCATTTCCTTAGGAATTTACAACAGATGAAGGAGGAGGAGGTTGAAGATTAAGAGAAGAGAGGAGTATTCCCTCACTGGGGGCTATCATACAAAATGAATTGATATCCACTCAACTTACAGGAGTCTTAAGGATGAAATGAGTCCTATCTCCTTTGGTATGCCGCCATGCAAGTCATTCCACATAAAATCCCTTCAAAAAGAAAAACAGAAAAAAAGAATGGCATTAGAATCATTCAAAGAATTCTTTGCCCAGAAATCAGATTAGTATTACATTCCATGACTCACAATATTTCCAATTTAGTGAGTTGGCCTAGCTGAGGAGCTAAATTTCCTGAGAGATTCATATTTAGTAGATGCCTGCATAAAAAATAACAAAAGGGAAATGCTCATAACTGAGGTTCTGTAACAACCAAAGAAATATCCGCATAACGCATTGCATTCAGAGAATGCGATGCGGGCAACTAAACTAAGCAGTAGACACTTCCAGATCAAAATACTAGGTTTATTTAGGGATACCAAAGGGAATGGACATAAATAAAAAATGCAAAAAAAAGGCCTGGAAACAACATACAGTTCCTGAACATGCAAGTACCCATCAGTTCCAATTTTATCGTAACACCCTATTCCAGTCCAATTTGATGTACATGGATCTCCCTTGCCCCAGTCCCTCAGATTTTTCATGGGATCAATCAAACTGTTCCTTACTTGTAGCAATCCATTGACTGCAAAATGACACAAAACAACATATTTCAATTCACTAAAGGTAGTTTAAGAATTGGAAGTAACTTCAAGTGTATTAATGGTGATTGCACTTTATGCTAAAATTTAAAAAAAAAAAAATCTTGTGGAGAAAAAATTCCACCTTCAGAGGGATCTGTAGTTGAAGTTTGGGCAACTGCAAGGAGCATCAAGTGAAAACATAACACCAAGAAAACGAATCTGTGGATACTTTGCTGCAACATCTTTAAGATGGCCTGCGTTGGAAAAAAAAAACACATATATAAGTAATTAAAATTTCCCACACAAGAATAAGCAACAAAAATTATATGTTCGTTAGATTGTTGGAATTAGATTCAATGAGATACCCCATAAACCCCAGAGCTCGGAATGAAGAATTGAACTAAAACACCAATGATAACATAAAAAGTTCCTTACTTTAGTCTTCAAAAACAAAGAATAAAGCTTTGGAAATGAAAGGCTGCAGAATTTCAGCAAGAATACAAAAGATTTCAAGTGAGCTAGCTCTCTGTGTTGCAGAGACAATTCAGACATGAAAAGCTTGATGAGATAGGAAACGACAATTTATTTAAAATTTGAGAAAGCAAGGTAAGAGAAGTCATTGTCTTTAATCTTGCTTGGCTTATGTTCATCGATCCATCTTATCAGACAAAAGATATTATTTGAATTCTGTTTGTTTAATCTATAAATTAATAATTTTCTTTAATTTCCACTTGCAATGACCATTATAAAACAAACAGAGCGGCTCTTTCTTTGGCAGCTTTTGCCTCGTCGGAAACAGAAAGAAGATGGTGTGTTGACTTGTCACTTGTTGGCGGTAACTGAATTATTTATATATATTATTTATTTATTTATTTTCAAAAATGCAAACGTTAATCACTAAATTGATAAAAACTCACTTGTTCCGTTAATCAGAATACCAGCCAAACTACACACATTAACATTAATTACTTACTATTTATGATAACAGAAATACTTACTACCATATATGCATATACCAAATCAATCAATTATATATATATTTGTGTGTATTTCCGACAATTTAGTGGAAAAAATAAAAGAGTAAAATAGTAATAGATTTTAAAAAATTCTTCATTGATTTATTTTAGTATATGAGATGGTCATATACGTCAACTGTTAACAAGTTTTATCCTTATGAAAATAGATTTAAAAAATAAAAAATATATATTTATCTATACTCAATGTGTTAACTCACGCATTTACCAATTCAATTTCGATATCCAACCTAAAAAACTTTTAAATTTATTTTTTTTTTCTCCATAAAACACCTAAATATTCTCGTTTGTTTAATAAATTTATAAGATTAAATTGGTATATAAATAAGTTCATATTATTTATATATATAGCATATTATTTCTAATATTCTTATTGTATTTTATTTTTTAATTTATCATACGTAAACGTTCTTAATAAACAAATAATTGTTTCAATACTTATAAAATTTTTAACTATAATTTTACTTAATAATAATAATAACAATCATTACTAAAGGTTTTCAAAATGAATTTAAGTGATTCATAGAAGTTTAATAAGCAGAATGAAGTAGTTGAGGTGGTTTACTTATCATTGTTTAATTACGACCTTAGTGGATTTTTTTGACCATCTTTTGAAAGTTGGTGGATTTTTTTGACCATCTTTTGAGAGTTGCCTTCTCAATCCCATCATTCAGCAATTATCTTTGGCACCTTTTGGTGAAAAGGGTTAAAGAGTTGGTTTACGAATCTATTCTTTCTTTGTCTTGGGATGGGATGGAGCCTACTGGTTTAACCCACTTAAACCAGCAATCAAATTAAAGCTAAAATCTGGGGCTTGGCATAATTCTTTTAAATCGACCCAACTGAGTGAACCAAATCAATTTGGTTCATTTTTTTATTTTCATAGGAAAAAACCAAAATTTTTTGAATTCGATGAGTCACCATGAAACTCAGAGAAAAAAAATCCAGAACTGAAAAAAAAAAAAAAAGAAGAAAAAGCTTAAAAACCAATTGCACTAATCAAATCAAACCGAAACGATCAAATGCTTACCCTTACTCAAATTCGCCTAATAAATTAATATTCCAATAGTAATAACTTTATCTTATTTTTAGAAATTTAAGTGATACTTGTGTGAATTTAAAAATTGTATTTACAATTACCTCCTATTGATTACAACTGAAAGAATAATAATTACATTTTAAAATATAATTTTTAACATCCATAAAAAATTAATTTTATTTTAAAATTATTTTGTTTTCAACTTATGATCCTTAAGAAAAAGTCTAGATCCATTAATTTCGAGTCAAACTTAAGCTATCAAAATATTAGACTTGGCCCCTTTGCCAGACAAATGTAGTTTTGAAGGATACAGTGAAAAAAAAAAAAAAAAAAAGCTTTGTGTGAATTTAAAAATTGTATTTACGAATTACCGTTTCCTATTGACTTAGCAACTGAAAGAATAATAATTTAAATCATTTTAAAATTATAATTTTAACATCCATAAAATAATTGAATTTAAGTTTTAAAATATTTTGTTTTCAACTTAATGATCCTTAAGAAAAAGTCTAGATCATTAATTTCGAGTCAAACTTAAGCTATCAAGAATATAGACTTGGGCCCTTGCCAGACAAATGTAGTTTTGAAAGGAACAGTGAAAAAAAAAAAAAAAAAAAAGGTTAAAAATAAGAGATAGAAACACACTGTAGATTCTTATTTTTTTTTTTTTTTTTCCGAGTGCGCAATGCAAGATTAGGTCACTACCTTCTGCTCTTTTTTCTGGGATCGAACTGACTTAAAATGCCCGTTCTAGTCCCGAAACCTTGAGGAGAGAGGCCGAAACTGAAACCGGTCTCCCAGTTTCATTCTGGTTTAAAACCAAAATTTCCAGGTTAGTTTGTATTCTGGGTTCTTTTTTATTCTAGTTCCAAACCAAACTGAAGGTCAGGTCCAACTACCACTACCATTCATCTTCATCAATTGCGTGTCATGAAGAGTAAATTCATCAAAAACTCTGCACTCAAACCCATATTTCGAAAAGACTGGCAAAATTTTTGAGATGCTAAAATGTTGCTGCTATAATAATGATTCAATAATAAGAAAGTTCAATCAATTGCACGATGGGACTATTAATTTACTAGGTCTTGCATCAAACACAAGCACAGGAATCAGGAGTAAGTGGATGTTACTATTGAGCAGAAAAATCAACTGCTCTATTAAAACCAGTTCAACAATATACAGATTCACAGATCATAAAGGTTTCAAGAGAGGAAAAAAGAAGAAAAATACAGTTTTGTAGTTGTAACTAAAATAAATATACATGTTCCCTCACATTTCTTATGAACCCATCTATTGACACGTGAATATACCTGAGTTCCTCACAAGACAGCTAATACTTTGGGTACCAGAACATACCTTTAATACCCTCTGGGTCAGGTTGAAATCCTAAATTCCGATAGAACTCCACAACTGCAATGGTTATGTATAAAACAGATAAGGCGAAATCCAACATTAGAAATATTTATCTAATGCAAGTAGTATCCTGGAAGAAAAATCATATGTATTATGTGCATGAAGTCATATCACAAATAGGATAAAGACCAAAAGAACAAAATTATGCGGGATTGATTTGATGAACATGGTCAGGAAATATGTGATTTTGTCGAAAGGGGAAAAGTTATCCTCTACTGCACCTGCCTACTCATCCTCCAACCCCAGCATGATATAATGTTCAGAACCTAGGATGGTTTAATATTCATGTTGTCACTTGGTATCCCATATAAATGGGCAAAACATCAATCATTTTTTATTTTAAATTGAGAACCAAAATTCTATACAGCATTGAATCTTTTGTTATTGAGAACCAAAAGTGTATGCCAGGAACCAAAGACTGACAATTTAATGAATTGACTTCCACTATAAAAAACCAACAAATTTTTTCTGAGATATACCTTGACTATCTGCAAAAAGTGTTATGTTGCCGATGTCCCTTTGTAGAAGAGCCCTAATAAGCTTTTCAATAAGAGCCTTGCCGAGACCTTGGCCCTGAATAGGAAACACATTGTTAAAAAGAAATAAAGAAGTTAGAATAAAACCCAGAAATAGAATTCCCAAAAACGAAAGCAATAATTATATACAGTTATGAGAATGAATGGTGTTTTCACCACAGATATATCATACTGCTTTATTTCCATACACCAGAAATAATTTTTTCATGCTTAAAAACAAAGCATAAAATGCAAATATAACCTTTCTAACTCAGCATTTCCAGAATTATCCAAGTTCAGAGCAAGGTTACCTAGAGCACAAATCGCACCTAGTCTTAAAAAAATGCAACAGTGGGGCAGGCTTCTCTGGATACATCTTATAGCAAGAACCAAACAAATTATATGGAATGCAAAACACCTTTTAGTATATATCATACTAGAGAAGGAAAAAATAATAAGGTTTACTTTGATCCAATTCTTACTTATGAAAGTTCACATTTTTTTACTACAATTTTTTATATTTAGGAATATAATATAACTTTCTATTCATGAAATGGAGGATTTAGTAATGTTTAGGAATTTTGATTTTCATTAGGAGTTTTACTACTTAGAAGGTTGTTTACTTCAAATTTAGTTATTACAAAGTAGCCTCCTAATATAGTAGTAGTCCTTATTGAACAAGGAAAACTGGAAAAGTACTTCTATAATTATTTACATGTGCCTATTCTCACCTTTATTTTATGTACCTTGTTTCCTTCTGCTGCTACACTACCATTGGTACTATCACAGCCTCAAAAACAAACACCAATATATCCTCTCTCTCTTTCTTGCACTCACTCTAATCAACTCTAGTTTACACTCCTAAACCCTGATGTTCCTTCCTTTTTAAACCTTGATCCTAAAACTCATCAATTGCTTGAATTTTGCACTCCATTAAAGCATTAATTGGCTTGTTGCTTAACCTGCCCATCACATATGTAATGTAATAGACACACAATAACATACCAGAACAAAATAAAAATTAAACCCAGATTGCCCAAATTCCCTATAAGTATAATAAAGTAGTTTCCATATAACTTCCTCAATTCTATCAAAAAAACATCCAAATCCCAAAATTTATAGCATAGTAATAACAAGCCAATTGGGATGTTTTGCTTGGTGCCAACAGTTGTTTGCATGTCAGAATTTTAAGTAGATGTTTCAGATGGTTAAACATTCACAATTGGGATTGTCAATTATGTGATCAATATCACAAGTTGCTAGGGGCGTCATTTCTAGATCACTGGTTGAAAGTAACACAGATATTACCTGGTAGTTAGGATCAACGAGAACATCCCAAATGGTAGCATTGAAGGCATGATCAGATGTAGCACGGGCCATCCCAATTAGCATCTTTTGGTCAATCCCCTCTGTCAAATAACTTCTCCAAGTACACTAAGATGTTCATAAAATAGTTTTAGATGCAAAAACAATTTAGCTTTAAATTAACAAGATCATTTATCACAATTACTAAATACCTGACCCAGGTGATTTCCTTATGGAATGCAATGTGACTACCATGTAGCTATTTTTCAAAGCTGCAGCTAATTTGGGCAGTGGCCTTCTGGGCCAACCTACCTGTTGCGCGGAGGATATAAATATCAAGCCACATTTAGTTATATGATTTAACTAACGAACTTTCAAACTGGACAATAAACAAAAAGAGCATTAAGATATCAAACATATTTAAGTAAAAGTAACTTAACAGAGATGTCTCTATTAAAAGAGTTTTTATAAGTTAGTAAAAACTGACAAATATACAGAATTCATATTATTGAAGTTTCTGAAATGGTAGTTGCACCATGTGGATTGGATCTATGGCAAACCAATTATATTATTCCTTCTTGTTTCAATCTTTCATGTATCAGGATGGTACCCAAACCAAGTTCATTTTTACACTTTTTCAAGGATGTACCATGTTATGGCGCTGCTTGACTTAGGGTAGTTTTACTGCTATTTACGGTGTTTTTATTTAGTTATTCAGTGTTTATCATGTTATTATCAGTTTCTTTGTTATTCCTGCTAATTTTACGGTGTTTTTTTATTTAGTTATTCAGTTGTTTATCATGTTATTATCAGTTTCCTTTGTTAGTGGCTATAGTGGGTGGTAACTTATTGTAATGGGTAGTTATTAGTGGTAGTGGGTAAGTTTTTAGCTACATTTAGTTGTTTAAAAGGCTGTATATTCAGGAAAAATGTACAGCAGAATTTTATGAAAAGGTTTTGAGTTTCCTAAAACTCAGAGATTTGTAGGAGTTCTCTCTTAACGAGCTCTAGGAGATTGCAGATTCTCTCTAAGTCTGTCACCATTGATAGAAGGAAAAACTCCTTTTCTAGATACCCATCTCAAAACCCGATTCCCCTAATTCAAAAGACCCATAAAACTAGATCCAAATTTGGGACCATTAACCAAATTTGGTATCAGAGCCAAACAGTTATGGGCGAATCTAGTTCAAGACCAGCCTTACCAAACTCTCAATTTTTACTCTTATCTTGAGCAGCAGGCCAATTCAGGACCGACCCGTAATGAGAAGGTTGAACAACTTCATGCCAAATTGGATGCCATGTCTTTTGACTTGGAATCCATAAAGAAGGGGCTGACTTCTTCAAGTGCTAAAAGTTAAGCACCGAAAGCAAAAGGTCCAGTAGGTTCAGCCCGTCTAGAATCTCCTAAGGGCACTACAACTATTTCAAAATTGACAGAGTTGGATGTTCTTGGACCACCTATGAGTAATAATTCAGGAAAGTTGGCAAAATTGGAACAACCTAAAACTGCCGCAGAGCGTATAGTTTTCCAGCAAATGTTTCAAGTCTCAATAGTTCTGTGTATAAAAGATAGAGTGGAGCAAAAGAAAGAAATAAGAAATAATCAAACATCAAATTGTTAGCACAATTAGGGGTCTTGCTTGGATTTGGCAGCTTCTAAATGGGGAAGGAGAGTCGGGAAGAAGCAATTCGAGAATGAAACATAGAGGAAAACATTAGAGGGAGCCATTTGATCCAGCATATTAATTAAATATAGAAGCACAATTAAACAGCTCCTTATTTGCAGATAATAGAGGGTAATAAGGATTTTGTTTGCATCACATTTTCATAAGTTTGAAGATTGCATGTCATCCATCCTTGCGCTCGAGACAAGCGCTTTTTTCAGGAGGGTTGTAATGTTATGGCGCCTGCTGACTTAGGTAGTTTTACTGCTATTTAACGGTTGTTTATTTAGTTATTCAGTTTTTTATCATGTTATTTTCAGTTTCTTTGTTAGTGGCTATTAGTGGGTGGTTAACTTATTGTAATGGATTATTAGGGGGTAGTGGGTAGTTTAGCTTACATTTAATGGTTGTTTTAAAGGCTGTTTATATCAGGGAAAAAATGTAAAGCAGAATTTTATGAAAAAGTTTTGAGTTCCTAAAACTCAGAGATGTAGAGTTCTCTCTTAATGACCTCTAGGAGGATTTGCAAGATTCTCTCTAAGTCTGTCCACCATTGATAGGAAGGAAGGAAAAACTCCTTCTAAGATTATCCCATTCTCAAACCCGATTCCCCTATTCAAAGACCCATAACTAGATCCAAATTTGGGACCATAACAAAATTGGCAGATTCTCTCTAGTCTGTCACATTGAAGAAGGAAAAAAACTCCTTCTAAGATTAACCCATCTCAAACCCGATCCCCCTAATTCAAAGACCATAACTAGATCCAAATTTGGGACCATAACAAAATTGGTATCAGAGCCAACAAGGTTATGGGCGAATCTGTTCAAGACCAGCTTACCAAACTAAAATTCAATTTACTCTTAATCCGAGCAGCAGGCCAATCAGACCCGTAGTGAGGAAGTTTGAACAACTTCATGCCAAATTGGATGCCATGTCTTTTTGACTTGGAATCCATAAAGAAGGGCTGCTTCCTCCAAAGTTGCTCAAAAGTCAAAGCACCGGAAAGCCAAAAAGGGTCCAATAGGTTCGCAGGACTAGAATCTCCTGGGGCACTACAACTGTTTCGAAATTCACGGAGTTGGAGGTTCTTGGACCACCTATGAGGAGTAATAATTTAGGAAAGTTGGCAAAATTGAACCAAGAACTGTTGCAGAGCCAATAGTTCTCCAGCAACCATTTCAAGTCTTAATAGCTATGTGTATAGAAGACAGAGCAAAGCAAAAGAAATAAATAATCAAACAACATCAATTGTTAGCACAACTAGAGGATCTTGCTTGTGATTTGGCAGCCTCTAGATGGGAAAGTATTGGAAAGAAGCACGAAATGACGTAAAGGAACATAGGGGAGCATTTGATCCAGGAATATTAATTAAACGTAGAAGCACAATAAACAGCTCCTTATTTGCAGAATAATAGAGGGTTTATTTGCAGAATAATAGAGGGTGATAAGGATTCTGCTTTGCATCACATTTTCACAAGTTTGAGATTTGCATTGTCATCCATCCTTTGGCGCTTGAGGACAAAGCCGCTTTCGAGGAGGGTGTAATGTTATGGCGCTGCATGAACTTAGGTAGTTTTACTGCTATTTACGGTTTGTTTTATTTAGTTATTCAGTGTTTATTCATGTTATATCAGTTTTTCTTTGTTAGTGGCTATTAGTGGGGTGGTTTAAGCAAGTAACTTATTGTAATGGGTAGTATTATGCGGTAGTGGTAGTTTTAGCTTTACATTTAGTTGTTTTAAAGGTTTATATCAGGAAAAATGTAAAGCCAGAATTTTTATGAAAAGGTTTGAGTCCTAAAACTCAGAGATTGTAGAGTTCTCTCTTAATGAGCTCTAGAGATTGCAGATTCTCTCTAAGTCTGTCACCATTGATAGAAAGGAAGAAAACTCCTTCTAAGATACCCATCTCAAACCCGATTCCCCTAATTCCAAAAGACCCATAACTAGATCCAAATTTGGACCATAACATGACCACTGCCAATTTTAAGCTTTATTAGTCTATTTCCTTTTTTTTTTCCTTGATAGAAGGAAGAAAACTCCTTCTAAGATACCCATCTCAAACCCGATTCCCCTAATTCAAAGACCCATAACTAGATCCAAATTTGGGACCATAACATACCACTGCCAATTTAAGCTTATAGTCTATTTTCCTTTTTTTTTTTCCTTTTTTGTTTTTTGTGAAAGAAAATCCAAATTCAAGGATGAACACTGTCATGATTTGAGTGACCATAACATAGGAGACTCGACACTAGGATTGTAAAATCACATTATTGACTTGCTTGTGGTGAAATTTTTGCCATCTTCAGACATTGACATAGGAAAAGTCTGAACCATTTGAGTCTTTTTAAATCAAAAAAATGTGATTCATTTATCATTTCATTCACTGTCATCATAAATCATGTGGCAAAGCAGCAGCAGTTACCTTGTCACATAGGGCTTGGAGATCATACACATCAACATCTCCACCTGAGGAGAATATTATTTGCTCAACTTCTCCATCTGGTTTAGTATTTTCCACAAGAATGAACTCTTCAGGCAGTGGTTCTTCCTCTTCTTGCAGCGTGGATGGTGGTTCAACAACTTGTGTTGAGTTCTCCTTTAAGAACCTGCAGTACATTGCAGAGTACAAACTCTTTCAAATATAATTAGGTCATTAGGCAGCTTGGCAATAGAATCAAAAACCTTGTCAACATGTCACTGACTGACTGAAAATGACAATACTTGGAATATGTGAAGGGAAACATGTTATATGAAATATTTATATATTGAAATGTATATTCAATGTCCTTCCAGAAACAAGGTGAATCAAACATTCTAAGTTTAAGAGAACTCTTGACGTCAAAAGTAGCAATCTCAACCTGTGGTTTACACATCAGTGACTATAAACTTTTATTCCAGAACTTGAATATAACACATCACAGAAAACAAAATAATATTTACCCAGATCTGATGGAGTCCCAAAAACTTGCCTTCAGTCGAGTAACCTTGAGTTTTCTTCTTGCTGTAAAAACAACAGTGAAATTCTCATAACCCCATAGTGTTAATTCATTAATGTGCACATTGGTTCTATAAAATTAGGTTCACTTTTAATCTTTGGTGTATAAAGAAATTGAATGAGAATGGAATTTTGCATCTAAAACAAGAACTAGTTTCCGGGCAACCGAATATAATCGACAAGATGCTACATTCCTAAAACCCCCATAGATAACCCCAAATGAACCATGATAGAGAAACATAAATCTGTTCACTTTAAAGATAAAATCTACCCCTCACATGAATATCGACAAAGGGAAAAAGTTTTGCCAAGTCAATCGACAAAGGCATTGCATGGTACTTTACGCTCAACAAATTCAAAAGACAAGGAAGGAAATTGTCAGTTACATTGAGCATAGCTAACCAAAACTAGCAGCTTAATTAAAAGTCAGTAATTAAAAGATACAGAAGCTTAATCAATTAATTAAACCATTAATTAACAGCAAAAAGAGACACTGCATCTGCATACCTCTTTCAAACCTGCAATTCAACGTACTAAACTGTACAGATGCTTGGCAATGGTGATCAAAAGAAAAAATTGGAAATCTGCAAAACAGACACAAGAAGCCAAACAATCAGAACCAATTCCCAAATAAAATTAACTCCAAAAAAAACCAGCAAATATTAGTATCTTCCAATTGCAAAGCGCTGTGTAATCGCAAGCAAGATTACAGCTAATGTTAAAAATTGAAGCGGAAAACCCTAATTAACTTCCAAAAGAATTTTTTAAGTACAAAGATAGATAAAAAATTTAAGACTATAATGAATTAAACAACAAAAAAATAGCAGCTTAAAAATGGCGAGTTCTTACACAGAAGGACGAGCAACCAAGCTCTGTGTTATCATTTTCTCTGGTTCTAGATACTCTGCTCTACCTGCAGCTGTTCGAGTAGATATTGTAGCTTCACAGTCATCGAGAGAGACGTTAATCTTCAACTTGGGCTTATCATTTATCGTACTTTTCCCTTTTGCCCTTCATATTTCTTTTTAACAAATAAAGCTCAATTTGTCCGTTGATCTAGGAGGCATATATAATGTGCCAAAATCATTTTTTTTACAGTCTTTCCCCTAACTTTTTTACCAAAAAAAAAAGTAAATAATTGATTCAAATTAAATATTAATAATAATTAAATATTTGATTTAAATATACTGTAATTAAAAATTAATTAAACAAAAAATATATTTTTGAAACCATATATTTAATATAATTTAATATTTTCCTAATCTTATAAATTTTCAAATAAAATATTTATTTGATTATTTTTTAAATCAAAGACAAGACATTGTAATATTCTTTAAATTATTGCTATATTTCTAAATAATTTTTATTAAGTAAAATATTAAAAATTATTTTTCTAAAAAAATTAAACTTTTTATTCTTTTGATCAAGTTTAGCCACCCACGAGCGCAAATGGTTCCCAATTTCTTGAGAAAATATATTATGGAAATGGAATTAATTAGACAGTACCATGTAGCATATGAACTCATTTATAATCGTCTGCCATTTTTATGATCTCAAATTAACAACCACATTCCATGATTTGGCTCAAACATATTCCTTTTTCCCCTATTATTCTTATTACGGTAATTTTTCTTTGGAGGGAGAATTATTTCCTTGCCTTCTTGTTTTGGGATATATTGCTCGTATATATTTTCATTCTGTTACTGCAACTACAATGTATTATAGCCAAATTCTGAAAAGATCCGAGCTTTACAGTCACTCCTTACAAAGTTTCGAATTCAAATCCTCTCGATCACAAGAATTCTCCTTGAAAGGTCTCCAATTCAAAACCCATCGACCACAATAATTTTCAAAATACACAAAAATATCATTAACAATAAAGTATTTAGATTTATTAGTCAAATTCATTTAAAATAATATTATTAATTAACATAAATGAATTAGTCAATAATGCAAACTATGTGTATATGGTCATCAAATCCCAAATGCAAAATCTCCTCGTCTTTCTTTGAATTCTTTGTTATTTCCTGTTTCAATAATATAATTATTTTTGTCATGCAAAAGGATAAATAAGATAGTTAACAAAACGATGTAATTCTTAACTGGAATGCTTTTAACAATGCACAACTACTAACACAAGGGAAAAGTTCTGTAAACCAAAACAGGATCACAACTTAGAGCATTTTGAATCTCTACGCAAAAATGTATTAAGTAACGACTATTTTGACCTCTTGTCAAAATCCAATAAAAGTACAAACCAAGAACATTTGAAATTTGGACGGTAAGTTTGACCCGTTGATCACCAATATTGTTAACTGTCTTCATTTAGCTAATCAATGGTTTGCCATCAATTACACAATCCGATACACACCTTGAGGCAATGAAATCCTTAGATAATTCCAACACTGACCTGTGCCTTAGGTGGATCCTGTAAATTTGCACTTACAGAAACTCAATTCTCAGTAAATGTATGTGAACAAACAGGACAGTGATAGAAAGTAGTCTGCCCCTCATCTGCTGATCTCATCTGGACATAGGAGACAATAGGATATATAAGAAATGAAACCGTAAATTTGATGACAATACTGAATTATGTAAATAAGCATAAGAGTGGTAGAATACTTGTCTGGTAGAAAATTTAAGCTTTGTGTTGCTGCATTTTTCACACTTCTTATTTATCTGCCAAGCAAACAAGTGACATTCAAAGAATTAGCAGCTGATTCCAAAAAATATGACTGTGCCTTTTATTGCTATAGTACAATGTGGTTACCTCCATGTCTTTAACCTCTAAATTTCCTTCAAAATGTGAGATGCCTAGATCTCTTCTCATATCCTACAAAATCAGGGTATATGAACAAGAAGATATGGTAACTTGAAACTAAATGACAAAAATCATCAAACATAAGCATATTGACATAGTAGCAGTACAACAGAAAAGATTGCAATCAGAGCTTGTACAGAACATCTTTTCATCGAACCAAATGAAAAATGAACACATGCTGTTCTTTATAATTACTTTCATCTACAGCGTGGAGTAATAATAGTATAGTAACTCAATATTTCATCCAACCAAAATGAAACTTGCACATGGAAAATTGACAGACACTGACATAATGCCTTGGCCTAGTGGCAAGGCTTCATCATGGACTGAAGTCTAAGGTTCGATACGTACGTACCAGCAGTTCACACCAAAGAAAAAAAGTGAAAGGGTTCCATTAAGCCTGTAAGTTTCTTTTTCCCTTCCTGGTAAATTTTGTAGAGAGAAGAAAACTTTTTCACTTAACCTAATACAGTCCTTGCACAGACCGGTATATGGGAGAAAACAACTAACAGACATGATCATATAATCCAGTAGACTTCAGTTTGGGATACAAGTTCCCCTTGTAACTAAACCAAGCATCTACAAACATGATAGGCAGAATCCTCATCCATAAAAGAGAATTACCAAACGCCCACTTGGCAATACTAAACAATCCTTGAAAATTGACCCCCAAGCAGACAGAAAAACTTTTAAGATAGTCGAGTCTATTTACATGGCAATATAACCTTTAAGTCCTATTAATATTTTTGCCATGGCTAATTTAAAGCACACAAAAATATCAGCTCAGGCAGGTTGGTTCCAGGCTCACCTCAGCAGTGACCTTATAGGATATTTCTCTTCCAGATAACTCTGAGACAGTAGCAAAAAGAATTAGAATGTAAGAAACCAAATTATAGAGAGAGATGGAGTTTTGCATTCTACCAAGAAGCTAGAATCCAAAATAAACTGACAGAAATTCAGAAAGGAACCAATATAACTTTACAGCTAGATGTATTCTCTAGCAAGTAAACTGACATAGACATCACTTTTATGCACATGTTAGTATTCACTGAACAAATAGTACTAGTCTGGACATAATTAGAAAAAAGAACTAGCATAGAAAAGAAAGGCTAAACAGTAAAGATACAATAGTACCTACAAGATTTCAAACTCTATGGAAGAATTAAGTATCCATGTCAATTTCAAATACATAGAGATCCACCAGCCATACCTCTTGCGCTTTTCTTAAATTTGCACAAAGGGCATTCAGCGAACTCCGTTGTAAACATAGATAGCATTGTTCCACACATGTCACAGAACATAAAACTGCCTCCATGAGAGAGTGCCATTGCAGGCCCCTTCTATCAATTGTTTACCAAGGCAAGAGATAAACTGCAAATCTTAAATGACCAGTTACAATCTGTTAACCCATTTTTAAGCCCAAAATACGTGCAAAGAAAAACAGGAATCCAAAAATAGTTCAGCACTATGCATATTTACTCCAAAGTAATTTTTTTAAAATTATTTCTGAACAAGTCATGGATTTAGATATCCATAACAAAGCCCAGAAACATAAATACAACAGAGCTCAACACCAACGAAGGCAATTTAAAGCTATACTAGAAATTTGGTTCATGCTAAACCCATTAAACCCTTGTCCAGGTTTCTGCTATAGAGTAGAGAAAGATACACCATGTAAACGAAACACAGAAATTCTTTTAACTACAAAAAATGAATACCCAAATCTCATACAAACACCTTGAGACGTACACATACTATAATTCAAAGAAATTGCCAGAAACATGTAACACATACCTTCAAGAAATTAAAGGAAGGAGAGTTGTTGAAAACTAATAAGTAGCCAGTGGCGGAAGAAGGAAGAAACACGGACACAGCTGCTAACTTATGGTTTGAGGAAGGGTTTTCTTTTTTTTCCTTGCTTCGGCGCGCTACTCGCAGGGAAAAAAAATTTTTGGCGTTTTCGGTGTTTGTTACTGCGTCCGTCCCAAAATCATAGAATCAAATATTTTACCCACTGTTTAAAAATAATTAGTTAAATTAATTTAGTTACTCTCTCAATTCTTTCTATACAGTAACAACTAATTTTTCATAAATAGTAAAAAAATAGTTAATCAATTTATTTGTCTTTTTTTCTAATTTACCCCTAATATCTCATTTATTCTTCTTCTAATACCAATATATATTTTAAATTATGTTTCAATCTTCAACGATGTTTTAAATGATTTGTTAAAATAAAGAAAATATAAATAAATGAAAAAATGAAGTTTATGCTCTGACATGTGGAGAAAATTTTATCTTTTGTCCTCTATTTGATATTAGAATGAAGGGAATATAAACAGATGCAAAAATGAAGTTCATACTCTGACATGTGGAGAAAATTTTATCTTTTATCTTCTGTTTGAAAAACTTGTGCAAAAATATGAAAATTTGTGCTTATTTAACTTTTCAACTTCCTTTAATTATTGAAAATATATTTTAAATATTACACAATTTTTTAAATACTCGATGAAGTCCGTAAAAGTTCCTTTCAATGTAACTAATTTGAAAATTTTTTAGCCATTTTCTATTCAAACTTCATTTAATCGATGCTCATATAATCTAGACGAGCACTTTTTTTTTTCCAATGGAAATTGATGTAGAGAAATCCATTCTCCAAATTTGATAATAAGGGTAAGATAGATTTTTTATATTGATATGGTTTCTAAAGTTACCAATTAAGCAAAATTTTATATAATAAGAATATCCAAAATGGAAACTTTTTCTATATAAAAAGAACAAAGGAAATATAAATTTTTTTTGTTATTTTCAACTAAAATGATAGTATATCAAACTTCCGAAATTAAATATTTTAAAATTCTTTTCATTATCTAATAAATTCAATTAATATTAATTATTTACATAAATTATTATAAAAAGATATTGTGAGCAAATGAAAAGAAAAATATTATCAAAAATATAAATGAGAATACTATTTTAGAACACCGAAAAATAACATTGAATTATAATTTTGAGACAGAGGGAATATATTCATTGCAGGTTCGATAGGAAAATTGAAAATTATTTCATTTTGATGGTAAAATTATTATTATTATTATTATTACTATGATTTTATTTTTTAAAAAATAAAAATAATACTAGGTAAAGCATTAAGTTTACTGCTCCTACGTTTTTTTTTTATTAGAGAATATGTCTATTAGGCTGTCATTATTTTTACATTTCATATTCCACACAGATTTTATTTTAAATTAAGATATGATTATAATTCTTGTTAGAAGTTCATTGGTGATATGTAATTTTTAAAATTTTTAATTATAAGATCATTACCATTCTATTCAACCAACAATTTTTTTTTTAACAAATTACATAATTATTAAACAACAAAAAATTCAACTAAATTATTAAGACACCAACACTATATATATAATTTTATTTAATATACTTTATGTACATATAAATTAAATTCAATCTATTAAGATATTATGATCCAATGCAAGTAATTTCATTAAAATTTACTTATGAATAAATTATATTACTATGTAATAATTTTTTATTTCATTAATAAAACTTTAAAAATATAAATAACTAAGAAAACAAGTAATAGATTCCTAAAGGTTATATGAATCAACAATTAGGCAAGTTCCTAAAAAATATAAATAACTATCATTTTATAATTTTATTGACAAGTTCCATATTTGACCTATATTGTAATTCTTTTAATGCTAATATAAATAATTTATCTTTTTATTTCATTTACCTATATTTCATTTAATTAACGTTGCAAAAGCTAAAATAAGTATTGAATTTACCATTCCCTTGGTTCATTTTTATCTATCACGTTTAAAAATTATTTTATTTAAAGTTATATATTGTTTTGAGAAAATTAAAGTATATTAATTAAAATTTAAAATTAAAAGTTGCTATATATCATATATATCCCTCTAAAATTTTACTCTTATTTTTATTTATTTTTAGTTATTTATAAATTATGATATCGATCGGAGTTTGTTAAGATTTCAAGTCTAATTAAATGGTGCAGACTCTGCAAGTGACATTTAATAAATGTTTCCATCCATCGAATGTGGATGGTATTTCCTCTGTTTGATCAACACAATTACATTTCACTTTCATTTCATTTATTAGGGTGAATCTATTTTTGCTTTCGCTACGTCAGACCTATAAGAGAAAAGCAAGTACTGTAATAATTATTTTTTCCATTTATAAAAATAAAATACTCTATTTTTTATTTGAGGGATCTGAATCTTATTATCAGCCAAAACATAAGAAATAAATTATTTATTTTCTTTTTTTTCTTTTGCATCTGTTCTTCTAACAAGACAACGATGATATTGTCCTTCTTAACTGAAACATCAAAATTTGACCATTTAACCGATAACTAAACGGCCAAATGGCATGCAAGAGGGCAGAGGTTGTTAGTTCATTTTCACCGACGAACAAAACCTATCGTGAATGTCTCGAACCAGCCGACAAAGAAGACGAAGCATATGATAGGAATATGCACAAGGAGATGAGGACTAAACAGGAATTTTAGTAACATTCGACAAAGGAATGATTTTTATCAGTCAACAAATCTAGAAAAAAAAAAGTAAAGGAATATTTTGGGATTCTTAAAAATATTTATTTCTTAATAATTTATATTAATATTTTAAAATGTCTTAAACTAAATGTTTATATAATTTTATCAACAATATTCTACAAATACTGCATATATTAACTAATGATTTATTTTTTATTTGATAATATTAATTTATATTACTAAAATAAACCTGAATTATTAATAGGGCTGCAAACCATCTAAGAATAATTGATTAACGTTGAATTCCAACTCAACTTAACAAAAATATAATCAAATTTGGATTCAAATTTAAAAGATTAACCTTTTTAAATACTTTAATTTAAATTTGAATTTGGCTCATTTATTAAATAAGACCGATAAAGAGACTTACATTTCATTTATTACACTTATAATATTCACTTTAAATATATTAAATAAATTTATTTATATTTTGAAATAGAAGAAATAATTAAAAAAATAGAAGAAATAATTAAAATAAAAAATAAAATGAAAATGCAAATGCACTTGTCTCTAACTCTAATAATTGATACTTTATTGAGTTCCGTGCCACTGTTGTGGGCTTCAGTTCAGTCCACGCCTTTCCTCACACACTCACTGACTATAGTTGCTTTTTTTTTTTTTTTTTTTTTTTTTTAAAATAACTTAAAATATATAACAAATATAAATGAAAATGCAATGCGCACTTGGTTCTCTAAACTTCGTCTAGATAATTAGATCACTTTAATGAGTATCCGTGACAGACTAGTGATTGGGCATTCTAGTTCAGTCCACGCCTTTCTCACACACTCACGTGACTAAAAGTTTGCTTATTTTTTTTTTTTTTTTGTTGTATATTATATTCTATTTAAAACACTTTTCTTAGTTTGGAGACGTCTATTAACATTGGTACATCTGGATTTTCGTCTAATTAAAACCGCGCATCTGTTCCTACTCATAATTCTTATATTGACGAACATTACCTTCTCGGATCGTTTCCGAGAGTGGTGTCAACAGCCGTAAATCAATTTCACTTTTTTTAAACACTCTAGATGTAATCAAAACATTTATTTTTATTTTTTTTTTTTTTTTTTTTTTTTTTTTTAAACATTCTTTTTTGCTTGGACCAGACATGGTCATTGATTTCGTCTAATTAACTGCACTGCCACTCATAAATTTCTTATATGCGAACATTACCGTTTCCAGATTGTGTCAACCGAAATTAATTTCACTTTTTTAAACACTCTAGATTGTAATCAAAACTTTATTTTATTTTATAGAGATATGAATTTCTTTTTTTTTTTTTTTTTGAAAATGATAGAGATCTGAATTTCCATTCTTAGCAGCTGAATTAATTTTATTAATAAAATTCTTAAATATATCATTAATCTTATAATACTTTTTATAATTTGAAAAAAAAAATTATTTGTTTTAACATTTTTAATAACACGTTTCACTTTGATATGATTTGTTTAGAATAACATGGAGACATAGTTTATCTAAAATCAAATTAATTGGAAGAACAAAAATTGATGTAAAAATTTAAGGGTAGTTTATTTTATCTTATTAACAGTCTATTTTATTTAATTAGACAATAATAAACTATATAGTTTATTGGATAAAAAGATACAAGGTCAGATATAAATTTATCCTTGTACATCTTTCGTGAAAAATCTTATAACAATCGAAATTTTTTGAAGGACCTAGATATTGTATCCCTAAAGTTATACGTTTTGGTAATATTGTACATCTCTACATAATAATAATAATAATAATTTCTAAATCTTTTAGCTTTTATATGGAAAACATTAATTTGATATGTAGTTAATATAATTTTGAAACAATATTTTTTATATTTTTCAGTTATTAAACAAGTGTTTAATTGATTTAATTTTTACAAGTTAGAGTGTTTAATAAAATAAATTTTACAAGTAAAAGTATTAGTATATGCAATTTTTTTAATTTTTTAAACTTCAATGATGAATTTATGCATTTGTCAATTTTTCTTTTATATTATAAAATGACATCATATATCGTGTTCTCCCGAGATAAATAGACAAGAGTGCCTCGTTATAGTTAAGTATATTGTTTATTTACCATTGATAATTGTATAATAAATAAATAAATTTATATGTCTAATTTTATTGTATGCAGTATAATTTTATTTTTACATATTTAAAATGTTAGATGTGTAAAAATGTACTTATTTTAGATATTTTATTTATTAAAAAATTTAAATCATTTAACAATGGATTATGTTAATACATTCTTATTTTTTCAGCTCAATAAACTATTAATTTATATTTAACATTCAAATTCTACTAAATAAATGATTCCTATAAGTCATATGAACTGATAAGAGTTTGCAAGACTTCGAGAGAAATAAATAATATTAACAAACAAAAAATATTATAAGAAAAAAAAATGTAATGATTGGTGTGATTGTAATAGAAGGTTTGGAACCATTAAATTAAGGATTTAAGAACATACTTAGTATATATTAAAGAGGTAACGTCCAAAAATGGTCAGAATTTCGAAATTTCGAATTATCCTGTTTTGCAGGAATGGCGAAAGCTATAGACAAACAGTCAGTAACACACTAAAGATTAGATTTTTAAAGTGCAAAAATACAAAAAAAAAAAAAAAAAAAAAAAAAATTAGATTTTAAAGTGCAAAAAATACAAAAAAAGAAAAAAAAAAAAAAGTAACGTTAAAAGAAAGCAAAAGGAGAATGCGAGAGAGAAGACCGATGATAGCTTTGGTACGAAAAGCTAAAGGAGCTAGCTTGTTTTTGTTTGTCTTCTTTGGTAATCAGCAAGGGCGAAGCTATATATGTAAATTCAATAAAAAAAAAAAAAAAAAAAAAAAAAAGTAACGTTAAAAGAAGCAAAGGAGAATGCGAGAGAGAAGACCGATTGAATAGCTTTGTACGAAAAGCTAAAGGAGCTAGCTTGTTTTGTTTGTCTTCTTGGTAAATCAGCAAGGCGAGGCTATATATGTAAATTCAATAATATCATTCACCTTCCCTCCATCTTCTTCCTCACTCTGAGATGTAGATACATAGTTTTCTTTTTTTCTCTTTTCTCTTTTTCTGCAGAAGAGAAGAGAAAAAGAAAATGGTTTCTGAAAACTCTCTCTCCTCTTCTAAGCGCTCTCCAACTCCTAAATTCGCCAACTCATTCACCACTAGGTACTCAGCTCTGTCTCTCCTTCTGTGATCATTTTGTTTTATATACTGATTGGTGCAGTTTCTTATATATGTAGATATGTAATATGGGTTGCTTTGATTATTTCTTAAAGTTTCATTAAAGAATAATTTATAGTATATTTTTCCTCCAAATACCATTTTCTAGTTATAGTACGGAGACTTACAATTTTATATACCATTTTCCACTATATGTTCTTCTTTTCTGGACTAGAATATTTATATGGAGATCTACACCTTGTTGTTGGAATAGAATTGTTTCTTTGGTAACCGATCAATTGTTTTAATTACAAGATAATATTCTTTTTGTTCATTTACAATATGTTTGATTAATTTCTTAATTAGACCCTGTATTGTCTCAATGGAGATCAGTTATTTTTCTTCCTTTTTTCTTCTTTTCCCCCCACTTATTGTTATTGCATATGTAAGTACTCAATATGTTCTGTTTGTTAATTAGTGCTTTGACTTATTATGATCAGTGATCACCATGCACAAGTTGAAATAGTAGTTATGATAAAAAGAAAAGGGGAATGGAAAGACACCCAGATCTCAATTCTTTCTTTAAATGAGCAGGAACCCTTTATTAAGATTTAGAGATTTAAACATTTTCAATTCTTTAATTTTATAATTCAAAGGTTTGGCCTTATGATGGACATTCTTGAATTCTACGTGAATGTGCTTGTAATACATTTTTTTTTCTTCCATATAGAATCTTTTCAGATGTTGCTGGGGACATTACAATTGTTGTGGATGGAGAGTCATTTCTGCTGCATAAGGTAAGTCCTTAGTTCTTCTTTCAATTCAAACATTTCTGATGCAATCGATTAATTTTTGCTTCAAAACATCTGTTAGCAAATGTTTATCTCTTGTTGACTGCAGTTTCCCCTTGTATCTCGAAGTGGAAAGATTCGAAAAATGGTTGCAGATGCTAAGGACTTGAATATTTCCAAATTGGAACTTCAAAACTTACCTGGTGGATCTCACACATTTGAACTTGCGATGAAATTCTGTTATGGAATGAACTTTGAGATCACAACTGCAAATGTTGCCCATTTGCGCTGCGCTGCAGAATACTTGGAAATGACAGAAGATTACAGGGAAGAAAACCTCATTGAACGCACAGAGATTTATTTAAATGACATTGTGGTTCAAAGTCTTGAAAAGTCTGTAGAAGTACTGTCAACTTGTGAAATGCTGCCTGCGATAGTTGAGGAGGTAGGAATTCCAAGTAGATGTATTGAGGCTATTGCTATAAATGCTTGTAAGGAGCAGTTAGTATCTGGTTTTGCTCAGCTAGATTGTGATGGTGAATCTACGGAACTTAAGAATGGTTGTATTCAGTGGTGGATTGAAGATCTCTCTGTATTAAAGATTGATTATTATCAAAGAGTCATTTGTGCAATGGGAAGAGTTGGTGTTCGACCGGACAGTATTGTTGCTTCTTTGATGCATTATGCTCAAACATCATTAAAAGGAATTGGAAAATATCAAATTTGGAATCCGGCAAAAATGAAACCAAGTCCCTGCTTAACAGAAAGTGATCAAGGCATAATTGTGGAAACCCTTGTGAGTATAATGCCAACAGAAAAGAACACTTCCATTCCACTTAGTTTTCTATTTGGTATGTTAAGGATGGCAATCATGTTAGATGCATCCATTGCTTGTAGACTTGAACTTGAAAGGAGAATTGCTTTTCGTTTAGAAATGGTTTCACTAGATGATCTTCTCATACCGTCTGTTCGAAGTGGGGATTCATTGTTTGATGTTGATACTGTTCATAGGATACTAGTCAATTTCCTTCAAAGGGTTGAAGAAGAAGAAAATGAAGATTGTGGTTATGAATCTGAAGGCCTTGGATCCCCAGGGCATAATTCTTTGTTGAAAGTAGGAAGACTAATTGATGCATATCTAGCAGAAATTGCGCCGGACCCATATCTAAGTTTGCAGAAATTCACTGCTATGGTTGAAATACTGCCTGATTATGCACGAGTGATTGATGATGGGCTTTATAGAGCAATTGATATATATTTGAAGGTAATATATAATTTTCTATGTGAGTCATTCAACAATGCTTCAAGTAAGTTCTGAGGAACTGTTTCTGTTTAAGTAATCATTTGTTCTTCATTTTTCTTGTGCAGGCTCATCCAATGTTATCCGAGCACGATTGTAAGAAGCTATGCAAGTTCATAGACTGCCAAAAGCTATCTCAAGAAGCATGCAACCATGCTGCACAAAATGATCGACTACCAGTGCAAATGACAGTAAGAGTACTCTATTTTGAGCAAATTCGTTTAAAGAACACCCTATCTGGAAGTTCAGGAGATGGATTGCTATCACAGAGAATAAGCAGTGGTGTACCTAGTGCAGCCATGTCTCCTCGAGATAACTACGCTTCTCTACGAAGAGAAAATCGAGAACTTAAGCTTGAAATATCAAGAATGAGAGTGAGACTAAGTGAGCTAGAGAAAGAGCAAATGTACATGAAACAAGGAATGATAGATAAGTCTGGAAATGGAAAAACGTTCTTCACTTCACTATCTAGAGGTATTGGAAGGATTGGAATTTTCAGTAGTCCAGCTGGAGGGAGACGACAAAAATCTAGTCGAAAATCTCGAGGAACAGAAGGAAAACCTGGTAGAAGCCGAAGACATTCTGTGTCCTAGCTTGGTTTTTCTTGTATTTTTCAATTTGCAGTTAGTTTTCCTAGGAATCACAACTATATTTAGATTAAGTTCAGTAAGCCGTAAAAGAATGGAATATAATATTATCGATATATATTAGTTCATAACGTTATCACTAGTTATAGCCTGAAGTATATATTAGTTGATCAAATGCTAGTAGTTGCTATACCAAAACTAGAGTTCTTGTGTCCTGTATAATTATCAGATGCCCGAAGAACAAAAAAAGTTATGGACTAGAACATGAAATATTTTTATTAGTAATAAACGAATACTGTTACAAGAAGCAACTGAAAGTTTGTAACCAGCATTCCATTGAATTTATTCAAGGGACAAAGTACATAGGATTTGGAAGCTTAAAAGTTCGATTACCCACAAAATCTCCATGTAGATCACTCCATTGGTCGCCCACATTCCCCCATATCCTGTACCCTTCTTCCACTAGTTGCTTTCTTATATTAGACTTGTATGTCACTGCGCTTTGACCGTTGTATGCTCTGGTCCTGAGAGATTAAACAGTTAAGAAGAAAGACAAGTGATGGAGAATTATCACTCTGCGGAGTCAGGAATCAAGCTTAGGAGGGGGCAAAAAATTTTTTTCAAAAATTTAGAGGGGACAAATAAAAAAAAAAAACTTTTTCCAAGATAATTTTTTTTTAAAAAAAATTAGAGGTAAGAGGTAATGACTAGTGACCACATCCCCAGCTAGCCACTCTCTCCCTTCACCTATGGTTATGATCAAGATTTTCAAATTCTATTCGGTCATCTACCAATAAAAACAGAGCGTATAAAGGATCAACCAAAAGTTCGAATAGAGTCAAATCGATATTGTCATAATTGATACCGTTGAACTCGAGGTTAATACTATTGATTTATGCTGTATCTATATAATATATAAAGATAGAAGAGTCTACCGTAAATAATAATAGCCAAGTGTAAGTATCGTCAATGTAAAAAGAGTAATTATTTAGCATAATTGTAAAAAGATAAATTGTTGTATATTTTCAGATAATATAAAAAAAAAAAGAAAAAAAACTAAACTAATATTAATAAGTAAAAACTACTGTACTTGGAAATAAAAAAGAAAAATAAGGAAAAAGAATTTCGATAATTTTCTGTCCAAATTATAAGGAAAATAAAAAACTATAAAAATAAATTTGTAGACAAAAATTAATTCTAATTTTCTTTTATATCCAAAAAAAACAAGTGATATAGGTAGCACACACTGCAGTGAATAAGTATACTATATTAATATTTCAAATAAATAAACAATCATTTATAATATATCATAAACATAAAATAAAAGAAATACTTAATTTCTTATTTAATTCTCAAAATTATTATAACTATTGAACAATACATTAAGAGTGTGTGTGCATTTTTTCATGCAGGTCATACAAGGGGCGTTAAAATAGGTAATGACACGCGAACACGTTTTGCCTAACACACGAAATAAATGGATTAGGGTTGAGGTTAAACGGATTCGTGTCATAAACAAGTCACCTATTCATGACACGAATATAAACGTGTTGTGTCGCAGATTAGGCGAGTGATCCATTTATTTAAGAGTAAAAAGGTACTTTTTATGTTAGATATAAATACTCCAACTAAAATCTATTTAAATTTTATTGTTGTATTACTTTTTTAGTTTAGCTATGAATCTTGAAGAATTTATGCATTTTATGTATGAAATTTTATATTTAAATACTACTGGAGTTAAATAGGTTAAAATTTAAAAGTATTATAAGCATGTTAAGTGAGTTGTATACATGTTTATATGACTCACTTAACCTGTTTATGATATTAAACGCATTAAACATGTCGTGTTCATATCACCTGTTTAATTTTTGTGTCGTGTTCGTGTCCATAAATTTAACACAATTATTAAATTGGTGGTGTTTGTGTTGACTCTAATCGTGTCGCGTATTAGGATAATTTATATCGAATCTGATATGCCAACATATTTTGACACTCCTAAGTTATATCATGCACGTCTTTTGATATTACAACTTTTTTTAACATACATCGATGAGATACAATTTTATAATGTTCACAATTATATTATTACACAATTTTATTATTTGTAAATGATATTATAAAAAATTATTCCAAGCGAGTTATAACACTGAGTCAATACTAGAAAATTAAAGCAGATATTAGAATTCAAAATACATGGGCCTTATAATACAGAAAAAGTTCAAAATGCTTAAATATTAAAAGCCAAGATGGCATGGTTGACGTCAATGATAGTCTATTTTTCCTCTTAAAACAATTATATTTAAAGGATAGAATTTGTTTCTGCCTCAAGAAAATTAGTTAGTGGGTATAATACATATATATTTTATTAGGGACTAATCTGTAATTTATATATAAAAATCTCATAATTACATGAACTAAATGGATATTTGACATAGAATCATAAACATGAAAGAATATTTTTATATTTAGTCGTTAACAAGTCTGTCAGCAAAATTTACTATTTTAGTAAATTTTAGTTTAATTATTAGCTGATTTGAGTAGTTTTTCCTAAATACATATTACCAAACAAAGCTGTTGTCAAATGCAAAAATCTAAAAGAGACAGTTATCTATACAGTTAAGGAATAAACATCAAAACGCAATCAATTAACCTTTTACTTGAAAAGTAGTCTATGATATCTTAGAGTCTGTCAATTAGCATCCATCGTTAATAAATTAAAAGTGAAATATATTAAAGAAAAGAAAAGGATTACTGACCTCAAAATTAATCGTTCATAGCCAATAAATTCTTGATTATGCAAATTATCAATAGTAACTTGGCCAAGATTTTCTTGGTCTCTGCCAGTAACTAGAAAAACCTTAAACCCAATGGGCACCAGCTCCTTAAACAACCTAAGCACAGCAGGAATGGCTGGACACCCTCCCTTCGATGCCCATGCCACGAAACCAGCTGGATCATATGGCTCACACCTATCCACACCAAAATTATAAATTAGCTAATTAATTTGTCTTAGTAAATAAAAACTTCTGATCAGAAAAACATACCCAAATCTCTTTCCTTTATAGTAAATGACGTTGGAGATGCAAGTATCATCAACATCAAGAATCCAAGCATCCAACCCATCTCCAGAAAGAACAATTCCTCTCACATAATTCAAGATTTGGTCAACAATGAACTCAAGGTCACGATCATATTGCCCAGCTGTCATGTAAGTTTCAATATGGTGCAAGCATTGAGCAGGCACTGTCCGCCACCCACCCACATTGTTGGCCTCCACTGCCAACCGCCAACTCAGGCAGTAACTATGAGCTACTGCTTCTAGTGGAAGGGTAGCCCTAGAATGAGGCTTGTTAAGACTAGTTGCTCTGGAAAATATTGCTAAAAAGAAGAATATGAATAGTTCTTGCAAGCGTTGAGCCATTGCCTTGAACATGGTAACAAGAAAAGAAAATACAGGATGCGTTAATTAACTTGTTTCTCCTATATAAACAGAAGTACTGCAGTTATAAGCATAAGAGATGATAAATTAAGTTATAAAGAGCATTAGGTCTTGAGTCTACTTGTCTCTCTTGTGGAATTTTTAGCACTAAAGCCATTACGGCTTACATTATTACAATCATGAGTTGGAATGTCCAAAACACACGCAACCAAAGAAAGTATATCGTTACGTGTTTGGAATCCAAGAAATAATAATATTTTGAAGACACTGAATGTATTTGAAAGAGTTTGTCATTGAAATTATTTGGAAAAGCTAATCAGGTGATTATTTGTTTAGTCTTCTCACTTACGTGAAGATCTAGAGATTTCAAATTTGGATCCTCTCTATCACAATAGTTTTCATTAATTTGATGAGTAAGAGGAATGCTACCCACCGTGTAACTTCAATTTTATTTTGGTCTATTGGGCCTAAAAAAAAATTATATATTGAAAGCAATTGATATTATTATTATTATTATTATAGAATGAAAGGAAGTTGCCTCATTTTGAAGTTTTCTTATGCATGCATGTTAATATAAAAACATATATAAGGGATATTTTTTTTCCCAAAATAAATTAATTTTAATTAGTGCAAAAGTAATAGAAGAAAAGAAAGGTTATAATGAACAAATTTACAGATACACTTTCTTTCTTCTTTTTTTTTTTTTTTTTTTGTATAATTGAACAAATTTACAGATACACTTTTTCTTTCTTCTTTTTTTTTTTTTTTTTTTTTTTTTTTTTTTTGCATACTTGAAAATTTTAAAATTCAAAATAGAGGAATTTTTTTTTTTTTTTTTTTTTTTTTTTTTTTTTTTTTGCATACTTTGAAATTTTAAAATTTTCAAAATAGAAATTATAAGAGGACTATTATTCATATGACTACTTGTATGATTCACGTGTTTATGACTGGTTCAATGCCGTGGCACGTCGGTTGACAAATTGTTGACTGGTTCAAAATATATAAATAAATGAAACAATAGTAATTTTAAATCTAATATGCTAAGCTCATTTTTGTATAAAAATGACATTATAACAGAGAAAATGTTTAAAATATTTTCAAACACCATAGTAGGTAATTAAGAGATAATAAGATACCTTTAAAATTTAATAAGAGCGCTTTATTTCTTTCGTTCGCTTACACAATGCAAATCCAGATCAGTCGAGCTCAATTGAATTTTAAAGAAGATTGATCAACGATTAAAGAAGATTCAGTTGGCAAAGGTTTTTATAGGGAGACGATGCGTGACCTTAAAATTGGAAGCCCACTAATGGTGTTTCAGTAACAACCAGCATGGTGCGGGTAGAGTCAGAGGGCAGAAACAAAGAGCAACCAAATTAAACTAGCCCTAGCCTACCTATGGAGTTCTGGTTAGCTCCAGCTTTTAAATATATAGTTTATAAACATTTATGCTTATGAAATTTTCTTAATAAATTTAAATTATAAATAAAATAATGTATGCCTTAGGTTTATCAACAAAAAAAAATTAAGTCTGAAAATTTTTAACAATATTAGAAAATTTTAATAACTATCATATTATAAATATACACAGTGAAATTCAAATTATTATTATCTCGAACTGTCAATACTTTTGAAATGAGTGATATGAATACATATTTCACAAAATATTAATAAATAATAACATATTAATTCTTTAGGAGAGTTTTACTTATATCATATTTAACTTATCTATTAAATGAATTAAAAAATAAATAAATTTCATCTTCCTAAAATTAAAAAAAAAAATTAGGTTTTGTAGTTTTAAATTATACTTTCTACCTCCACTGTGGACAGCGAGAGGAATCAATCACGTGCCAAAGGTTTTATGGGATGAAAAATGGAGAAGTTGGGTGAGAGGCTAAATCGAAAAGTGGGAAAGGAGTCAGAGCCCATCAACCATCCAAAGTGGAGGCACAGCCGTCAGCGTATCATACCATAACATTTCTATTTTTATTTCATGCTTTCTCCCAATTGGTCATGTCGTCTCCTCTCTACCATGAACCGACTTCTCCACTTACACCAAATCTCTCACCAAGAGTCCAACATTTATGTCGCCGTATAAAAATTTTATTTTTATTTCCTAAAATTAATTTATGTAAAAACCATCAAAACATACAATGTCCTCATCGAAGATGTAAAAGGAGCTTACGAGCTTGTCCGAAATATGATTCATTGCTTGTCTATAGAGATAACTCATAAACTAAATCAAAATGAAACAAGTTTTTATCGAAACAATGATATTTTTCGCTATTCATCGAGGAAAGAAGAAGATAACGTGAAAATAAAATTTTAAAAGTTTCTATATTCATTAATAGGGTTTATAGATTAATCCATATATTGAGTTCAGACAAGTCTAATCTAATTAGGGGCGGCCACGGTTCTAGTTCCAAAAAATTTAGAATCAGAACCGAACCGAAAATTAACAGTTTCGATTATGGTTTAGAATTGAACAGTTCTGGTTCCGGTTTCGGTTCCTCAATGATTCCAAAATCGATGATTCCGGACGGTTCAGGCCAGTTTCAGACCGCTTCCGGCCGGTTTCAGATGGAACTAGAACCTTCGGTTCTGACTAGAGCTGGAACCGCCAATTCACGGTTCCAAAACTGGTGGAACTGAAATACAACCGGTTTGGACGGGTTTTGGTTCCGATTCGGACCGATTATGGTTCCCACCGGCTCCGGTTTCGGTTCCCATCGATTCGGAACCGATGGTTCTGATTCCGAAAACTTGATTTTGGCCACCCCTAAATCTAACTAAAACTAAAACTATATTTGTAGACGTACTCTTAGAGAAGGAAATTCTTGCAGGAGCACTAGAGACCAAATAAAAACCACTGGTGGGTGCGGTCGCAAGAAGGAAAAAAAAACTGTTAATGCTTGATTATGGATTTACTTCTTGTAGAACAAAATGCAAGCCACAAAGGAAATGTTATTATGTCATGTAGTGGAAATTTTTATGTTTCCATTGGTCATAAATGGGCACAATCACAATGGCTCATTTGTTATATATGTAGGAAATAAACATAAAACATCTGTCGTAAAATCTTCAATTTCCAGGTGCCGTCAACTCCCCCACCAATGCCTATTCTATTTATTGCTTTTGCCTACCCACACCACAAAGGCCTCTCCATTTCTCCATTGCACGCATTTCTAATTTCAATAATGGAAACTACTGCTAATTATTATATTAATATAATAATATTATGTATGTAAAGGTCAAAAGTCAAGCATTTTATTTAATAATTTAAATATTATGTATAGTGGATAATGCACTAGTATTTATCGTTTTTTCCAATAATAGCTCTACATAATGAATTGCTTACACATGTTATTTAATTAATGTGCAATTTAGTCATCCAAATGGTAAGTCGCCCCTTATTTAATTAATAATATATGCTATAAAATATATTTTATGTGAAAAATATTATTTTAATTAATTAATTTTGTACCATATGCTACCAATCAAGAATGGATAACTACTAAAAATGAAAGGAGATCGAACCGGTACTAGGGCATTAATTTTGCTGTTAAGATAAAGCATCATTTGAGGGATTAAATTATTTTTGATAAATTATATTTATATTATTTAAAATTGTAATAATGTGTTATTTAAGAAATAATATATTTTTTATTTTTTAGATTTTTGAAAAAAGTTCAATTTCAAAAAAAATAAAAAGATAATTCTAAATTCAACCCAATGTAGGAGGGATCTTGCCCAATTCGAATTTCAAAGCTCAAAGTTCAATTTTCAAGAGGAGGAGGGGGAGGAGAAGAAGCTGATGGATAGGCGTTGGGCCAAGAACCAAAATGTCGCAATACTGTCAAAAAGGTGAAATGGTTAGATTGGCCCAATTGCATGTCATGCTCAAATCAATAGCCCAAGCTCAACATTGGGTCATACTGAAAAATATCCATAAAGACAAATGGTTTATTTGATTTCTTTCTTTATTTTATATTTTATGAGTATATTAATTTTGCAATTTTAAATAATAATTTAACAGTATTATAATTTCTTTAAAAGAATATAATTTTGGATCTTATAGTCTTATAAAATAATAATCATAATGTTACTGTTAATTATCCAATAATACTTAAAATTACAAAAGTGAAAGTTGAAGGAAAAAACTCACAGCCGACTGCTCCTACGTAGCAGTCAGAGAAGGCAGGTGATGGCAGAAAGTCAGAAACATAGTGAGTATGGATGCGATGGAGATGAACGTTCGTATTTTAACGGCTTGTTCTTTGTTTTCTCGTGAGACACGGTCACAGTATATTTAGTACCGCAAAGAAAGGGTAAAAAACCTCTCCATCGGAGAGTGAAATAGAACATGAAACTGCAAATTCTCAAGCGATGGAAAGAGTCAGGGGCATTGACCGCGTGCCTGTTGAAGAATGAGCCGGCGGAGTTTCCGCTATGTTTTGAAGGCTTTTACTCATTACTATTAAATAGGAATGTATTTTCCTTGTTTGTTCCTAGTGATAATTAAATTGATAATATTAAAATTGAATGGAGACAATAAATAATTGGTTGGTAGGGGAAAACAAAACCAATAATTGTAACCACTTGTGAGGCCATAGAGATTGTTAACGTGAAATGGAGTTTTCTTCTTTAGTCATCCTTTTCGTGTCTATACGTCTCTTTAGCATGTGATCTTCCATAATCAACGCTATTGTCCCTATCGCTGCTGTCCAATCTCAATATTTTCTCTAGTATTTTCCCTACTTCTACAATTCCTTAATCAAAACGTAATTAGATCACATGTCATCTGTCCGTGAGAAGAAGCGTTTCCGTAACTGAAAGCGTTTATAGTCAAAATTTTCTTCATTTATAAGAATCGAATGCTCGAAATTTTACTTAAAAAAAACTTAAAGTTGGTAGAATTTCTTTTTCAGTAACAGAGTTCATTCTTTTTTAACTTTTTTTTGCATACTTTTTTAAAAAAACCAAAGTTAATTTTTTATTTCTTTTTTAAAGAAAAAAATGCCACAAAATAAGAATTGGAAGTTTCAAGTCAAGAATATCTGCCTGCAAACAGTGTCTTTCTATTGGTTACCATAAAAATGAATTGATATGACTTATGACATGTCAGTTGATTCTGGACGATCTTTATAGCTGGTGTTGTCGGAATTTTTGGTTGTTCCAGGAACGTTTATCTTTTTCCCCCTGAACAACAACGAAGAACCAACAATCACGTGGACATCCTATTGGGCTTAGCATGTTGGCCCATACATCCATCACACTTCCTTTTCTCAAATGGTCCAAGCATTGTAGATGAAGGAGGGCTTCGAATTAAGACCCAGAGCGTCAACTTTAGCATTCAGACCAGACATAATTAATTATAATTGAAATATTTAAAATTAATATTTATGATAGACAGTATACATACCCTTGTAGAATCTAGGTTGAGTTGCAAATTTAATAGTGGGATTTTAGGTCCCAATTCATTGTCAATGTAGATATTCTAAAGAGGAGAGGATGGGTGTCTGTAGGGTAATAGATGGCCTAAAACTGGAGTCTTGTCTTACCAAGTAATCTCATTCCCCAAGTTTTAAGTGTTTAGGCAATCTTTACCTTTCAGGTATTTAAATTACATGACCAAAAAGCTTAGATACTTAGTATATCATTAGAGGAAAAGTCAATTTTTAGAGTGGTACTTAATCAAAATCATAAGGCACGGTTTCCACTATCTTATCAATTTCAGTAAGCACAACAGAAATTGGTATTCATTCATGACTTTGGTCCCTCCTTAGCAGGAAGCTGATGTGGCAAACCCAAATACAAATCAAATTTTTGCAGGTTTTTTTTTGGCTTATCTTTCCTTATCTTACGAGGAGATATCTACGTCTATTTTGTACTATTGTATAGAGTTTTTAGTAATTATATTTTTTTTCATTTATCAAACTGAAGTGTAATTTTGGGTGTATAGGGGAAGTCTGTTGGCTCGGGTTTAGTTTCTTAAATTTAATAAGTTTTTCCTGATTTTATAATTTAATAAAATAAAATATGAATTGCTGATAAAAAAAATTGACATTACTATCATAGTCTAATTGATTTGTTTGTTTGATGGAAATTTGATATACATGGATGATTTTTCTTTTTTCTTTTTTTTTTTTTTTTTTTTAAATTTGCATTATACAATGGAATGATTTTCTTTTTTCTTTTTTTTTTTTTTGTTGCTAAAATTTTTTTTTTTTTTTTTTTTTTTGTAAAATTCAGACTGAATTGATTAAATAACATAATACAACTAATAAAAAATGAGGACAGACTAATAAATAGTGGTATTGTAGTAATAATTCTTTTCAAATGAATTTAATATAATATATAAAATTAGAACATGTGACCAACTTCATGTGACAAATGATTAAAAAAGAAAATGATATATCCTTGTTAAAGGGGAAAAGAAAGAAAAGGTTTTTCAGCTATGGCTTTTTCCTTACTCTTATTACCTGCTACCGTTTAAGTGCCAACGTTACCATAAATGTGCAATTAATTCATAAATTGTGAAGCTCATATAAATAACCATTTTCCTGAGGTAGTTGGCAGGAAATTAAGCCCATCATTTTTTCTTGATGAACTCACTTATTATTTCCCATTATATATATACAGAAAGTCATTTAGGTGGGACCAGATCAGTTACATGCATTGGAAGTAATTGCTAATCATCATATGCATCATCCCAGAAGCTAATGACCAGTTACAAACAGTACTTTTACAAAATACTTTATTTCACTAAATTATTACTTTATTTCATTTTATTACTCCAATCTCTATTGATCAAAATTGATTTTAGAAAATAATATAAATAATTACTTGTGTTTATTGAAGATGAGAGTAATTTTTTAGAAATAATTAATCATTCTCAATATTTTTGAAATAACTAATAATTTTGATATTTATATAAAAAAATCATGGATAAAAGCAAAGAAAATGAGTATGATATGTAGATTTCTATCATGATAATAGATAACTACATACGACTATTACTTAATTGCTTGTTGATTACAATTTGATTGCACTAAATAATATCTTGAGAATATTAAAATAATACTAGTACTACATAAATTAAGTTTGTATAAAATATGTTTTAAAATTATTTAATTGGGAAATTTAATATTAAAAATATTTATATCATGTAAAATATTATTCGTTTTATTATTTATGACTATAATTTTCTTATCTATGTATATATATATCTATCTATATCTATATTATATAACAATGTAAAAATGAGGGAAAATAATGAGATTTTCGATATCGCCCTAAATGAAATTTAGAATATTCTAAAAAGTAGTTTTAATCGTAGCCAATTTGAAAATTACATTTTATACCAAAGAGTGTTTGGATAAGTGGTTCAACATTCTTCTCTCTTAGGTGAGGTTGAGAGTTCAACCTCCATGGATGGAGCAAATACTTACTGGAAGCACTTTATCCCTTCTTAGACCGATCTGGTACGAGCAGAATTTAGGTTTAGCCCAGTGGGCTCAAGATACTCGTGGTTAAGACAAAAAAAAGAAAAGTTATATTTTGTTATTTAATTGGATATAATTTCTAAAGATTTTTTTAAATAAATAAATATATATAATAAATATATATAATAAAAGAAGAAAAAAAATATACTTTTTTTGTTGTTGCTAGGGAAATTGGTTTAGATTTATTTGGAAAGGATATAACTTTTTTTTTATATTATAATCTTTTTTATACTTAATTTACTTATTTATTTATTTTAAGAATTTGCAACTTAGAACAAGTAGAGAAATAAAATACTTGAATTAAAGACTCATTAACTGACCAATATTAGATCTCTAGCATGATTTCTTTGTAATTTTCATTTATTGACTTGATTTTTTTTTTAATTCCATCAGAAATTAAATTTAATTTAATTATAGCATTATTGAGATTATTTTAAAATTTAAAATGGGTAATTTCTTTAATATAATTTATTTCTTGTTATATGTTGAGTAATTTATTTCTTGTTATATGTTGAGTTCTTAAAAGACTTTTATTCTTAATAAAAATTTATTATTTATTATTTTCTTTTTCGTTAGTGAATTTATTTGAATCACTATCTATTTTTAAAGTATATTTATTTATTAAAATAAATTATAGTGAAAGTTATTAATAAAATATGTAAGTTAATTATAAAACGTAAAATAAAAGTTATATGATGATTTTTATAAATCAATTGGTAGTTAAATAAAAAAATAAAAGCAACTAGTGTATAATAAAAGCTCTATGAACCAATATGTCGAAGAGAATATAAATTATATATTTCTTATTTACATTGCTATTTTAAAGTGAAAACAAATATATCATTTTTTTTAATGAGATATTACAGATTAAGACATATAATTAAAAAAAAATACTATATATATATAAACCACTATATTTATTGTAATATGAATAAGAATTTATATTTTAATTATATAAATAAAAAAGCTAAACGAGTATAAAATATCAATATATAATTACGAGTATAGTTAACGTGTATCGCACGTCATAAAAAGAACTAGTAATATATAAAAGGAGAGTAGTTTGTTTTATATAGAAACCAAGTGAGTAGTATAATTTGCCACTATGCAGTATTTTAGATTATAAAATGACAAATGTTAGAAACATAAGCGGCAAATAAAAAAAATTTTCATGCAAGTGATATTTATTAACTGTGTATACCAACGTGTTTTTTCATTCCTCAAGATAGATATTAAAAAATACTCTTTCCGTTTCATTTTGTTTGCTTGTTATTCCTTTTCTGGATGCCCCAAAAAACGTTTGCAAGGTCTCTAAATTTGTATATGTAAATAATTATTTTTTCATTATAACATTTATGATTCTTCATTAAATGAGGAACTTTTATTAATATCTTAGTGAGTTAAAGTAAAAAAGGCAAAATAATTTTTATTGATTAAATTCTTAATATACGTGTTTTGTCAAACCATACAAACAAAATGAGAGAGAATATAAACCATACAAACAAAATCGAGAGAGAATATATATATTATAATAATATATATATATATAATATATATATAATAGCAGTAATTTGGCTTATATGAAATCAAGTATAAGTAACATAAATTTGCTTAATTTATTAACATTTTATGAACACAAAAAGTTTTTTATATCGCAACTTTCAGTATATCAAATAACAATATTGTGAATGTATTTTACAAATTATTTTAATTATATAATTTTATATATAATAGAGTAATTTGGCTTATATGAAATCAAGTATAAGTAACATAATTTGCTTAATTTATTAACATGTTATGGAACACAAAAAGTTTTAATATCGCAACTTTTCAGTATATCAAATAACATATGTAATGTATTTTACAATTATTTTATTATATAATTTTATTATTTTTAATCATGTTATAAAAAATTATTTTATTTTTAAAGTTCTAAAACTAGTATAATTTTTAATTAAAATGTGACATTCAAATGTTAGAATTTCTAGAATTTATGGTAGAAGGGGTATTATCTTTCTTTTTTTAAAAAAAAGAGAATATAGCATTTGAAGGTAAATTATTGGTTTTTTGGGTGTGTATAAATAAATAGTACTGCTATTATTTTTGGTTCTTAATACATATATAGACGAAAATGAAAACTAAAAACATGAAAGAGAAGGGGACACCGACTGTCAGATTTACAATTCCAATTTCCATAAACAAACTTACACCTAAGCACGGATCTTAAAGCTGACACTTAACTACACCACATCTCAGATCTAATGCTGACTCTCTCCCTCTCTCTCTCTCTCTCCCTCCCTCGCACTTTCTTCGATGACGTAAAACATAAAATAAGGCTCCGATGATGAGGTTGTTGCCTCTTTCTCCTTGCATCTACTGCACTCTTTCTCTCTGCAACAGATCTTATGACTTTCTCTCTCTCCGCCATTCTTTTTGACGTTTAGAGATGCTTTTGGCGGCGGAGGCGGCGGTTGCTCCTACTGAACTCTGCTACTCTACTTAATTCGGCAATGATGAGTGGTAGGAATAGTTTGAGAGAATCTCTGGTCGGAGGAAGGAAATTTCCGGCTGCATCGCTTTCGCAGCATCACCGCCGAGGTCAAAGTTTGAATGGTTTATCTAAAGATTCTGACGAGAACTTGGATCTTTTCTCCAAAAACCGCCGCAGTCTCTCAGTCGCCTCTTCTGATGAATCTTCCGATGGTACTGCAGCGCTCCGGTTAATCTATGTTTTAATAATGTTCCTTTTTTTTTTTTTCAGTGGAGCTCTTTGGATAAAGAGGAGGATAATTGGTCATTTAGTGGCGATATCCGAGATTTTAGTGTATCTGTCTTTGTTTTCAGTTCATTTATGTTTGATTTGTCGGCTTTCACTGGACAGTTTTCTCTAATCAATCCAAAGGAGGGAGATTGGAAGCTGAAAACGATGTTCATTGAGCAATGTTTAATAAACAAAACCTCCTTGGTCAATAGGAAAACGATGCCGTTTGATGAGCAAGTTGACGGTGTCGTTTTACCATGAGGAAGCCAGCACCATGGCCTTCTTTTCTTGCTTTCAGTATTGTAGACTTGTCATATGGAATTTAGATGGTGATATTCGTGATTTTGAGCGTACAGTGATATTCTGCGTTGGGGAAAGTTGGTTTCTGATTACAATTCAGCTTTTCATTTTCAGTTAAAATTTGTGTAGAATTTCTGAATCTAAATTTTTGCTTATGGAGTGTTTTTCTTTATTTCCTGTTCTCTCAGTTTTATTTTTATTTTAATATAAGTTCTGGTGTTATTTAAATGCTGGTTTACTGTTCATTGCAGTTTCAGTCAAACTTGGGAGACTTTCGGTTGGATCGGCCAAACTAGCAAAGAGCGGGATTGATGATCTATTGTCATCCACAGATGGTGGAAAACATGATTATGACTGGTAATCTCGGAAGCTCACCTCATTAATTACATATTTAATTTCGGATCCATGAGATACCATGGTTTTAGATGCATGTAAATTCTGAGCTTAATTGCACGGATTGAAATCCATTGCTGATCATGCCGCCTTGGCAGTTTAAATTCTTTTTATCTTTTTCTCCAATGCCCCTTTGCCACATATTCCTAGAATGCTCGTGATTTGGAGAATTACCCGTAAAACATGGAACGGGAAAAAGTCTTTTGGAGGGTGCCCACCGATCATTTCTAGTGTTTCACATTCCACGTTATCAGAAATTGAAATCTTTTAGTGCTGCATATGGAAGTAACATAGAATTTCTGATACAAATAATAGCACCTATTCATGATATGAAGGAAGAACCTTTTTCTGAATGAGAGATTTACATGTTTACCTGAATGTCTTCCGGATTAGATGAGTATATTATGTACTCATATCATATGGGACGCAATACCAAACTTGAGAATTGTCCCATAGTTTGCAGTGTTTCACTTCCTTGAGCAATCAGTTCCTGTTTAATAAATATTCTTGGCTTGAAGTTGTAGAAGGTAAAATATTCACTTCGGGAATATATACATTTCTAGACCCATTTTTTTACTGTTGCGTCAAAGCAGTTAAGGAAAATGTGAAATTAGCATGCATGTACTATTGCAAATACTAACTATGTATTCCTGTCATCACTAATGCAAATTTAGCATTCATAATCATCGTCCTTGCTTACCAGTTCTTCATGTCCTTAGGCTTCTTACTCCTCCTGGAACTCCTCTCTTTCCATCATCTGATGGCAGTGAGTCTCAACCAACTTCAGTCGCTCCGAGAAGTAGTTCCTTGGCTAGATCAGCTTCTAGTGCCAAAACTTCAAGGGTATGGCATTACTCTCTCTCTCTTTTTTGTCCAATAACTATTTTTATAATTCACTTGAGTTTACTACTCTAAATGGATAAGAAAGTTCTGCAGAAGTTTTTATTTGGAAAATTCTTGGCTTGACATGTATTACACTTTTGAAGTCTCTATTATGGATGATTAATTTCTGGATTTGTCTGTATTTCAGCTTGCTGTCTCACAGTCAGAGAGTCACCAATCCATGAGACCAACTAGAAGTAGTTCACTGACTCGCTCTTCTATATCATCTTCACAATATAGCACCTATTCATCAAATAGATCTTCTTCAATCTTAAATACAAGCTCAGCTTCAGTTTCATCTTACACTAGACCATCCTCTCCAATTACCCGCTCTTCCTCTGCAGCAAGACCTTCTACTCCATCTTCTGCAAGACCTTCCACTCCATCTTCAGCAAGGCCTTCCACGCCATCTTCCCGCCCATCAGCTTCACGTTCATCAACTCCATCTAGAGCTCGTCCAGCCCCCGCCAACAATTTAATTGACAAGACTCGACCAACCCAAAGTTCAAGACCTTCTACTCCAAGTTCTAGAGCACAAATTCCTGCAAGCTTAAATTCAACTGCTACTCGATCTAATTCTCGTCCATCTACTCCCACGCGTCGGAGTCTAGTATCTTCTGTGCCAGCCTCAAGTCCTTCAACTTCAGCTGGGCGTGTTCTTTCAAATGGGCGCGTTACTGCACCGTCATCCCGACCAAGTTCCCCAGGCCCTCGACTCCGATCTCCACAACAGCCAGTTGTTCCTCCTGATTTTCCCCTTGACACACCTCCAAACCTCAGAACAACTTTGCCAGACAGGCCACTTTCTGCTGGGAGGTCCCGGCCAGGTGCTGCCATTACTGCGAAGGGGAGCCCAGAAACTACAAGCCCAGCTAATGTAACAAGAAGACATTCATCCCCCATTGTCGTAAGGGGAAGACTCACAGATGTCCCTGGTAAGGGTCGTGCATCTTCCAATGGGCATGTTGCTGATTTATCCGACTCTCGAAAAGCCTCACATGTGTCAGATTTAGGAATGCGGAAACCTGTTAAATCATCTTCAACAGTCACAGATAGTACTGGGTTTGGGAGGACAATATCTAAGAAGTCTCTGGATATGGCTATCAGGCATATGGTATGCACACTCTCTTTCATGTATGATTCATTAACTTCATATTATGCCATATATATTTGGCTAGTTTCTAGTCTGAATGCAGATAATTAGATATGAGCATAATCATCCAAGTAGCTAGATTTCTCAGGTGCACAGCTGCCAAATTGTCACAATCATGCCTAAACAACAATAACAGAACTGGTCCCACATTGGCTGCTATTCATATTAGCAATTTGACTTTTACATTTGTTCTTGTACCATGGGTGTATTCTAATATTTTTGTTTGATAAGCTTTATTTTTTTTTTTTTCATAGGTAAATGCATCAAAACTGATCTTTCTTAATAAATGGAAGGAAAGCCCCTCCATTAGAATAGATGTACTGGGAAAACTTTTTAGGGTATGATTGTGTTTTCTCAGATCAGTACTTGAGTGAAGCTTAAACATTTGATGGGGGATTAATTTGATTAAATGTTCCTGAACTCATCACTAATTCACTATGTTTTATCATCATCCTTTAACTTTAATCTGTGATACAAAAATCATTAAACTGATATCGTTATTACGTAGTGGTTACTTCTACTATAATCTGGAACCCCATTACTGGATTGCTGATCTAGGTGCCATATAAGCATATTTTAATGAAAATTTCGATAAGTTTATCAAGGGAAAACTCTTTGTATTTTCTCTCTCATCACACTATATGCAAAGAAACAATGTGTGAGAGAGTATTTATTGTTGAATTAGACAATTGTTCATTAAAATTTGTTAACATGGCATCTATTCAAGCATTCCACAGTAGGTTTCTAAATTGTGGTGGAAATGACTTTTACTGCGTTGTTTTGATGTGCGAATTTAATGTTTCAAGATGATATGCGATGTCTATGGTATAAATAAGTAAAATAGCAAAAATAGAATATAAATTCTACCACATCACTTATTCTATTGGGTTTTACGAAGCCTGTTCATGCACAACATGTTAGACTGATCATAGAAAAGATTCTCTTCCTGGGAACCGGCCTATCCTCTATATGGGGATTATGCAGTGGTTGGAACAAAGACACATTTGGTTATTAATTCCAATACGGTGGATAAAGGCATATATCTACATGGCCAAACCGATAGTCCAAGTCACACACTTCCATAATCCACTTTTAGCTATGATTGCAAGGATTCCTGGTGCATTATGCATGAGATAGCTCATGTAGCAAAGAGATCTTGTATTGGTTTCTGTTATTGCTATGGCAGTGGAAGTGTATTTAGCATATTGTAATGGAGCATAATGCAATCATTTTTGCACTTTCTAAAGACAGGTTCCTGCTCGTAAGACACCCTAACTATATATCAACTCTGTGATGCAGGACATAAAAAATGGCACTGGAGGCACTCGGGTACTTTCAGGCACCACCCTTTTCCCTCAGAGCATTCGATCTTCTTCCAAAACACAATCTGTACGTTCTGTAAGTGCTCCAGAATCCATTAGCAATGGAGATATTTTGGAGAATGGAAACCATATTAGCAGAGCTGCAGAAATTGTAACTGAAGCAAATGATGGTCGATACACTGCAAAATTGAGTGAAGTTGACATCTACGAAAGCTCGCGTTATGATGCAATATTACTGAAAGAGGATTTGAAGAACACAAACTGGCTGCACAGTATTGATGATAAATCCGATCAAGGATCAATCTTTGATAATGGATTTGAGCCTCTGCCTGAACCATTTGGCCTATTATAACATCTGAAAATTGGGAGTTTATTTTTTGAAGATATTTAATTTTTTATAAAAATTTATTTCTTATTCTCGTTAATTATTTACTTGGAAAGAATGAAATGTGTCGACTTTTATCGCAAAGAACTTGTAAAGTGAAGAGGCATTCCTTGCATTCTGCAATGAGATTAATGGTTTCACTGTTGATCGTTTTATCTAATTTATAATGTATACAAAATATATGTTTTAAACGCGAAGGCTTTGAAGGTTGTGTGGCATGTTCTATATGATACATTGGCCGGTTCTACCGTCCTCAAGTCAAGTAGGAATCTAGGATGGCTCGACCTCTTGATTCATTCTGCTGTAAGGTCAGAGGATTCTAGTTGCAAGGTTCAAGGTGTGGGACTTTATTTTGTACATCACATTGGAACAATGAGATTCTGACTTGGGGTTTATAATGAATTTTGGTTCTCCAGCTTTAACAGTTAACTTTTAAGGTATAGTTCTTCCAAAGTCATTACACATATGAGGTACGGTTACAAAACAAATTATTTTATTTTCATTTTTAGATTTTTGGAGTATTTAAAATCGGATCTATTGTTTCATCATATGTGCAATTTTCTTTTTCCTAAAATTTTGGCTGGTTTTTGTTCAGTCACTCGGCTCCGTATAGTTTTGGCAAGAGTCCAGGCCGGCCCGGAGCTTGTGTTTATTTTAGCCTAACTCAAGTTGGAAGTGCCCTTTTGGTTAATGAATTGGTGCCGTTTCTTTAGACCTGGGCCGGAACAGAAACTGAGGTCTCAATTTCTGTACTAGAAACGACAAATCCACTCACTTGGAATTTTGTGTTTTGGTGCTCTAAGTCTAATAAAGTCTAAGCTGATGATGGTTATGAAAAAGTAATATTAAAATGCCAAAAGGAATCTATTTATGGTTTTTTAAAATAGTTGTAGCCAATTAGTGTTTGTTGAAATGGGTTTGACATGGATTATGGATTTTCAAACACAGAGCATGCCTGCCTTTCAAAATTGTAGCTTTTAATTTGAAGGTGGTTCAACAACTTTGCATAGCATCAGCATCTCTTACTTGGTTTATCATAAAAGGTACAACCAAGAATGTCAACTTAAATTAAATTATTATCATACCCATTACATAGAGAACTTTGTTTCAGTACGCGTATATTGACCTAACTATCAAAACTAATTAAAAATTAAAATTTTTAATTAGTTATTCTAATTCACAATTATTTTTTTTATTTATTTCGTTGACCAAATATTAAACTCTAATCCTCTAATTTTATTAGAGAAAAAATAATACCTTCGTGAAAATTGAGTAATGTTCGTATTATTAATGTAAATTCAACTCTTACATTTCTTTTTATTTTTTAATTTATAATACGTGTATATATAAGTTAACCATTATTGACAGAAAACCGTCGTATTTCACTTAAATATGAGTCTTTTTTAAATCATTCCTTATTTGAAATTTATTGGTACCACGTTTATAAAAAAAAGTAAAAACATTTCTTTGCGTATTAAAAAATATTTGTGATAATAACCATTACCATTGTTTTACTAAGCCAAAACCTTTAATAAACATTTACAATCGCTTCAATTATTAAGATTCCTTCCTCACACAAAGCTTCAAGTGTTTATGCCATGAGAGAGAGATTCCATATATTTTTTCATCATGTTGTAATAAAAAAAAATGGACAAATCTAAAATTTTAGGTAGGGGAAGGGGACACCGTCCATTGTCTAGCATGGGGAGTGAGGCATCTTTTTCATAATTCATATGGCCACCACTTTGTCCTTTTCCAAATTGTACTCTTTACTGTACAATTCCAATGGCATCTATCGAAACTAATCTTCAAACAGAACAACCCTTATTCTCATTGGCTGTATAAATGAACACTGATATATATTTATATTCCCGTAAGTAAATATTTTTTTTTTATTTTATATAAATAATAAAAAAGTGAAAATTTCAAAGAAATCTTACATGTCACATGCAACATTTGACCTAATATTTTGTTTGGTTAGAAATTATAATAGATGGAAGTAGAAACTACAAAACCAAAAGTTGACCCAAAGTTGGATTTTGCTAATACATTCAATTCATTATTCATAAAACATCCCACAAAATAGCAAATCAAATAAAGGAGGCATGTTGTTTTCTGAAACAATCATTATTATATGCATAATACCATATCTTGTATGTCCTGTTTTGTGGGACCTAATGTTTGTCATCTCTCCATTTTGGACATAATCAAAGGAAACAAATGCAAACATCTCACTCAAAAGGTAAGAGGAAACCTGCTGGTCATACATTGTTTCGCCTAATCAGTTGATGAACTCTCCTCTCACCTGTGGGGAGAAAAAAAATTTTCTCACCCAAACATTTGTTATTATTTTAAAATACAATTTTCACCAAATTTCAACCACTAAAGAATTGTGCAGCCATGGCACATATATAAGTACGACTACGGATCGGGTATCACACTGATTGACAGAAATTAAATTCGATCTATTTAATTAATTTATATTAACCACTAAATTGGGTTTTTTTTTTACATTAAAATATATCTTTGAATGCATATACGATGCAATAGATTTATTGTCAGGTCATTCGTGTACTTATCAATTGGTATATTAATTAAGAGTAACATATCATAACCAATTATATAAAATATATCTTTGAAGCATATACGATGCCAATAAGATTATTGTCAGGTCATTGATCTGTACTTATCAATTGGTATATTAATTAGAGTAACATATCATAAACCAAAATTATATATATAGTATATATATATATATATATATATATATATATATATATATATAATAAAAGACCCAATATATATAAAAGACCAATTTTTATATTTATAATAAATCAAACAGTAGAAACATTACAAAATTTAATTGAACTAGTTAAATTGAAAATTATTTTAAAAAAAATATTATCCAAACCAAAGTAACATAAACATATGTGTTGACATGTCAAGTGGGATTTTCTTACACAATGCCAATGTCACAATAGAAACCTATATATTCCAATAAAAACAAATGCATAATCCCAATCTTTCTCATCTAATCTCTCTCTAAATTATTTATTAATTGCTTTTAATGTATGTTTATCATCTCTGTTTAAAGCAGCAATTGCCCAATTGGGTCTGAAGATAGAGAAAGTGTCTCTCTTTCTGCAGCAAAACCAGTAAGAAGAAGAATTTTAAAAAGTAATATTGTAATAAATGCAAAGGTAGTGTGTATATATACTGTATAGAGTATACAGTTCATCGAGATCTGCGTGTTAACTCTGCGTTTGCTTGACGGAGAAGCTTCAAGAAATTCTTAGCTGAATTGAACGTTAGCATTTAGGGACTGTTTGTTCGAATCTAAAACAGCTGCAACAACAACAACTACTTTACTCTTTATAATTCTTCTGTTGTTGGCTCTTTAGCGTGCGTGTTCTTGAAGAAATGCCCACTTTAAATCTTTGGCCTTTTCTCCTTTCTTCACTGTCTCTCGGCTTCTACTTCAGATCAGCATTTTTCTTCCTCTGATGGCTATCACTGTCTTGCACTCGCATTCTTGAGCTATTTCAAGGTTTGACTCTCTTCCTCTCTCTTTACACATATATTATATGTGTGTGCTTGCATTATTACTGTTTGTTTGGTTACCGAGAAAATTGAGGGAAATGTTGCATTTTCGGTTTAAAGCTCTGCTCAATGGAGCTTATACAAGAATTTGCATTTTGATTTTTTTTTTTTTAAATTTTATGTGTGAGAAATTAATATTCAAGTTTTTTTTTTTTTTTTTTAGGTTCTCCTTTGTCTGTTTTTTATTAGGGGTTGACTTGGGATTTGGTAATTTATAACATTCACAACTGTAATTAGCTGTTATTACTGGCAATGAGAGTGTTCATTTACAGATAAGGGATTTTGGGCTAATTACTTACAGGGTGTTCATTATTGGCAGAAATTTTTCAGTTGAGATTGAAATTGCTGGTGTTTGTGCAGAATTGAAATTAGGTTTGTGTACTTTCATTGAACATGAACATATATATAGCATTTGCTCTTTCTTAAAAAATGTGCATTGGAGATTTTCTTGTTTTCATTCTCCATAATCATTTTCTTTTTCTTGTCAAATTTATTGTTATTATTGAATTTCCTTTTTAAGTTCATTTATTCGCTGTTCTCTATGTATGCCCTCTTTTTTTTTTTTTAAAGAAATCCTTAACATATTCAATTAAAAATTATCAACTACCTTTACGCCAATCAAAGGGAAAATTCTGAAAGGAATTATCATTACTTCCTTTAATGCTTTTGCTTTTATATTTAGCATAAAAAGGATATGCTTTTGCTTTTTTCTTGTAGTGCTTTCCTGTAGATAATGTTAATAAATTCCAATACTATTGACCATTCTGTGTGTCTGTGTGTGAGGTATTTTGATGCATGGGGTAAGTGATATGTTACAGTGAATTGTTCTTCATTTAATACTGGATGCCCTGATCATCTCTCTCACTCTTTTCCTAGCAAATAAGTAAATCTGTATTTTTGGGGTTAAGGGTAGAAGTTCACTTGGAATAGTTTCTTTTTTCTTTCCATCTTTAATGGAGCAGGGGGACAGTTGTGTATTAGAGATTAAGTAGGTTGGATATTCCAGCCTTTGGTTCCAGATTGTGGAGTGGCTAGTTTCTTCAACTTTGGCTGGAGTTAGTGAAGTTGGAAACTTTTCCAATGTCATTTTCTTTGTTTAGTTAATTGGTGGGACCTCTGGATGCTTAGTTAACAATTGTTGATGATTGATCATCTTATTCCATCACGTTCATAAAATTTTATGCTCATAAAAAACTCTCTCTTGTAATGCCTGAATTATTGAGTTTTTCTTTTTTCCTTCACAAATCTTGCATTTCTGGGTCTAGCCCCTCCAATTGCAATACCCTCCACCCTACTTCAATTCTTCAAAACTTGGAACAGTAGAGTTGAAATCCAATGTTTTATTTTTATTCTTTCAAATGCTATTGTTTGTGTCATGTTAGCTCTGTGATTAGTCACTATGGTCCACAATTGAGAGCATTATGAAAACTAATGTTTCAGTATATGGTTCAATTTTCCAGGGGAAGAAGAGGAATTGCTAAGGTTATACTCATCAATCACATCCGAGACAATTTCATTAACATACTCTATGAAGACACTCTCATTCATTCTGGCATTGACATTTCAGTCTCTACTGTTTTTCCTTCCCCAAACTAGTGCTGACCTAAATTCTGACAAACAAGCCCTTCTTAACTTTGCTGCTGCAGTTCCTCATAGAAGGAAACTCAATTGGAATTCTACTACCCCAGTATGCAAGACTTGGGTAGGCATCACCTGTAATGGTTCTCGTGTAACTTCTGTTCGCCTCCCTGGCACTGGACTGTATGGTCGTATTCCAGCTAACACGCTTGAGAAGTTGGATGCCCTCATGACCCTCAGTCTCCGCTCCAACCGCCTTAGTGGAGACCTTCCTTCAGATTTACTCTCGCTTCCTTCCCTTCGTTATGTATACCTTCAACATAACAACTTTTCAGGAACTATTCCCTTATCTCTTTCTTCTCATCTTAACTCACTTGACCTCTCCTACAATTCATTCACAGGCAGCATTCCTATCACAGTACAAAACTTAACAAACCTTACCAGTTTGAACCTTCAAAACAATTCCCTTACAGGATCTATACCCCAAATCGGTAACTCAGTGCTCAAACAGTTAAACTTGAGCTACAACCACTTGAATGGTTCAGTTCCATCTACTCTTCAAAAGTTCCCTATCTCCTCCTTTGAGGGGAATGATATGCTATGTGGACCACCACTCAACCGGTGTTCCTCACTTGTGCCCTCCCCTTCGCCTTCCCCCACTTCCTTACCACCTTCTCCAACCAACTCCCAGTCCCCCACTTCCTTACCACCTTCTCCAACCAACTCCCAGTCCCCCATTTCCTTACCACTTTCTCCGACCAACTCTCAAAAACCAACATACAGTTCAAAGAAGAAACTAAGTACTGGGTCTATCATTGCCATTGCAATTGGAGGAGCTGCGATACCATTCTTTTTATTTTTGCTTTACGTGATATGCTGTTTGAAGAAAAAAGGTAGTGAAGACAAAGCTGCACTGGAAGAGAAAGGCAGAAGGAATGAGAAGCCTAAGGAAGACTTTGGGAGTGGGGTGCAAGATGCTGAGAAGAACAAGTTAGTATTTTTTGAAGGAAGTTCTTACAATTTTGATCTTGAGGATTTATTGAGAGCGTCAGCTGAAGTACTAGGAAAAGGAAGTTATGGAACAACCTATAAGGCTATCTTGGAGGAGGGAACAATAGTAGTTGTGAAGAGGTTAAAAGATGTGGTGGCAGGGAAAAGAGAATTTGAGCAGCAAATGGAGACTGTTGGAAGAGTTGGCCAGCACTTAAATGTCATTCCTCTCCGTGCTTATTATTACTCCAAGGATGAGAAACTCCTGGTTTATGACTATGTAGCAGGCGGAAGCTTTTTCACATTATTGCATGGTATGTTGATCCTATATCTTCTTCCTTTCTTTCTATTCCATAACCCTGAACACAAGAACACAACCTGTCCTCTATTAGTAATATGCAAAGAAGATACATAAAAATGAGTTTTGACTCAGAGGTAGCGGAATAGTCTCCAAGACAGTGAGGTTATTAGTTTCATTCAGAATGACTTTGTACACAAACCCAGAAATTTCCTCCATGTTTGACAACAGTTTTATTTTATGGTTCCTTTTCCTCATAATGCTCTATATTGTAAAATGACTGCAGGAGGTGGTATTTTTGGGCGAACTCCCCTGGACTGGGAATCCAGAGTAAAGATTTGCCTTGGAGCTGCAAGAGGCATTGCCCATATCCATTCTGCTGGTGGAGGGAAATTCATTCATGGCAACATCAAATCCTCCAATTTACTCCTCACTCAAGACCTCCGTGGCCGCATTTCAGATTTTGGCTTAACTCCTATAATGAGTTATCCCTCTGTCCCAGCTAGAAGTGCAGGCTACCGAGCTCCTGAGGTGATAGAAACTCGAAAATCTACCCAAAAGTCTGATGTTTATAGTTTTGGGGTTCTCCTACTTGAAATGCTGACAGGCAAAGCACCAGTCCAATCAACCGGGCAAGATGAAGTGGTTGATCTCCCAAGGTGGGTCCAATCTGTTGTTCGAGAGGAATGGACCGCAGAAGTGTTTGATGTGGAGTTAATGAGATACCAGAATATTGAGGAAGAAATGGTGCAGATGCTACAAATAGCAATGTCATGCGTGGCAAGAGTGCCAGACACAAGACCTACGATGAATGAAGTGGTTAGGATGATAGAGGAAATCCGGCCAACAGATTCCGTGAACCACACATCAGAGGAGAACACAGAATCAAATACTCAAACCCCATAATCAATTTGTTGATCATTTCCATACACAGAATTTACTGCTTAGATTTCCCGTATGATAGCTCGTTTAACTGTTCGAGAGCAAATCTATTAGACTGCATCTGTTAGTCTACAAGCAAGTGTGCGAAGGGAAACTCCTAGTGTAAGTACTTCTATTTATATTGCAAGACGTTTGTCCAGTGATTTGATCATCTTTTAGCATTGTAGCTTACAAATTTTTCCTTACTAGAGTTTATTTCCTTATTGTAACAAAGTTTTCTTCATAATATTTATCTTTAGACCCTAACAGTGCTTTCTTGGTGGTTTGGTTGGAGAAAATCCTATATTTTCTGCTAACAGCATGCCTATAAAATTCTGGCCTCCAACAGGAGAACAATATTATGATGCAAGGTAGATTTAAACTTTGAATGAACAACCATAATCTCGAACATAAAGTTAGTATACAAACTCTCCTGGCTTATCTTTTCTCTGCGCTAGTGTTCTGTATAGAAAAAAAAAAGTGATGGCCCCAACTTAGTTCATATTTAATCTCTCTACATGAGAAGTAATTTGTATAGGGGGAAAAAAATAATGATAACAAATGCCCTTTGCCATTTCCTAAGCTAAGACCTCGAATTTAAAGTGTTTTTTTCAACCAAATCGGCACCACTAACATAACTAGTGAAAAATGATATTAACCGGAAAGGAGCTCCAATCAATGGAGCATCTGAAAGTGGTATAGCTTCCATCTTGTCGCTCTCAACAGCCTGCATCTCCAAATCTCGAAGTTCGTTATCATCCAAAGGAATTTGCACAATCTCTCCAGAGTCGGGTTCTGCATCATATGTAACTACAGCAGCACGATCAACTTCCAAGGTCTCGAACTTTAGGCCCACTGCAGTTATGTTTTCACCAGGCTCAGCTATGGAATTGGTTACAATGACATTTTCAGCATTTTCAACCATGAGTTCATGGCCTGTAGTTGAAGAAAGCCCGGCTGGTGAACTTTGCCGGTCGAGCTTAACATACAACTCGTTCACCTGAGAAACAAAGCAGTTGGACATAAATATCAAATAAAAATACTATGAAGCTCTCATACAGGCGTGCAAGCCAACAAAATTTTATGTGTTTGATTATATATTGGATAAATGCTGAACACGATTAAAAAAGATAACATTCCGTTCAAAATTGTAGCAAAAAGCTATCTTGAAGCATTGCCATTATTAAATATAACTTGACCAAATCAAAGGCATGCAAGGAAGAGGCAGTTTATTACTTTCTCAACAAGATCTGCATTTTCTGTGATCAATTTGTCAACCAGAACACAAGCTGCTTCAATCTGGGAGTTCAACTCCTCACGTTCAGAAGCATGCTGCATCAGACAGTACATAATCATTTTAAATATTCACCAATTTTTCAGAAATGTCAACTCCAACAAAACAACATTGAATTGAAAAGATAATAGCAATGGCACAAGAATCTTTTCCCAATGAAAACCGGCAGACCAGTTAAGCTATGACAATAAATATAACTGCCAAACATCTATTGTGGGTAGGGATAGCAGACCTTTTTCAGTTCATCTGATGCTTTTGCAGAGATGTCTGTCTCGAGGCTCTGAAGCTGTAACTGCAGACCAGAGATATTTTCCACCAGTTGTTGGTTTTCTATCAACAGACTATTCCTGGATTCTTCCAACTCCACCACCTGCCAGGCTTTGTTTTAATTTCCATATCAGAACAAAAACAAAGTTATAGCATACAGAACGGTCATTTCCTACCCATTCAACTGATAACCTACAACACTCATAAGGTAGCAAATGAATGGCAACACTGAATTCAGTAAGCATTTTGAATTGAAGCAGTGATGTAAAGAACAAAGGTAAATAAAGCCATATACCTGCATCCGTAGTTTTGTGATATCAATATTCATTCTAGCAATTGTTTCTTTGGTGGTATTCTGTAACATAACAGTAAGGAATTCAAAAATGCATATGAATCAGCTGTACAAAAATGAAAGGGAGGAATGCAAACAGTAATTGCAAATGTGTTGCCATGAAATAAACTGTGATAGAATCTCAGCAAAGACAACAAGTGCCTACAACAACCTCCTTTTCTCAAATATTTCCCTTTTCATCTAACATTCAGATATTGCAAAAAACCCTTCCATATTTCAAAGAATAAAAGAAATGAAAAATAAGAAGACACTTATTTTATAGACACAAAATCTGTTTAACTATCAAGCATTTACCTCAAAGCTACATTAATCATGGATGAATCTCCAATCAGTCGCATGCATTAAAGGATTAAAAAGAAGCTGTTCCACACTTGCAGAATTGCTTAAGAAAGAACTAGATAAATATAATAAAACATGTACAAACAAAACTCATAAATTAGCTAAAAAAATTCTTGGAAATGAAGAAGGCAAGGGGAACCCACATCAGTACCATAGCAAAAAGGAGATTACCTCTGCTAGAGTCCATGAAACTTTATTGCTTTCTAGTTGTTTAATTTTTTCCTCCAAGCTTGCCTGTGGAGCATTACAGAAGTTATTTAACATTGTAAAACCTGGATAAATATCGCGCAATGCGCATCAATCCACATGCAGTCATAAGAAAACACCAGAAAAATGAAGTGTAGTATAGAACAAATTGCATCACTGGTCGAGATTTTAGGCTTAGTTCAAGTCAGTCACCAGAGATCAACTTATTACAATTCCATCATCAAACTTAATAAGGCCATCATTGTTGGAATTGCAGCCTTAAGGTGAATTTCCTCGTTAGTTTCCAACATGTATTGCTTCAAGTACATGTTTTTATTCATCGTAATAACTTAAGCATTATATCCAATTGCCTCCAATCTTTACTTAAAAGTTAGGACAAGATTTCCATGGATTCGTGAGTTCCTAGAAAAATAATTCGCAGGGATGTTTGTAATTCTGGCAATGACAAAATTGCAAACAATATAGAAATTCAACGAGGTAAAAGAAATCTATCCTTAGTGATCAGCCTAAAATCATACCCAAAAGCTCACTTACAAGTAGTTCAATTACCTTGACTAATGCCAATTAAGGTAAGCAGTTCCTATTCTGCAATAAGCTAAAAGGGGTCAGAGGAACAAAAAATTACCCTTTCTAAACCCAAAGCTACCTTCTCATCCAATAATTGCTTAAGTTTGTTCTCCAAGCCAGCCTATAATATGATTTCAAGTTAAAATTAAACTTACCAGCTCCAAGCAACCACAAAGAGTACCCAATTTCAAAAGCTAAGAAGTCCAATTGCCATAAAATGGGGAAATACATGGCATTTTCATGTATCAGTTGCAATGCACACGCAGCTCACCAAGGTATAGCCTAGTGGTAAGTGTATGTATTACCTCATTATATATCTAGGTTCAAATCTCCCTCACCCAGTACTCCGGAAAAAAAAAAGTATTGGTTGTAATGGAGATGATTTAGAAAGAACACTCCTAAAAAGAGGATAAAACTGTTGCATATAAGCCTAAGTTTCAATCAAGATTACCTCTGTTTGAAGAATTATCCTCTTTTCATCCTGCAATTGTAAGATTTTCGTCTCCAGACCAGCCTGCAAAATTTATTACATTAGGCCAGTCTGGAAAAAGAAATAGAAATATACAATTGCAATGTAAAAGGTGCAAACAGCATATAAAGTCTCAGCAAATTTTCACAGTCCATATGCCAACGACTATAAATTTGACTAACCTCTTTCTGCAAGTGTGAATCATTTTCATTTTTCAACAGTTGGATTTTTTCTTTTAAAGTAAACTGCAAAAACCAAGGGCATTTTTCTTCTCAGTAACATCAGATAAAGAATGGAAAGTCAGGAACATGATTAGAAAAGAAAAGAGAGGGGAAAATATTTTCTGGTTCAAAAAGAAGCTTTAGTGAATTTTCCAGTCCAGGAATTCACAAAAATTTTCTGGAATATTTTGCAATTGGGGACAAATGTATGCTACCTCTTTCTGTAAAGCTGAATCATTTACATTTTTTAAATGCTCTAGTTTCCGTTCTAATGTAGCCTGTAGTGACACAGTGAAAGCAAAGATTACGCTGTAGCCTAACAAGAAAGAACAAGAACTTGCTTTTCAAAATAAAAAGTTCCAATATATTTTCTTTTCCACCACTTGATTATAAGGGAATTACCGTTTGCTGCCTGTGGGAATCATTTTCCTTCTGTAACTGTTTGATCTTCTCTTCTATGATAGCCTGTAAAAAGTTTCAAGGAGTTATTTCATGCATATAACAAGAAATTAGTTTAACATAATAGAAACTGAATGTTATGTTTCTAGGAGTTCATGAAAAATTGACCAAATACCTCTTTCTGCATATGTGAATCATTTTCATTCTGCAATTGTTTTATTGTCTGTTTTAATATGGCCTGCGAGGCATTGTTACATGCTCAAAAAAAATTCTTGAACATAATTCAAAGAGAGAGGAGGAGAAAAATAAGCACAGAAAATTATTTTAAAAAAAAATATGAGGCACCTCTCTTTGCAGCCACTGTTGCTTCTCAGCTTCAGTTAAAATGGACTGTGAAAAGGCAGTGAAAATTATCAGTCTTCATAAAGAGAACAAAAACATTAGTAAAGGGAAAAAGAATTTGAAATTTCTTAGAAGTTGATTATTATAGAAAAAACACATGCATGGTACATCAAAAATAAGCAATTGAATGTATGGTGAGAAAGTTCATTCCTTTAATAGGTGTTAGTCTTAAGGAACGAGTCACATGATGCAACTGCTTGATACTTCACATGTTATAACAATTAATCAATGTTTATTTGATTTATAAGATTTATTTACATATTATTCTTATTGACAGGTCTTTCACAGAATGATGACCAAAGGAGGCCATGAGCCTCGTAAGAGAATTGAACTTCATCAAGCTTTAGCAAATAAAAGCTCCATTACCAAGGGCATGCCAGCCCATATAAAAAAGGGAAGTAATTCACTAGACCAAATAAAAAAAAGAAATTGAAGTCTAAGGCAGATTGAATATCAGCCTATTGCTGCCACTAGACCAAAAACTCAATCTACTAAATCCAAGAGAGACAAGCTTCCCCCTTTGAAAGCCCCTAAAATCCTTTCCCTCCGAGGAAATCCAAAAATAGTCAAAGAGACCAAACCAAATGGTCCTTTGTCATCGAAATAGTTGGAAGGATTGTACAAGATTTCATCAATAAAAAAAAACAGATGATTGCATCTGTAGATATCATTATGCAATGCATATTAATGATTAATGAAGATATCCCACAATTGAAATATATGGTATTACTGATTGCTATGACAAAATGAATTATATGGATCAAGTTTCATGGACCTAAGCTGATGCCAACAGCAACAAAAACTAAGCCTTGATCCTAGCTTATAAGTAATAAGACAGAATGTAACATAAACAACAACAACAACAACAACTAAGCCTTAATCCCAAACTAGTTGATGTTAGCTATATAAACCCTTTTTTTTTTGTTTTCCATTTTGCTTTATTAATAATCCACAACCTCACTAGTACAAGAAAACGATAAATTTTTTGAAATAACTTATCTCCATTCAGGTCTACCCCTTCTCCCATTAGCACCCTCAACCATCAATATAAGACACTTACAACCGCAGCCACATGCATCTACAATAGGACAGTACGAAACAATTGTAATAAGACAGGAAATTTAAAGTATTATTTTAACACATATTGAAGCATAATAAGACCAATCAAATGTAACCTATCCACATATACAAAACACACAACAAACAAAACTTAACCATTCAATGCAAACCAAGAGAAAAAAAAAAAAATTAAATTAAATTCAAACTTACAATGTCTGTTCCATTGTTCTGATGTCTATCCGGACCCACATCAGCATTTCCCAGAGAACCATTCTGAACATTATCAAGGTTAGCTTGGTCGCAATCATTCTTCCCATTACTCATACCATTCTGATCAAGACCAACAGCTGAATCATCTTCCGCCGTCGTTTTGGTCTGCTTGTTTTTCTTTTTCTTGTTTCTCTTCTTCTTCTTGTCGTCCTCCATCCTTCCTTCTATCTTAAATCCCTAATTCCCAAATCTCTCACTTCAATAAAACCAGATCTAAACAAATGAGTCCAAACTTCTTCACCTGCAAAAATATTAAAAACAAAATTTAAAAAAAAAAAACAAGAAATTCATTTTCAGTTGATTTAGCAATCCATTTTGAGATCTGAATCAAAATTGAATCCTTGAACAGGTATAATAATATAGAACAGAAGAGCATTGAAAATTCAAACGATATTTGAAAAAAAAAAAATTAAAGAGCAGCTATTAACCAAGACCCTATAGATATAGAGCAATCTATTTCTTGAAATGAACCACTAGGAGAGAATTAACTCCATGGAATTCAAATTGCAGTAGCAAAGAAGGCGTGAATACGTACGCTATTGCTTTGCCTAGAACCGAAACGTTTCAAGTCTCAATGAATGTGGTAGCGGGTTTTTTCCTTTCTCTTTCTCCTTTTCAATTGCTGCTCTGAACAATGTAAGAAACGGGCCCTATTCGAATCGGATGGGTCTGGATTTTCTGATCAAAAGAAGCCATTATTTGCTTGGCGTTGGAGCGAGTGGCAGTTTACGATAATGAGGTGGCGCGATTTAGTTGGCCAATTAAGTGTCACCGGAAATTATACGACTTGTTACCGACTCACCGTAGCCTATGTGACTTGTTACGGCCATCGATTCTGTTGACTTCTAAGTGTGATCCACGTGATGGAGCACGCGCTACCGTGTGTTAAAATATAACTTTTTATTCCAAAATTATAATCCCAAAATATTTTTATAATTTTTTTATTTTTCTATATATATCCTTAAAACCTTAAAAATTATATAATGAATAGTGAAACTTACCAATATCTCAAAATTAATTATATTAAAATTTTGTCTCCATTGCTAATAAATTCAAATAATAATAATTATTATTATTTACATTAATTGTTATATAAGGGTATTGTTGAAAAGTGAAAAGAAAAATATTTATAAAAATATAAGTACGACTATTATTTTGGAAAAAAAAAGTGTGAATATAATTGAGACATTCAAAATTTCTTTTTTACTGTTCTTTTGTACTTAATACAATAGCCGGATATGTAGTTAAAAAATTGATTAAGAAAGGCCCTGAAGAACATTATTAAATCAAACAAAAGAAATATAAAAATCTATTGAAAAATTTTAATTTTCTATTCATTTTGATTTTTTTATTGCTTAAAGATCCTTGATTACAAAACGAATCTCAACTAATATAGAGCTTGCCATTTTATGCAAGAAAATGTTGCATTAAAATGTCTCATGCTTTGTTGTTGAGAAATTTTTGGATGGTAAATAGTGAATGTTGGAGTCTAAAATTTATTAAATAATTTTTTACAACATGTTTTTGCATGATTTATACTCACTTATTTATTTTCTTTTCTTTTTAGTATTTTATATGTCAAAATTAAAAATTTCATTTATTTAAAAAAATAGAATTTCACATTTTAATTCATAATTCGGTTTATTTTTTCCATCAATGCCATTAGATTTCCATTAGAAAAGGGAACTTTTTATTAAAATTAAATTTATAAAAATTAAAATTGATAAATAAACGTTAAGGCACATTGAGTATAACCTTACACATTTTTTACCCAAAAAAATTGGGTATGTAAAATTTTTTAAAAAAATTCAAGGGGCCCACAGCTTTCTATATTCACAATAGTCATCACAAATAGAAAAAAAAAAATAAAACATAAAATAAAAGAAAATTACAAAAGGAAAATAAAAAGATGAATAGAAATTAAAAAAAATTATAAAAAGAAAAACAATATATAGATACAAAGAAAAAAGAAAAGAAATAATCATTAACCTCAGAGATGAAGTCCGCAAATAAAGAGTTGAAATAATAATAAAATTCTCCTTTTAAATTTCAAATTTACTTTTTTAAGTTGAAATCCTCTTCGCTACAACAGTTTTCACTAATCAATTTAGTAAATTAAGAGAAAGATTACTCCTATTGTGTAGCCCGCAATGTTATTATTATTTATGTGTAAAGATATGTAATATTACCAAAACTTATTTATTTACATTAGACTTAATAAAGATTTGTTTAATTTGTGATAATAAAAATTATCTTTTTTGTCAATTAGAGTTTATTTTATGAGAAAGTACTTTAAAAATACTAGAAATAATATATATATATATATATGCATCCATTACCTAACAATATATATATATATATATACATGAAAGCCGAAATAAAGAGAAAGTTTAAGGCATTCTGCTTGTTGAATGTTGTATTTTTTTTTATAAAATTTTAAAATTTTCTATATTTTTATTGGTCAACTAATTAATTTTTGAATTTAATATATAATAACAATAATAACCAAGTTTTATGCCATGGACTATATAAAGAAAATTTTTGAGTGGTTGGTTATAATAATAAGCATATAATCCAATTTTATGCAACAACTACCTTATAAATTGAAAATTGAAAATGATGGAATCCTCAAATACATGTTTGATCTATTTAATTATTTAAATTGCAATACTCAGAAAAGGCAAAACTTAGATCATAAAATTTTGAAATTTTTTATTTTTATTTTTTCAAAATTTTCATTTCATTTAGTCAATAATATTTTTTTTTTAATTTTTATAGATGTTATTGGCTAACCATTAGTGAGAGTGAAATTATGAAAAATTGATGTTGTTGGCAAATGAACGTGGAGCTTCAATATCTAAAATGTCATTTTAATTAGTTAATACATATTTAATTAATTTCAATTTATTACTATATATAAATATAATTATTAATAAGATAATTTATAACGTTAAATATATATAACATAATTAACAATATAATTAAAATTATAACATTATATAATTAGTTATATATTAAGTAATAATTTATATAGCTTTAATAATATAAATAAATTATTTAAATTTACAATTAATAATATGAGGAATTATTTTTTATATTAATTTTAAAATAAATCAAATTAATAATTTTTACTAGTGATATCTCACTTTACTTCTTCAAAATCTGTATATTTCGATTCTCAATTTCACCTTAAGAATCATGGTTACGTGTTGTACTATTCATCTATGGTTTTCTTTTTCCGAAAAGACTATTCATCTATGCTTATTCATATCTTTTACTATTATCATATCAATAATTTTATTTGCAGAAACAATAGTGGTTTTATATAGTATTTTTTTTATTATTATTTTCTTTTAAAATTTTTTCTAACCATGCCTAGCAAGGACCAATGGCTTGTAATAGGGAAATGGCACGCGGTGATTACTGATTAGGGACAGGGTTGCATATTGCGTGTGATCAATTACAATTTAATACAATTACATTCGACACAACCGACGAATTCGAAGGCTTAGTTGGAAACAGCAGTTAAACGGATAAGCCGGATAAAATGAAATGAAATTACTAATAAGAAAAGAAAAAAAAAAGAAAAAGAAAAAGGCTTAATTCATATCTTTTACTATTTATCATATCAAAATAATTTTTATTTTGCAGAAAACATAGTGCGTATATTATATAGTATTTTTTTTATTATTAATTTTAAAATAAATCAAATTAATAATTTTTACTAGTGATATCTCACTTTACTTCTTCAAAATCTGTATATTTCGATTCTCAATTTCACCTTAAGAATCATGGTTACGTGTTGTACTATTCATCTATGGTTTTCTTTTTCCGAAAAGACTATTCATCTATGCTTATTCATATCTTTTACTATTATCATATCAATAATTTTATTTGCAGAAACAATAGTGGTTTTATATAGTATTTTTTTTATTATTATTTTCTTTTAAAATTTTTTCTAACCATGCCTAGCAAGGACCAATGGCTTGTAATAGGGAAATGGCACGCGGTGATTACTGATTAGGGACAGGGTTGCATATTGCGTGTGATCAATTACAATTTAATACAATTACATTCGACACAACCGACGAATTCGAAGGCTTAGTTGGAAACAGCAGTTAAACGGATAAGCCGGATAAAATGAAATGAAATTACTAATAAGAAAAGAAAAAAAAAAGAAAAAGAAAAAGCGAACTATTATATAAGTAATTCCAACGGAAGAAGGCAGATCCTCTGGCCTACGCGACTCATTTTGTGAAAGCAAAAGAAAGGTTGAAATCAGGAGCGGGGAATCAGCGGTTCTGCAAGACAAGAGAGGCTGTTGCTGTGGATCTGCTTGAAAGCCGTTTCCCCTTTTTGACCGCTATTTACGTCCGATCGTGATTTTCCCTTTCAAACCCTAGTCTTCAACTTCAGGTCTTTCTTCTTCTCTGTTCTCTTCATTATTTACTCTCTCTGTCACAATCTCTTCCATTTTCTAGGGTAGTTTTGCCATATATTTTGCCATATATTAAGGTGGCTGCTTTCTTTTTTTACTTAGTCGCCGATTTCTCTGTAATATTTGCAGTTGCAGGTCCCAGTTTGAAGTATCATGGCTTCCAAGCGTATTTTGAAGGAACTCAAGGATTTGCAGAAAGATCCACCTACTTCTTGCAGTGCAGGTTTATAATTGTTTTGTATTTACATCCTGATTGTGTTAGTGAACTTCAATTATGATCATTTCTTTTCTGTGCTTGCACCACCATCTCTGCCTGACACTGGCAGGGTTTTATAGGGATTGGAGGTTCGAATAAAGATTATAGCTCTGTGATAAAGTGCTTTTTAAAAAATAAAAAAATAAAAGAAAGAACAAACTGGAGCTTAAATTGCTTTCTGTTGATGCTCCCCAGTTCCTTTAAATGCTTTCTTTTTCATCTACTAAGGTCAAGTATGCGATGATGATTAGTAAAATCACAAATGTCATCTTCCACAAGGGGCTAGGGTTTTTCTTTCCTAATTTAGAGTAGTAAAATCACAAACGTCTTTTCAGGCAGAAAGATGGATGTTGAACTCGGAATCTGATTTTCCCTGAAATACTAAGAAGCGTGATAGTTTGTTATGATGTTTAATAATTATTTCAGATATGTGTGAATTGTAGCAATATTTATCTATTAGAAAGATTCAAACTTATTGTTCTTAAGCCGTGAGTATTAGTTAGATTTGTGGGATGGATCTATTTATTTATTCTTTATATTCTTTATATTCTTCAAACTAGGCTGTGAGTTTGAAAATTATTATTTACTTATTCATTTGCCTTATGTTTTTGATTTCTGAAACTGAATTTTACAATTAATATTTTCTGAAGGGCTGGTGCAATGATTGTAGGCTTTTCCATGAGTTCTTTGGACCTTAACAAATTATTTATTTTTATAATCTTGTATTTCAAAGCATACTTTCAAGTTTGGAATGTTGCTTTTCGAATGCTTTTCTTAAATCTACTTGAGGAGTGCTTTTACAAATAGTGTAGCAAGTATTATTAGATTAATGGTCATAAAATGTAGAAGATACCTGTTTTACATCTCAAAATGTACTTTCAAGTGTGAAGTATCATTGTCAGCTTTATCGAAATGGGTGGTAAAACATCATATGGCGTTTGTGTTTGCACTGACCATATAGAAGCTTTTCCTGTGAATGGTTTTTACCTTATCCTGCTCCATCCTATCTTATATTATGTTTGGTTTGGGAGTTGAAAAATCTATGCAATATCTAGTATTCATCTCTGTTGAATCCATCCCTGTATCCATGAATTGCAATACCTTTGTATTATTGCCATGTTAAATGTAGCTTTATGTCATCAAAGTTAGGGGTGCACTAAGCTCTGGATTCTTGGTTTATTTGTAATAGGTCCTGTAGCTGAAGACATGTTCCACTGGCAAGCAACCATCATGGGACCAACTGATAGTCCATATGCAGGAGGTGTATTTCTAGTCACTATCCATTTTCCTCCAGATTATCCTTTCAAGCCTCCGAAGGTAACTTCTGCGAATGAGAGATTTTTTCTAATCATGTGCACCTCTGCTATTGCCTGGATAAGAGGCTTTTGTTCTGTGTTACACTTCTCTAAGTGGGCGATGTCATTTTGTGTTCAGGTTGCATTTAGGACCAAGGTGTTTCATCCAAACATAAACAGTAATGGAAGCATTTGTCTTGATATCCTCAAAGAACAATGGAGCCCTGCTCTCACCATTTCTAAGGTCTGACTTAGATTCATAACTACATGCTAATGGTTTTACTGCATGGTAATTGGCTACAATATAACAATAAAAAAGGAGAATACAGGTGGTCATGTTATCATTTCTAATGTTGAAGCAACACTTTAAGAATGTGAAGGCAGTTAAATTCTGTTGCCAAAGTCAGTGTAATTGATTTTGGTTGTAGTTGAGTGAGAAGTTCTTCAAGTTTTCGGCAGATTATTTTGCTTGAGCAATCCCCTGCAATTATGCATATGAAAAATGATTGCATGAGTGATAAGCCTCCTCATCTCTTATGAATTTATTACCTTCCAAAATCTTTTAGTTCCGAGTTATGGAAGGTGCTTGCTGAAACTCCTACCCAAAAAAGGAAGAGAGCGACAGGCTTTTTACTGATTCACAAAAAGGATATCTTTTTAATTTATATCAACTGAAATGCAGCAAAGAGAAATTAGTATTTAGTATTTACTACTACTAATACAACCTTACTTGTCCCATCAGGTATTGCTATCTATTTGCTCATTGCTGACTGATCCAAATCCCGATGACCCACTTGTCCCAGAGATTGCCCATATGTATAAGACTGATCGAGCAAAGTATGAAGCAACTGCACGCAGCTGGACACAGAAGTATGCCATGGGTTGATACTGGTTGTTCACTAATCGGGTGATGTTTATGGTGGAATGTGTTGAAAACTGTTTTATTAACTTATTTACTTGGTTTGGTTCGATAGAGGCTAGGGATGGACTTGAGTTCTTCAGTGGAATCTATATCTTGGGTTTGGCATGAAATAACTGTATGATCAAGATGCTTTGATGTAGACAATGTCTGTTGTTTGGAGCTCTTACTCTTACCGATGTTTAAAATCTTGTCTTTAAAATCTTGTCTTTACTTTGATATTTCGATCCAAACTGAAGTACTTGTATCATATCCCTATATGTTTGTATTTTTTTTTTCTTTTTATTTTTTTGTCTGAAACAACTAGGTCATTGAATGATTTATTATGTCATACATGCCAGCCTTTTAACATGGCTGATGGCAGCAGCCACCGTGATATAGGTCAATTCCAGCCCCGATAGTGCAGATACTGGCCAAGGATGCTGAGATATTTGGAGGGTACATTCGGCTCTTGCATTTTAGATTAGGTCAGTTAAAGGGTCACAGTATGTCATTGGGTGACTGTTCATCAGTTTGAAAGTAGTCTTGATCCAACTGACCGATGGTTCAGTGATCCAATTTGAAAAGATTCATTCTTTTTCACGTCTCTGATGTTTGGAGCATGTTCACAACTTTACACATGATTAGGGACCGTATGAGCATTTTACATCATTATTATTATTTATAAGCATTCTTACATTATTATTATTGGTAAATATGAAATTGTAGGGAGAGGCGAAATTGGTTGTTTTAATTACAATTATTTTTTCACAAAATATTATAAAAAGTATACGCTATTTTCTAACTTATTGAAGTTAACTTAAATCAACTAATTTAAAAATTTTATTTTATAACTCATCTAATTTGTTATTTATGTAACTCATTGTCACGATTTGACACCACAATAAATTAAACGAGAGCATAGAATGATTAAAAGAATGACTAATGAGGAAGGTCGGCAGTTTCCCGTGACCAATGTCAACATTCGTACTCATACCACTCGTAGCATTCAAATCTTGTTTGGTGAAAAATAAATAAGTACAAAATAAACCAGGCAAGCTATCGACCAGTTCAAAAGGCTAGGCACGGTCAATTGCACAATTGATGGCCATCTAGTTGTTTATTTCTTGCACTCTTACTCTTAGAATTTTGTTATAAAAATCACTTCTAGTAATAAGTAAAAGATTCATAATAGATCTTACCAATAGCCTGCTATGTGAAAAATATTCTGACCCTTTAAATAAAGAGTCATTGTGGATGAAGAATATCTTCAAATAATTATATAAAATAATTATTTTTTTTTTTATGTTTCAATACCTAATTTTCATAATGCACATTCACTCATCTAAATAATTATTTATTCAAATAATTAATTGCAAAGTTAATAAAGATATGGTTTAGATTGATCAGATTTGATGAGCTAAATTCCATCATTTTAAAAGCAAAAATTTCAATAAGTGAAAAATTTATCAGAGTCATTGTTATTTATAACTAAAATTTTCCGAGATGTAAAGACGACTGATAATTATAATAATTATTTTAATAATTATTAATTATTATCACTATGAGAAATAATTATTATAATTAAAAGTTTTATTGTTTTGCAACCATAAATATGTTTAGTTTGATTGAAGGAATATTAAATTGGAAACCTAAAGGTGCAACGTAATATTTTAGATTGGGCTGTACTGTAGTCCTCTCCATTACTCAGGAAATTAGCGAGAGCTCACGTGAGATATCCAACAAAAGATCATTTACTCTCCGTTTAAATAAAAAGACCAACTAAACATTTTAGAGTCTTATACAGCTAACATCTAATTTTTTATATATATAACAACATACTCCCCATGTGAAGTTGGCATAAATTGAGACAATAGTTGGGGGTATTCAAGTAATTGAACATATACAGAAGAAGAATGCATGCGACAAGCCAAATAAACGAGGCAATTCCAACTGTAAGCTAGCAATGTATATAATAAAAAAAAGAATAAAAAAATGATAATTCGTAGGTTAATAGTTAAAATTTCAGGTGTTCGTTAACGTTCATTCTGGTTTTACAGAATTACAGCAATTGGATCGGATAATAAAGGACTGAATACACAGGAAAGAGTTCTATCTCTTCTCTTTCCTTGGGTTTCTTTGTCTGGTCCAAGTCGCTTTATATAATATTGAAAAGCAAAAAAGAAAACAATTCTAGGGTTTTTGATTCCAATTCCAATTTCAATACCAGTTCTCTTCTTCTTCCTTTCCTTGTCATCTATAATAATACCTCTGTTACAACCTTTGCTACGACGCGCTTTTGATTGTGATCTAAAGAAGGTAAACATTATCATCTTTGTCTTTTTCGTTCATTTTCTTTCTAATGAAATTAGGTATTTCTTTGAATTTTAGAATTTTTTCTCGCATTTTCAATTGATTAGGAATGTAGATTTACTTGCATCTTCAGTTGTTTCAAGTGTAGAGACTTGGTAGTTAGATTGTTCCCTATTCATTTTTGTTGCTATTTCAAGAAGAAATGAAAGCAGCTTACGGAATTTACAAGACCAGATATTTCATACAAGGAAAACTCATAATTATATATCCAACATCACCGACAATCAAATATGTTCCGCCAGAATTTATGCTGATTTTTGCTTCCCTTAGATGCTTTGTGTATCAAAGCTTTTTACAACCCATGCACACTTTCCATTCCTATCTAAAATTATTTGGTTGCTAAATATTTTCTCTGTATTAGCTGAGTGAAATGGTTAGTTACATTTCCACCAGAGAAGAAGCATGCTATTATACTTTCTTGGAGGAAACTTTTGTCAGGAATAACTAACCAGATCCAAACTAACTCAAGTGACCTTTGGACTTCTACTTCTATGTCCCAAGTAAACTCTGGAGTTCTACTTCTTCTAAGTGAACCATCTTTCACAATGTCTTGTTTTTGATGATTAGGATAGTAAATCCACGAATTGTGCCTTGAATATGGTCTAAATCTGTCATACCTGGTAACATCCGGGCACCAATTGTACCCAGAGATAAGGGCTACCACTTTAGATTGTATAGGAATTGCTATCTCATAAACCATATGGCTTCAACCATAATGACGCATGGAAAGCAAATTATCTAATCAAGTATAAGTACAGACACTACGTCCAAACTTGTGAGATTGGAAAAAGATTGATTTTTTGATTTTATCATGCTCAGCATTTCGAATCTTCTTGTTAAAGGATATCAGATTTGATTTTATCTCTTTTCTTTTTTTTTTTTAAATTTTCTCTGAGTCCATGTTCGTTCACCTGGCTTTTAGGTAACTCAAAAGCTTATGTTATAAAATCAAGTATGCTATTTGGGGGGAAAAAAGAGGGTTTTAGCCCCTTTTTCCCTTTAGTATCTTTTCTTTCTGTTATAAATTTCTGATGGATTCAGTTGTAAAATTTTGATTTTCGGGATACCTTTCTACTGCAGCAGATTGGGGATTCTACTATTTGACTATCTATATCAGATATGGGACAGTGCTTATGCTTGGATAAGGTAATTGTTTGAACTGATACTTGTTATACATTCACTAAGAGTGAACAGTGTCTTACCTTTTTTTTTTTTTTTTAACTACTGCAGCAGATTGGGGATTCTACCTATTTGGACTATCCTATATCAGATATGGGACAGTGGCTTATGCTTGGATAAGGTTAATTGTTTGAACTGATACTTGTTAAACATTCACTAAGAGTGAACAGTGTCCTTACCTTTTTTTTTTTTTTTGGGTAATTACAATTAGAGTGCTGTGGTCATTTGCTTCTCTGCCAGGCTCCTTTTGCCTTTTTTTTTTTTTTTTGGGTAATTACAATTAGAGTGCTGGTCATTGCTCTCTGCAGCTCCTTTTGCCTATGCCTGCCCTTGTTTAGCATCATGGCTTATTAGTCCTTGCATTGTTGTTTTTGTATGTATGTGTATTGTTAATTCTTTTTAACCATTTAGATTCTTTAAAACAATGTCAAAAGAGCTGTTGCTGATGAAAATTGCATTGTGTATGAAATTTCCAGGAAGCTTTTTCAACTTTTAATATATAACTTGTTTGAGCCAGAGGAGAACTTCAACTCTTGTTGTTTGTTAAAAAAACTAAATTATTCTATTATGTTTTATGTATTTAATCAGACGAATAAGTCTGTGCTTAGAAAGAAAGAAGAAGATTTTGCTTTATTATTTTTATCAGGAAAGAACCATAGGGGCCCCTCAACTTAATGTGTTTTGATTATTAAGTTCTTGAAATTTTATTTATCCACATTGAGCCCCTGAACTCTTATTTATTTACTCACAGTAAGGACTTTCTTTTGTGGAAAAAAAAACATGATGAGAAATTCGTTGTTGACAAATTACAAAAACTGTTCTTGCTTTTTTTTTCACCAGGGAAATTACTGAAGCTACAGAGAAGGAAAAACTCATTTTTTGTGCACTTATAACTTTTCATGTTTTATCAATTAAGCAGTGAAATTTCTTGATAAGCAGAGCAAGTTTTAGTAATTTGTAAAGTATCATAAACAACTTTCTTATTGATGTTACTTTTGTCATAAAAAAGGTCCTCAATGTCAAAGAAGTAAATTTTGATGGCTCAATGTGGAGAAATAAAAGTTTAGGGCTTAATAGACAAATTGAGTTTTCCTTATTGAGTTATTGATGTTTTTGTTGTTGTTATCTTAAATTAACTCATCCTGAACATAGTACCTTTGATTCCAAGGTTGAACCCTCTATGATTTTTACCCTAAATCCTCATATATGGTTTTTGCACTTCCATTTTGTACCATGGCTTCATTTTGTAACACTGCCTTCCTGCATCCTAGCATCAAAGGAGACTTCGTCTACATACTACTGTGCAATGTTTCATTCTTACTTCATAAGGGCAGTGGCAAAGATCTGATGTTTGTGATATTCGCAGAGTCAAGGGGCAGATGATGCTGATGAGCATGTTGAATTTGTTGGTAGTAATGTGCACCTCGTTACTACCAATGAGACCTGGGAACAGAAGCTGTCAGAAGCAAGTAGAGATGGCAAAACTGTAAGTTCCTTGTTGACTTGTATCTTGTTCAAAGAATATGCATTATCAGAATGTTTTTCGGAGTCCATTGCACTTGTATTTTTACTGAAATCGTTCGTGAAGGTCTTGCTTTTAATTGGTAACCCTTTTAGGAGGTCAAGTATAAGTATAAAATAAGACATATCATATGCTCGTTCACAATTTCCTTAGTGATCTTCCTTGTGAAGATACACCATTCTTGCTAGCAGTGGTTAGTTTCTTAAAGTGCTGCTGCATAAAAAATTTATTTCATCTGTCTGATAAATGTTGTTCTAAAATTTATGTTCAATCTTTGACTGAAGTTAAATGTTTAACAGGTTTTGGCAAATTTCAGTGCAACATGGTGTGGCCCTTGTAGAATGATTGCGCCCTTCTACCGTGAGCTATCTGAGAAATACCCGTCTCTAATGTTCCTGTTGGTTGATGTTGATGAATTACCTGTAAGTTATAAAAAAATTTTCATGTACTCGAGAAAGAAAACTTGAGTTTCATTTTTTGATACTTCAAACCTTACTTTTGCCTTTTAAATTTTGTGGTCTGATATGTCATTGTCTCTCATCATCCATCTAAAGTTTGAACTAGTAGAACCCTTTGAACTACAACTGCATTTTCGCAAGATATATATTTATATATATATACAACCTGCTTTTGCAACCTATTCATTGAGCAGATTATGCTGTACTCAATAATGGCACTATATTAATATGTTTCTTTTCCTGTGTCTCATACATCATAAATCAGTATATTACTTTTTCAGATTATAGCAGAATCTGCTCGAGTTTAGTGATGGTAAAAACTGTTAATTGTCACTGCATTACACAGGACTTCAGCACCTCGTGGGATATCAAAGCAACTCCTACTTTTTTCTTTCTTAGAGATGGGCAGCAACTTGACAAGCTTGTGGGGGCCAACAAGCCGGAGCTACAGAAGAAGATAGCTGCTGTTTTAGATGCGACAGCTTAAAGGGGGCCGTGATTGTCGGGGAGGTTCCAGTATGTGAAAGGGCAGTAAGTAGCATCTTTATCCCTTGTGTGTTCTGTATTTTGGTTGTAATTGTAAGCCATATCTGTAGATTTTGCCCTGTAAATATACAACTGCATTAAAATTTTGGAATCAGGAAACCTGGAGATCAGCAATATTATTGTATTCTTCTTGTAATTTTGCCTTGGAAATGTGAAATTTCTTTTCATTTTGCTGTCTACTATATTTGATCACTATTGTCTGTTTTTCTTTTCCAAATCAGGAACCCACATTTTCATTTCAAACACGTTAAAAACATTCTATGTGAAATATGTAGATGAGTATTAAATATTTGTTTTTAAGGTGAGTTTGAAAACAGAGAAATTGAAGGTACAGTACGCATAAGATGCCGAAAATATCCATTAATTTCAATAGTAGATTGATATATAATATTTTTATAACAACTAATCCTTTATTTCAAATTCTTCGAGGTCTGCGATATGAATCTTTGCTTTCATTTGGCTCAATTCATAGTTAAGTTTGCAATAATGCAGAGAAGTAGTAGGTTTTTTTATATGATTTCTTCTTTGTGATTTTAGTTCTGTCAAAGCTTTATTTATGAAGCATAGCATATGGAGGTTTATAATGGACATGACCCAATTGGGTGAAAAGAAAAGGGGAAGTGGAGGTGTCCAGAAATTTTTAGTATGAATGATAAAATAGTAATTCCCACCCAACAGAAGATACAGAATTTTAGTTTATCAATACTATCGGTATAATTTCATTTCCACCTACCTCCATTATTGTAGCAATCACTATCAATATTGCCAATGAGGGTGGATGCCCTACGATCAAATGTCCAGGTTTGACATCTCTCCTACAAAAAACTTTGTATTCTACCGTTATGAGGGACTGGCCTTAATGGATCGAGGAATGAAGTTGTATGCTTCTCTCTCTGTCTCAAAACTCAAGTAGTTTTTGGTTTATTATTTTATCCCGTTTTACGTATTTCAAAAAGTGATAAATGTTATTTTTCTAATAGCGCTCTTATTTATACTTAATACGATAAATACTTCGTAAGTAATTATTGGTTTCAAGGTAAAAAATAATTTGATTAAATTACCCTTAAGTTTGTTATAATTTAAGGAGAATTAATTACTTGCTTAATCCTTATGTAAAAATTTTAAACGACTTATATTTTTTGACAGAGAGTATTTGATTTGATTTTAATTGCAGAACTTTAATAGACTTCGGATAGATGTATGTATTAATTAAATTTTATACTTATTTTAATTAGTGAAAAATCATTAATTACTAACATGAGTTTATATTTAGATGCGTAATTAATTAAATTGTAGATGAATTTAAACTAAGCTGAAATCCCTTTTTTAAAGGAAATTTATTTGAGGAGTGGTGCATCTGCTCTGTTGAACTAGGTGTACTGCACTGCGATGATTTATGCGTGTGAACAAGAAGAAACCATATTAGGTGGAGGCTATTTTCTTTCTGTTAATCCTTTTGCTATTTCCCTAACTTCAATTTTCTAATATGTAAAAGTTTTGGATTGCGTTTGGACCGCCCACCACTTGGACGTGGAAAGTGCTTTCTTTTGGTATGTATATATGCGTAGATAGATACATACGTACACACAAATGTATTGGATTACCACTTTATTAAGTTGGAGGAGGTAACATCAACTATTAAATTCCAATAACTTTCCTCAGAAAGAAAAAGAAAAAAAAAAAAAAAAAAAACCCCTTGAAGTTTGTTGAAAGTTGAAGGAGAATGTAGATGTAGCTTGGCGTTAATCCTTATGGGCTAAAAGATTGTGTAAGACGAGCTGTTTTACTGTTTTTGACGAGGAGCAGGTTCATTTGCAGGGTTTGCATGTTTTAATTGCAGCGAGACTTTAGATGAGACTCGGTCGGATAGATGTGCATGTATCTAATTTTAGAATTTTATAGCTTACTTAATTTAGTGGGAAAAAAGATCCATTAATTACTAAGGCATGAGTGTGCTAGTAGTGCTTAGGATGCGTTAATTAGATTAGGAATTGGTCAGGATGAATTTAAGACCTAAGGCTGAGGAATCCCGCTTTGTGTTAAGAGGAAATTTATTTGGAGGGAGTGGGGTGCCCAGTCTGCTGCTGGTTTGACACTAGGTGTACTGGCACTGCGGGATGGATTTGATGTGGCGTAGTGAACAAGAGGAGGAGACCATGATTTAGGGTGGCGGAGGGCTATTGTTTTCTTGTCTGTTAATCCTTTTGCTATGTTGCCCTAACTTCGGACATTGTGCTGCGTGAATAGCTGTAAGAGAGGTGGGAGTTGCGTTTGGGACGCGCGCCACCGAGCTTGGGACGGTGGAGGAAGGTGCTTTCTGTTGTATGGTATAGTATGCGGTAGATACGAGTACATACGTGACACACCATAATGTAGTGGATTAGCCACGGTGTTATTAAGTTGGGAAAGGAAAGAGACATGCGAAACTAGTTGCTGAAATTCCGGAGGAGTAAGCTTTGTCCTCGAAGAGAAGCAGAACAAAAGAAAAAAAAAAAAAAAAAGCAAGAAAGCTCCGAATGAAACACTAGAAAGAAGAAAGAAGAAGAAGTGTTTCGTATCCGAAGTAAGATTTTAGGTAGGGTCTACATTATGAAGAAAAAGTAGCTGTGTTGCGTTTGTTCAGCTGTAATAATAGGAAACAGAGGTGCAGGATGCGAGTGCCGAGTCGATGGGTGAAGTTGGTGATCGCAGCGAGAGTTACGTATTTCGGGTTGGCCATGGGTGCAAGTTCACACTGGTGGTTGGCAGAGGCAACTGGTATGTTTTATGCAAGTATTTGCAGGAATTTCTAAAACAAATAGAGAGAAAAATGTTCAGAACGCAATTTTGATTCGAGGTCAGTGTTAACGTTAGGACTTGCATGATAGGCTAAGTGCGGATAGCGTACATAGTCTTTAGATGTTGAAGAGAACGAGGCAGGTAGTATACAGGTATATGATAGTAGTAGACGAGGAGAGAGAGAGAGGAGGAGAAAGGTAACTATGCAAATTGCCATGATTGCTCGGTATTCGTTTGCCTGATCGAGGCCAGGGAACGGATGGAGGGCTGGCTGGATTGAGACGAAAAGGTCAGAGGTACAAGCGGTATGCGGCACGTGAGGCACCTTCCCCACGTCTTGGCCGAGCTGACGGGAAATAGTTCGCTTGCGCGCCGGGTCAGTTTTATTTTTATAATTGTGGTTAAGGCAGAGAAAGGTTTGGCAGTCAGACTATCCTCGCTTTATTCACGTCTGGTTAGCCAGCATACGTACAAGGTCAAACGCAGCGACGGCGGCCCACGCCACATGCCAGCGGTATAGCCGACTGGTTATCGGTTAGTGTGAGCGCCAGTCCCTCAGTTTTTCTTCTATGGTTTCCGCATGTAGTTAGTTTCAACGCAGTCAAAGCTTCGAAATCCATTCGCGACCACTCTTGCGTTTGAGGAGATGAAAAGAGAAGGAAAGTCTTAAATTCAAATGACCACTTCGTGTCGATCAATTGTGAACATGGGAAGCAGACAAGACACTTGTAGTGTTTTTAGCACTCTTCAGAGTAGATTGTAGGTACAGATGTATAACTGAGGTGATTGAAAACATACCAGTAGACATTAAGAGGGAGCTTAGAGGATAGAAAGGGAAAATAAAAAAAATAAAAATAAGAAATAAAATGAAATGGATTAATAATGGAAAAGAGGTGAGTAGAGATGGAAGTTTGCGCGAAGGAGGGTCGAGATTTGGCGCTGGAGTGATTTAAGCAGGCGGACTGGTAAGAATTGGCTAAGGTGCGATGTAGAAGAGAGAGAGCACCAAGCATTCTGGCTTCTTCTTGTTGCTCAGGCGACGCTCTTTGGGATTCGATCGATCGTGTGAAGAAAGCAAGCGGTGCCAACGTTGGTGGTGAAGGCCCGATCAGAATCTTCGACTAGCCACGGAGGAGCTCCGGCCGCCTGATGCTCATGCTCGATTGCCGGTGCTTCTCTGAGTCGGTAGATATTGCCATGCGAGGAAAAGTCCGCAGAGGAAGCAGTGGCAGGATGCTGGGTTCTCCCTTGTAGGACGGCCAGCAGTTGCGAATTTGCCACCTCGCCTGCTCCATCTGCGCGCTCCGGGCCGAATACCGCTTGCCGAGCTCTCGCTCGTGCAGGCTTGCTCTCTGTACGTTGCACAAGCAAACTCTAGGTGTCCGAAAAGCAACAGTCGAGCCCAGTGTGATGGCCTCCTCAATGTCGCGCTGATGCAGGACCCCACACACTGTCGGATTGCCTGTCTGCAGCAAACTTTTTGAGAAGACATGGCGGGTGCCGAGATCTTGCCCCTTGTAGATAAGGGTGCAGAGAAGAGATCGTGGATCAAGGGCATGCCTTGGCTAGTGGACAAGGGCGCAGCGCCATGTCGCGCCAGAGCGCTTAGTTGGCTCCTCTGTCGCCAGTGTGTTGATTAACTGGACCGGTCGTGCACATAGAGATGCTGGCAAACAGGCAGCGAACGCACCAGACATGGAGGTAGCACATTCAGGAGGAATTTTTCCAGGTTCAGTTGCGTTCGCGGGCGCTGAAGTACTCTGGAGTTCCAAGAGTAAGGGCCAAAAGCTACGCCTCTTAGCGTACAGTGGCTAGACATGGGTGAGTGCCAGATGGTAGGCCGGGCTTAGAGACGAAGCCGAAAATCCAGAGATCCTTCGCAACCCAGTTTCTCATCCAAAGAAAGTGCTGTAATGCTCTTTACGAAGTCTCGGTGGATGATAGGTGTGTTTGGGCACGCGGTAGTGGAGCGATAGTGGTAAACCACGTGGCCATCGGCCCAATGACAGTATTTGCGAAAGCCTTTGCTTCCATGGCAGATGGGGCGTTTTTGGGTTTGTATAGGATGCTCAGGTAGGTTGTTCCCGATGGAAAGCCACTGTAATCGATAAAGCAAGGGATGCAGCTCAACAGTTCTGCGTTCGGCAATACACCGCAACTTAAGGGACAGCAAAGTGAGCGGGGGAGGTGTCGGAGTATTTTGAAGCCATTGCTCGAATCTCAGTGCTGCGAAGCTCGATGCACACCCTGCTCCGAGAATAGAGTAACCACGCTTGATTGCAACTTCTAGTTGTTGGCCAGGCCATCAATTTCTCGCGCTTGTTAGAACCTTTGCCAAGACAACCATCCCGAAACTCCGAAGGAGCAGAGCCTGCATCAGGAGAATTGTTGGATAATAGCC